TTGCTTGAGTTGCAAAAGTGAGTTACTATTACATAGCACTGGTATGTGTGCAACGCTTTTATCAGTCATATAATAGACAAACAAAAGTAAATACGATAGCACTCTATTGTGTACTCTTTTATTTAACTATAATATTAACCAAAGTATGGATAAAAAACATTTGACAAAAACAGCGAAAGTGAGTGACTGAGTGAAAGTAAGTGAGAGAAGTGAGAGTATGAGTGAGATGATGATGGAGAGGGAAGAGAGAGAAAAAAGTGTGTGTGTGTGAGTGAGAGAGTGAGAGTGAGAGTGAGAGAGAGAGAGWGAGAGAGAGAGAGAGAGAGAGAGAGAGAGAGAGAGAGAGAGAGAGAGAGAGAGAGAGAGAGGTTTCACTTAATTATTGCTTTTCAATAATAAAAGCAAATGAAAACGTAATTTAATGTCATTTATCCAACAAAGCATAATAATAGATATAAGCGCCGACCTTAAGCACAATAAATGGATGCCATAGCGCCTACTGATAACCTACTATAACGGTGTTGCTCACTAAATGCCATACTTTTCATCCATCCATTCCTAACGGCAATAATGCCTGAGTTGACTGAATATATGTTATAGACTACTATATGTATTACTAGTGAATGTTAGTCTATTGTATACTAATAACAGAGTAGTATTCATAAAAGTGCATTGAGAGCACACTTTTAATCAGTTTGGGTGACAAATATTATGCAACTTATCAGTGAAACAAAAGCTAAATAATCCATTTTAACCGGTTTTTAAATTAATGACTGCCGCCGGTGTGCAAGCATTTCGTTAATTAGTTCAATCCTGCGATCTCTATATCCCTATTGTCTCACTAACAATAAATATACACTAAATCATATTACATACCGTATTATATAAAGTATATATTGAGTAAAATAAAGTCAGTATCTGTTTAGGACATAAACTGCATAATAAATGACAAATGAAACAGTCGTCGACTCCAATCCAGTCATGAAGTCATGAATCTCTTGTAATTAATTTTTTATAATTAATTCAAACTCTTCTGTGAATAGCATAAGCAAAACCATTACTTTTATGTGCATAACTATAACTATATATTCATTCATATGAATGCAATGTATTCATAACAATATTTCAATCAATTATTATATTTAACTACTGCTCACTTTCAGTACCATAAAAATATCATATTTTAAAGTCAATATAACAATAAAATTTTAATAATCAATAACATCTTTATCTGTTAAGTTATTTGCAGTCATTATAAACCGTACTTTTTAAATTAATATTTAGGTAGATGTTATATAAATTAAATTTATATTATTAAAACAATTAAAAATATTTATATATAATTTATACTATTATGGTCTAAGCTTAAGTTACTTATTTAAATTGGTAATTGAGGATTATTAGCAAATAGAAAATTGTAATATATACTAATAAAAATATATAAATATTATATCAATTTATACAGAATATCTTAATAGAGAAATATTTAATTTAATGATTAAAAGGTTGATATGACATGAAGCCGATGGGAAACAGAGATTAATTAAGTATATAATAAAACTTTTTTAATCGTGTTTTCAGGACTATTATATAAGTATATATGGCATATATGAGCCATTTGTTCCCAAAACTAACTGTTCATTGCAATAATGTGTGTGTGTGTGTGTGTGTGTGTGTGTGCTGTTATAGTACAGTTAGGTACCGCCTGCGGCTTTTGCTTTGATACAAAACAGAGAGTTGAGGCACTCATTATCTGGTAAATAAAGTTATGATGATTATAGCATATAATGTGTGTGTGATCCGTACCCTTTCGCTATGAAACCACAAAATATTATTTAAAAATTATGAGCACTAATCTCACTAAATATTACGTAAAACTATTGTATTTTTGAGCTCACATTAGTTATATGCTATATATATATATCATCATAACTTATACACATATACATAACAAAAGTTATATATAACAAAAGTGATGCTAACGAGCAGTCCTTTATATTAAACAAAAATTATTACCTTTTGGGCAAAACTATGTAATGATAACATTTTATAATATGCTTTGCATTGTCTGTAATATTAATTAAATTTACTCTTATGTTAAGCAAAACTCCAGTCATATAAAACTCAATACTATTACTATCATTATAGCAAAGCACTGGTAGTTTCATTGGTATAGTAGAGCATCTTTTAAGCATCAATGCATTACTACTACCAGTACTAACACGCGTCGTGACTCTTATAGCAAGACGTCTATCATAGCGACATAAGACTGATTGTATTGCTCGGGGAGTTTGAGGTCCAGTGCAGTGTACATACAGTCTATCAGTAGTTGTGTTGTGTTTTAACTATACATTGAATGAAACATAAACTGATTGCTAATGCAATTTATTGCAACATAATTAAGCCTTGAGTGTAGCACATAGTATAACACATATAGCATTGCATTGAATCAACTACTGCTGTGAGGCAAACCTGAAATGCAAACCTCAACCACAATACATAAAAATATCAAATCTCTGTACCATTTCATCCCTCAAATACAAGTAAATACTTTTAATATACAACTTTTGTTTTAAATAGTTTTTTTTATAAAATCACTTCATTTCCAACTTTTTTGTCCCAACATTTATATTTTGTTTACGCTTTTATGAACTATTTTATACACAATAATAGTCTACAAAATGGGAGAAAGATTAGAGATAACAAAGATATGAACACATATTTGCTATTTTGCTAAACAACTTATGTAACAATAGAGTAAAAAGTTAAAGAATTATTTCCCTGAAAGGACACATCCTTGCAATCCATACATGTATGACATATACAAACTCATATAAATCTAACAGTGCCTAACAGTGCCTACCAGAGCATCGACTATTGACTCAACAATGTATTCTACAACTAATGTTTATTAGACTACAAGTGAACATATTTATATATATATGTTATGTTATATATACATTATAACACAAATATAGTAAAACAGAGATAGTGTAGCACTGGTATGCTTTTAGTTAGAAATGAAAAGTCAATAATAGTTGAATTGCAATATCTTATTGCAATCACTTCATTGAGCAGATGAGTTAATTCCTATTCTGATCCAAATGTATTGCTTTTATTCTATACAACTGTCCTTCCCTTTGCCTCAATTGTAATGGCAATAGTAGTTATATTGTAGATTGAGTTCAATTGAAAGTATAGTTATGCAGTGATGTCAGATCACTGGTAAAGCTTGTTCATCATGTGCTCAGTTATAAGACATTCACAGCTCAAATCGTTTACTTCGGCCAATCCATTGGCGCCGTTCTGCCGACTATTAGGTTTTGCCCTCTTATTGTTGTCGACAATAAATTGCAAAAAATATATTCTCCACTCAATTCTCGTATAACATTGTCGTATAAACTGTATATATCTAATATTTATACAATATATATGTTATATTATATATATATATATATATACGTATATATTAAGACATTTATAGAGACATAGCAATATCATTATACTTATTGAGTACATATCTTTGATAAAACATTATGTAGAAGCTATAAACTTATAAGAAAAGCCTAAACTGGGCACAGGCATCAAGTGTTATCTTCTATACAATAGCACAACTTATACAACAAAAACAACAGGTTTCTGATTAAACTATTGCCACAAAACATAATCTATAGACAAATATATACAACTGAAGCCAATATACTGTATACTCATATATTAATACTTGACTTAATATTACTCATTCTTTATGTGTGTGAGAGTGAGTGAGAAAGAGAGAGAGAGAGAGAGAGAAATAAGCGATGCATTACATTATACGAAAACATGAACATAACTACCAGTGTTTCTAATGTTAGATAGCTGTGCGATAAGTTGCCAAATATTTGATGTTTTGCTCAATAGATGCAAACGGTTTGAGCATTAATATGTGCTAAGATGTCATCAGAAATAATATTATGAAATTATGTTTAATATAGAGGTCATCACATAAAATAGTAATTCAGTCATCAAAACATGCAATGGTATGTCAATGCTTATGATTAAAAGCACAAAATATTTGTGAAGACAAGTCATAACATCAAAATTCAACAAAACTGGCCGTTGATGTGGTGTTTATACAGAAATAGAGGATATATGTATACACGGGAACAAGTGATCAGTGCATCAGTGCATCACTTTGTGACAGCAAATGGGAGAGTGGGGGTCAAGCAATTTACGGCCAACACATTACTGACTGAGCTCTTGCTGTTCACAATCATTAAAGACCTTCCTATGAATCACTCTCTCCTTTTCACTCTATGGGGCCTCTGATAGCTATCTATATAAACCATACATATATCTAACTATACCACAGCAGTATAGTATACAATAAAAAGTAGTAAAAACACTAATGCCTTACAATATATACATAAATAGTGTATTGCATTATCTCATGTATTGCTATACAACTAAAGAAACATTTGGCACAATAAAGCAAATTTAAAAGTAAGTTATCTTTTAGTAGTAAACTAAAGAATCGCATAAAACTGAACCAAAAGAGTCATCCAATTGATTACTCACTAAACATCACAACAACATCAGTATTAGTCCAGTCTATAGTCAGTGCACTTTCACTCACTCTGTTTATGTATGGTTCGCTTCAATGAATCCCTTTTTAAAACATACAAAATGTTGTTCACATAAAAGGTGGGTCTTTTCATTGAGTGGCACTGACTGACAGTGCTTTCCACTATACATACATATATACAACTCAGGAACTCATGGATATCCGGTGCAGGAATACCGAGTTGGTAGCCAATGCTTTTAGACCCCAACATACATAACATCCCTTTAAAATAAAGCTTGCAATGCATTCAAATGATTAAATACGGGCCTCTTTTGTCACACACTTTCCTGAGTGTATGCATCCCTCCCTGTTAGCTCAGTTGTTGTAAACTTGTCGACCCATTGACTCCCTCGACAATGTTTTCAGATAGACCTCAAATGTAATGTCAAAAACTTACTTTTATTTGGCGAACAGTCATCCAAATGACGGTTGACATTAACTTTGTGAGCAGTTTTATCTTTTTCCTCAATACCATTATTGACTGATTGATCAACTTTTTCATTCAAAACACATGTCATATTTGAATTATTTTTGGTCATCACTTTATCGACCGGTTCCGCATATATGACTGCTGTATCGCTTCGTTGCAAATATTCTTTAATCTTTATGTCTTCTGTTTTGTCTAACACTTGCATCGATGAGGTCTCAATTGTCTTTTCTTTTTTATCACTCGTTTCTTCTAATAAAAACCAATTTAAAAGACACAAACAAATTGATGTATAAGTAACACAAATATTTGTTTATCTAATAAATAGTACATTACTTAATTAGTTATCATTGCTTACAGACCTGATTTAGTTTCTGTATTATCTTCTTGTTTACAATCATTTGGTTGCTCATCGGTGTCGTCTTCATTGTGACCATTGATGACAACTTCGTCTGAGTCTTTGCTTTTATTAGTGTTAGTTTGTTGAGTATTATTAATGTTATTAAGATTGCTATTTATATGATTTCGTTTGGTATATCCATTTGTGTTAATAGTATTGCAAATAACATGTTTGGCACTGACTTGTTGTGGACTACAGATCATATCGGTATCACTTTGTTTGAGGCATTTCTTAGTTTTATTATTTGAATGCTTTTTGTTGGCTTTGACTGACAAACTCTTGTCATTCGCACTTAACTCCAACTCTTGTATATCATGTGAAACATTGACTGAATGTTTAAACTTATCGTTATTACAATTTCGAGTATCGGCTGAATCGACATTTTCTTGTGCTTCTGGAACTAAATCGTTATCTTCGGGCATCTTATTCTCCAATTCAACTGAAATATTCATAAAATAATATATAATAAATAATATCATTTATTATATGTACTGTATATATTAAAATCAAAAATATAAGTTAAATAAAAAGCAACCTTATTCACATAGTAGTAGTAATATTAATAATAATAAGCACTTAAATAATAATATAACAAAATTTATATATTATGAGATAAATGCAATTGTAGTGTAAGATATTGTAGAAAATATAGATATTATGCAAATCATGTCAAAAGAGTCACCAAATTCTTGATACAATTCTAAACACTTGAGTGCATATGAAATCAGCCGTAAAAGACAACGCTAGAGAAAAGTCAACACTAAATACATTGAGCTATAAGAGTGACAATTGATGAGAGAGACCACAACTAAGTTTTATATTAACGATAATACAATGTTGACTGTTTCACAACAAAAAGTGCTGTCTATTGTCATACAAAGCCTACAACTCTCAGTACTGAACCCTAAAATTCAATCTATTCTTAATACCACTTATACGATATTGTATTATAAATATTAGTATAAATAAGTGAGAAAAATTGTATTATATATATACCGGTATATATATATATATATATACTGTATATATATAATACTAGTTTTTATAAACTATATAAACTAAAGTACTGAGAAAGAAGATTCACCACTTAAAATGATCTAATATTTTAACTAATTATCTTGTATTAAAAATCAATTATACAGTATTATTGTTAATTACTACTTATTTGTTGCACAAATATATGCACCAAATAAAAAACATAAATAGAGTAAAACATTTTGAAAATTAATAATTCAAAATGTGTAATAAAGGCATGTATTATAATTCAATCAGCATATTAGTCATATGACACATAAATAAAGCTTTAACTAAATAAGATTTTGGGTCATATCATTGACTAAATAGTAAACGATAAAAACACGATCAATACAATGGTGTTTAGTTATAGTTTGATAAAATTGCTTGGCTTGCAATCCAACAAACATAAATCCATAATACCATATATTTATGTTGTACAGTACAGTACAATATATATATATATATATATAAGTTAATATAAAGTTTAGATCAGTGATTGTGTTGAAAAAATGAGAGTTGAATTCAGGAGACAGTCTTTTGGTGGATATAAATGAGAGACTACATAGACTACAGTATCATTACTGATGTAGTACTCGATAACTCCTAGAGATGGGGAGTAATGACACGTCTATCAAATGTCTTTCCTATTATTTTATTGCCAAACGTATGCAAAAGCAAAATGAAACTCTAGTTTGAATATAATGGATAAAAATATATAGAAATGACTTTCAGGTGCAAATGGTATATATATTTTGGCATTTAGTTGATCATTGGGTCGTTTAATTAAATCATATCAAGCAATGAGTAATGATATGACAAAAGTTAAATTAATTTGTATGCTTCAGACCGGACCAAACATTGACTACCAGTTCTCTGTTTGAAACATACATACATTTTATGGATACCTTGCTTTGCTTAATACATGTATATGATTATTGCTGCTAAGTTGGAGTCTTATATTAATGTAATACCGACACGAGTCAGACCATTGGTGATAGTGATGATGTGGTGCTGGTAGTCATACAATGGCACAGAGGCATTGATGTTCCCCATCTCAATGCTCTAACTGCTAATCTAATAAAAAGCCTTTCACCGTAAATGTGTTTTTCAGACGTCCCTACTATTAATTGTGGGGTAATTCAATTGAAACTCCAACCTATATTTTCTCTCCCTGTGCTCTGTACTTACACTCCATATAATAACTCAAACTCTGTTCTGACTTTTATTGTAATCGCTTTCTCTCTCATTCTCTTTATTTCACAAACTTATATATTATATATAAAATATCATATCATTTGTGAACTGATTTTTCAAACAAAACTAAAATCTTTTTTCATATGAAAGACTCCATTGGTTTCTATTTTTTCAATTTATTAATGGAAAGTCAACTAAACGTTATTAATTTAGAGTCAAATAATTGTGACTTTTGTTACATATATAAATGCTAACAAGATATTTGTTATATAAATAAAAATAAACATAAAAATAATTTAAGCATAAAACACATAAATACTAATATACCGTATTAATTATATTTTTTACTAAAATCATATTCAAATTGTAGTCATTTGTAAATTACAAATATTTTCTATAACAACACAATTAATATACTGTACATGTAATATAACGGTATATTTGCATATAAATTGCATTATATCTATTGGTCAACATTTTATAAGATATCATAGCTAAGTCAACATTTTCTTATTATTAAATACTAACACTAAAAACTTGAGTTCTTTATCTTTAAAACAAATCATTTTTGGTATTTTCACTAAAATAGTAATTAAAATGAGTTTAGTTTTGGTTAATGCTAGCCTTGCTCTGGGATAGTCTAGAAAAAAACGGTATATCGATTTGTACCGGTGTGAGCGTATATATGTGAGTGTGTTCACAGAGTTAGCTCTCACGTCTCACCTCTACATCTGGTGACCAGATGTCATGTGTTTGTCACTCACTACCATCTTTGCCGATTTGGTTCTCTCTATCTCTCCCACTCTCTCTCTCTCTCTCTCTCTCTCTGAGATTATTTGTTTAAACAGTGTGGGAATTCGTCATCCATTTATGATAGCATTAAAAATATCAAATTTCTTTTACTTTTAAGATCAGACACATTTACAAAACCTGTACACAACTTGTCATATAATATTAAAGTGAGTTAAAGTAAGTAAAGTTAGTTATTATTGATGTCATTTTTTGTGCAATTTTCAAATTTTCTAATACTGTATTTGAACTTAAATTATCTCATTTTGTAATATTAATGATTTCAAGATACTGGCAATCCTGGTAAAGTGTGTGAAATTAATAAGCTATGGCTAACAACAACACCAACACAGTAGCCAATCAACGGTGTCAAGCATTATGTCTGAACAGTAATAACAGTAATGATGAACAGGTCTGAACCTCCAGACTCAAGAGTAATGCAAAGACCGTTACCAATGTATACATCAATACATTGAATCACTTGTAAAGTCTATGGGGAGAGTAGACACGGGTCTCACACGTTGTGAGTTTATTGTATTTTGTTATAACACTCATATTGTATTATTAACGACATTGTAGTCATCCCTATCCCCACCTGGACTGGCACGCGACACACCGTTTGAAAAGGTGACCGACAGTACCGGCACACGACATTCCCCCCCGATTCACCTTTTTAGGCATTTGTATGAACACCTATTGTGTTAGAGGCCTCACACACATACACACACACTCTCACTCATCCGCTCTTTAAATAGAAGATCCTTTTATTGAATAAATATTATATTGAGTGCACTTTCAATATAAGTTGAGTACAAACTTATCAAATATGTCATACAATTGGGAATTTCCCACCTCTTTATCCAATATATATAGAGGAGAGAACCTTCCAGGCATAGGGTGCTCTCATTTAGTTAGGGGGACCTTAAAAAAGTAATGTATACCGTAGTTATACCATAGTATAGCATAATATAGCAATGATGAGGCAAAGCCCAGCTGTTTATTCAAAAGCAGAATCAAAAAAACGTAGGGAAAGTAAGTTTATGTCATTTGGTTGAGACCAATATACATATATACTATGACTAAAGGAACAGGACAACCGAGATATGACCTCCCAGTGCTCACACAAACTCTCACTCACTCTCACTGTGACTAACGATATACTGTATTTAATCATAAATCATAGCTATTGTAACCCAAACTAAAGCCACATATCATAGACATACCAATCGGGAGTTATGTGAATGAGAAATGACATCGTCTAACAAATATTCACATCATTTAATAAAACAATCAAAACTTTTAATATGATATGACATTTCAATTGTATAAATAATTCAATTATATTAAAATCAATGCATACTTTGCTTTATTTTGTATGTGTTTGTGTGACTCTCAAGAATGTAATCATTAATTTGTAAGGAAACGGATGTCATTGTTAGCTATGATTGTTAGCCTTGTTTTTTGCTATTCAACAATACCAACAGTTACATAATAGTCATACCGTATAATAACACAGTATAATGTAAGGAAAGTATACTCATATCTCACATCCCATATAACCTGAACAACAAATGTTTGTTTTCAAAAAGACTAGACTTCAAATATCATATGTTATTATATAAAGGTATATATACTCTATAACTGCCAATACAGAGGCTATGTTTTCAATTATATCAACTGTTTAGGTGTCATATTAAATGCACCTAAAAAATAACGCCAACATCACTGATTGTGCAAATATAATACTAAAAAGGCTAACGTTTGGCTATTATATCGAGTTAAGGCCTATGCCGGGCATATAATGTCTCATATTATTGCATTATTGCTTATGTAAGCTATTTTTGTTTATTTTTAGGCCAATTATTTTAACTGAAAGCCAATTACTTTGCCATATGGTTATTATATAAGGCTAACTTAAAAATTTCCTAAATATGAATTATTAGTGGCTTTTAAATGAGTCCAATAGTTTACAGTATATATGTACAGTATATACAATATTAGATAAATAGAAGTTTATATGAGATTGCAATCATTAAGGCCATAGACATAGGTATAGGTAGTGCAAAGTTCATTGTTTTGGTAAAAAGTAAATAACATATACTGTATAAGCATTTTTTGAAATTGCATTCATAATGACAAACATTGAATAATTAGAAAAATAAAAACCAAATATAAAACTAAAGACATGTATAAAGAAAGAAATGTTAGTTTGTTTGAAGATATGCCGCCATCGATGGTATAAATGTAAACCAGGTGTTGGTGATGCCGGTGTTAGTGACTAATCAATAGTAGGAGTCAGTGCTAGTGCCAGTGCCACGACGGTCGGGGCACCGGATGTCAAAGCACTGGTAGAGCACAAAACAGTACATTCATCTCATCTCTCATTTGCTCATTTGTGTGACTCCTGTGTCTCACTTGTCTTGAGTTGACTCTCACACACCTTCTCTTGGAATTATAACTTATCAGTTGAAGCACTGATACTGTGATACTGTATGTCAAGAGTCTGTGCTATGCTATGGTATTGAATGTGTTGGCAATGCAATGATGGAGCCGTTTAGGTTATGGCAGTGCTTTTGGTTGGAATTTTTGGTACAACCTTAACGACCCTCAGCCGGTCATCTGGACTTTGTCAGCACATAGATGTTTGTTTGCAACCTTGTGCTCAACACTACTGGCCTTTTGGTTGCCTTCACTTAATTTACAAAACCTCATTTGATTAGAGGAAACATTGAAATCAATTTTCTTTTAGCATTTCAATCGATAAGTTATAATTCCCGAGAGATATATACATTCAAATAAATACAAAGTTTATTATTACTAAACTTTTTAAACACATTTTATAAATTATTTTCAACTATTTTTTTGTTAACCTAAACATTAAATATTAGATTTCTTACCATAAAATATAAGACTCTGAAGTTAATGACATAATAATTCTTGACTTTATCTCTAAAATAAGACTTTTTAACGCAGATAACAGTTATGAGAGATATTCATATAAACAAAATACAAACTATTTTTCAATACACCACATATACAGTCAAAATGGATAACAATATTATTATGAATATAAAGCAAAGCATATGTGTTTGTCATATAATTTTCAAGTTTTACTTCAATATAAAAACAATTGATTGCATTTCACAATTGCATCTCATTTTTGGTGATTTAATCAGTTATTATAGTTAGTTAAACCTTAATGTTATTTACCAAAGTATTTATAACAATGTCTGGGATTGGCTTTTTGTTTTGACAAACTTTTGCTTTCAAAAAGTCAAATAAGTGGGGAAAGAGAGAGAGAGAGAGAGAGAGAGAGAGAGAGAGAGAGAGAGAGAGAGAGAGAGAGAGAGAGAGAGAGGCAACAAAAAGTTGAGTAATAAGATTCAGACAAAAGACAATGACTCAAGACTTTTAAAGTTAAATTACATTCAAAAAGTAAGGATAAGTTAATCTATTTTTAGCCTATAATTTCATTACGCTTTTTACGTGTTTAGAGTTGATATAAATATATATCATATAATATATATATATCGTATATACTGTATATATATATATATATTACATAAACTTATAAGCGTTTTGCTGGCAAACAACACATTCACTGTTAATGTATTTACTGCTTAACTAATAGGTATGTGTTATGCGGTGTATATGTTGTGTTGTGTAAGTATTAAACAGTAAAAGTAAGTCATAGAGTGATAATTGAATGGACAGGTAATAAATGTGTGGACAAGACATGACATGACATACCGTTTTTCCTCTTAGGATAGGCTTGTTTACGTCGTGTACACTTTGAGCCGATGTCTGCCATCAAAGCCATGCCTGAGTCAGTCAACGATAGTCTCTCTTCATTTCATTTCTCGTGTCAATTGATTTACACAATATTCTTGTCTGTTATGCGATGTATGACTACATCGGCAATAGAGTCGCTACCAGTGCTACCAGTGCTGCACAAACACACTATAGAGGGCATCAAATGTTAATAACACAGTCTCTCAATACAAAGGTTTATCCAATTTTGAGCTCAAGAGGTGGGGCATAACCATCCAATAAGCGCCGTATGAATGTCTATATTAGACATACCTTTCCATGTGATCGCGTCATCTATACTGACACTAACGTACTGCCAGTCATTGGCAATACCTGTGCTGTTGTCGATTGGCTCAACCAATCATTGGACTATTGTTTCGCTGATTCATAAAAAAAGTTTATTTACGAACCAATAATGAGATTACTATTGAAATGATAGGACAGGTATTTATTTGTTTGGCAGTAGTGTCCGTCAACTTATTATATCTATTGATACAATACTCTAGATGTAGTATAACTGTCCCATATTACACAGTGTAATACACACAATTAATAGGCATTATTAATAGATTAAACAAACATTTGAACAAGGGCATTTACACTAATCATTATTAAACTTATTATTAATGATTAATTAATATATGATAATATTATAAATATTTAATTGAAAAAATAGTTAACAATTGACTGCATTGTTTGGCATTTGACACAAATATCTAATGAATAACACATTTGATTAATCAAAAAAACTTTGTTAAACTCATTGGTCGCTAATATCAATGCATTGATTTTCACACTTTTAATAAATGATTTATTACTTAACGTTCACACAAACATATATGATATTATATATACTGTGTAATACACATACAGTATATAACATAACAGCAACTTTAGCCGTGTCTTGATTTGATGCAAATGTTTACATTTATTTTATTATTTTTAGCGATGAAATACTATCCAAATAGCGATTTTGTGAATATAAGTATATTTTGTGTCAAAAACAAATTACTTCATCAACTATTTGCGTGAAATATACAGTTTATACAGTTATATCTGTTTCTAATAAGATATCTTCAGGTTTTAAATTATGTTATCACTCAATATCTGCACATTTACTTTATATTTATTAAAAACACTAATCAAATAATTTTATAATCAATGTATTCATTGTATGGCACAGTAAAATGTTATCAAAAAATAGGTGGAAAGGGAGCAAACATATAGACCTTGTTTAGTGTGGCAAACATTTTATGAGGAGATAGATCTAATACATTTGATAAATTAATTACAACAAAAAATACTAATAATCAATAATGACATAATTGTAATGTAAACAACAAAAATTAAAGACAAATTAAAGGTAATTTAAATAAATTATTCACTAATTTAAAAATTATTATATAATTATTTCCAATCAACTATTGCTCAATTTATTATTATTGTTTTTAACAACTATTGTATTTTATATTATTATTTGTCAGTAAATGGTTCGTTAAATTGTTAAACAGTAATAATAAAAATTTATGATATGATTAGACAAACAATTGCTTGATTAATAATTGAGTGAATAGATGGGTCACACCTGATGCTTAACCACTGACTGGTGATCCCAATAGTAGTAAAACTGATGTAATGTACTGTATATACGAATATTATGTATTGTCAGCAACAGTGGTGGTAGTGGTGGTGCAGACACATAGGGATCACATCAATAAATACTAATTATATTTTATTATAGGAGTCGAACATCGTTTGTATGTATTTCCTGTTTGCGTCACTTAATCTAAATGTTATAACAAATGAAAGTTTGCGGTATTTCTCAAACTATAGTCTATTGCCTCAAACACAACATAACACCAATACTACAGTACAGTAGAGTAAAGACATGTTTCCTGTGTTTGAATTACTTTAAATAAATTAGGTATTCATTGCTTTATTACATTCATTTTCTGTAGCATTCAATTGGTATCAATTGTCGTAATGTAACAAAACTTATTGCTCTTTTTAATACACAAATAACCTAACATTTAATACATGTATATTATATAATTTAAGATGTATTAACATTTTTAAATAAATTAACCAATAATTCTGTCATTTTTATTAGCTTTAAGGTTTCAGTTCAATTGAGTTAATTTTATTATAAATTAAACAAAATATTCCACAAATTTTCCATATATTGTTTATTTAATCAAACTTATGTCAGATGTTATAAATTATATACAATCAAAGTTTCAAAATTAATTTAATATAGGCTAATTAAAAATTTATATTTTGATATTTTTAAAATATTCAAAATGCCTAAAAATATAATTTTATCTACTTTATATTTTTAACTTTAATCATTTAATCGATTTATATATTTAATTAGATTATTATTAATATTAATTTATAAATAATGTCAACGATATTTTTTATGATAATATTTAACTTAAATAAGTTATAAGTTGATACTACTTTATTTTTAATTATATTTTTAATTTAATTAGTATAATACAAATTATAAAATGTTGCAATTTTATGTAACTGTAAAAATTAATTAAACATTTAACTTTATTGAATTATGATTATAACCAATGATTATGACTTTAATTAGTTTTCAGTAAACTATAAAGTTTTTTAAGTTAATATTATGATTACTAAATATGACTTTAATATAAAACATTTCAGATATATTGTAAGTTTTTAAATTTGTATTTTAATTAACATGATGAAAGTTATTATTTATTTATTTTTGCAAATTAAATAGAAGTGAGAATTCAATAAAATCTAAATTGTACTTGATAAATCATACAATAATATATATTAATATTATACAGGAATAAACAATTGATAGCTTATGTTAATTTCCATCAATTATAACAAATATGCTAACTCTTATAATTGGTAAACTAATAAATGGGTGACTCATACGGTATTATATTGATGTTATGATTAGACCTGAGCCCTAATGGGATATCCGACTTTTATCATACACTAGCAAAACTACAACATGTATTTATTTTTGAATAATTAGACATTTTGTAATATAAGACCAAATAGGTTAGAATTATTGTATACAAAATAACTAACATTATCATACTGTACACAGTTTACAATAATATGAATGTTATTAATATAAATTTATTATAATATTTGTTAAACATATTGAAATTATTATTGAAAAATAATCTACAATAGAAAGTGTTTATTTAAAACATTTAAGATAAAAATAATAACATACCTTCACGCAAGTTTAATTTAAGTTAAAATTTAATACATTAAGTTTGAACTTATTATCAATTATTATATAATATATATTCAACTTCAACTTAATATAATATTAATGCAATCAATTAATTATTTAAAAAAGATAAAAATTTGTTTAAAAGCAAATTTATATCTACTTTTATATTGTATATCACTGTAAATAGTGTAATAAAGTATAAAATCAATTAGGTGAACATAATTTTGGCATTGAATGGTTTGGCATTAATTTTTAACATTGGTATTATATTATAATATTATTGGTATTATAATTTGAAATTCAATAAAATAGCTAAAATAACATCTGACTTCAAAATTTATTTATTGTGTACAATACTTAATTATATTGATTGTAAATACTGTAAACTTTTATATGTTGTTTTCAAAACTGTAATTTAAATTTAAAATATGATACTAAAAAAATTATTATTATTACAATCAATCGCTTCAAGCATAATATTATGCAATATAAATAAATATTATACCAATACATATTAAACCAGAAATTTGCATACAATTAACACATAGTATTTACATTATCTACTTTTACTATATTTTTTTAGTGGTCAATATAAATGACACAAGTCTCATATACCAAGTTTAGCTACAAACTCATAGATTTTGATGATTATTTAAAATAATAACTTAATTGCTAAAAGTAACATAATATTTTTTTATGTTATGTTATGTTATTCTGTAGACATATAAAATTATTAATTAAAAAATTGTGCTTAAAATGTGCTAAAAGTGAGTATTATTATTCTATTGGATTTTTAAAAAATTTTCAATGACTATAATTAACATATTAAAGAATCTTTATTAATATATTATAAATGTAAATGAACTCAAATGGGAAAAATTAAGAAATATTAGCTCCGATTCTAATCAAAATAGTATATTATTTTAATCACAATCAAAGGTTTATATTGATATAAAAAACATGAATTCATATAATTCCTTAAAATGTAAATATAATTCAAATTGCTCTAACTTTGGATTAATATACATAAGACACTGTGCTTAATGTATATGTAGATTAAATTTATTATAAAATCATTTTCACTTAAAAAACTAATAAAATATAATTAAATGTTTATTTTCAATGTATTGCCATTCAGTTTACAAAAATATTATTTAATATTATAAAATAGTTGAAACAGATGTATATAAATCAATCAACAACAAAAAATGTAAACTTAATGGTAATACATTGAAAATTGACTTTGAAGCTTAATTTTTAAAAATTGTATTTGAAGCATTTAATATTTATTTGTCTAAAAAATAATGCTAATTAGAAAATATTATAAAAATTTTAATTATCAATTTTAACAAAATTTAAATAGTTCTTTTTAATAATAAATAACTATTATAATAATGATTTTTATTAATAAAAATATAATTCAATTTTAGTTTTAATGCTAGTTTTCAAAATTCAATACTGTTGATAATATTTATCTTGATATTTCAACATTGCAACATTTTAAATAGTTTTTTATATACATTATAATTTTAATTACCATTATTTTTAATAATTAATAAAGTATTCTAATTTTTATTAGTTTTAGTTAATGTTTAAAATACTATACTATGTACTGTACTGTACTGTATTTATATCGAAACCTATTTTTACTATCCTATGAATCTAATGCCCAGTACTATCTAAAGTTCATTTAAACCAATTATAATGAATTAGATTTATAAAATTAGTGTAAATTACAATTTGTAATATAACGATACAGTACTATTCGAGTCAATCATTTTTATTGATTCCTATTATTATAAGTTTTATATAATAATTGATAGGATATATTGATAAAAATTTATATTTTTCATAACAATTACAACATTAATGTCCGATACTCTGACCAAACATAGAATTCTTATTCAACTGTATTAGCTCTGTATTTATAAAACGGAAAACTTTTATAAACTGTATATACTGTACAGTATAGTAAAATATAATAGTTTTAAATCATAGCTTTAATTATAAAATATATAAATTTATGATTAACTAATTTAATTTTTGAATCGATTAATATCAATTAAATCAAATAAAAATCAAAAACAAATAGTTAATTAATTTTCTATAATAATTATTACAAAATTTTTTATTTTTATATTACATTAGAAAATGATTTTTTTTAATTATCTTTTGATATTTTAAAGTAATTACTATTCATTAAGATATTTGTTGAAACTATAATACTGTACAATATTTGTTTTTTGTTACATTTTAATAATTTTGTATTTTTCTAACAAAATCGCAAATTTAGTTAATTGTTAATAAATATTCTAGTAATGACATGTCATAAATTATAACCCATAAAAGCCATTAATTTTATTTTATTGTTAAGATTTAACTAATTTAAAATCCTCATTTCTATTTAGTTTTTATACAGTATTTTTAAACAATTTAATAACACTGTATACGATTTAACGTTTGCTTCTATAAAAAATAATGAAAAATATTTTTTTAATTGTATTATTTTAAAAAATCTATTAATGCAATAAAATTTAAAATATAAATTTTTAATATAACAACAATTACTGCAAGTATGCTAAATTATTTGTAAAGATTTTTTGTCATTTATTTCATATAATTGTGCTACAATGATTAAAATAGTAAATAAAAATAATATATATATATATATTAAATGACAATAGACAATGATTAAATATAGATAAGAGAGAGAGAGAGAGAGAGAGATGACATATGCATTACGGTAATTGTGATTAGCAAATATTGAATAAATATGTAAATATCTAATCACTGATATAATTTGTATTACAATAATAAATATGTAGTAAATATTGTACAAAAAATAACAAATACTATAAATACAATATACTATACAATAATTGACTTAATATATAATTAAAGTGATTAACTTATTGGAAATAAGCATTGAATGCATTCGTTTAAATCACAGACTAATCAATTGAAAAATTTCATTCATCTTATAATAAAATGTTATAAAAAAATATTTCCATTTTTTAGTTAATTGTGCTAATAATGATGTAATAGTTTTTTGACACAATTTAATTGATATTAAGTTATCTTAGTTTCAGTCACCGAGTCTTCATGTGTTGATCCAGTGATCTGCGTTTGAGACTCTTTAATAACGTCCTCATAACTGGGAGGCGGATCGTTATTCATGCTATCAATTAATATGGATTCATATGGAGGCAAATGACCGGTTGTCTGGTTATTATCATTGCTCTGATGGCGCCTATTATGAGCTGTAGTGCCACGTCTTGAATCCGTATTACTTGCAGATCGACGACTTCTGCCACTATTTGACGAGTTATGACCATTTCTGACCAAAACATCTTGTTTTCGGCAAAGATTATGCCATATAAGAGCACAACAACATAACAGACTAAAACAAGCCATAAGAAGACCGGCGGCGGTCGGTATCATTAGCACAGGATTTGAGCCTTTTCTCGTGTTTTTAGTTTCTATTGTTTAGTAAAAAACAATTTATTAAACAAATATAAACAATCATTAAATCAGTTTATATGACAAACCAGTCAATACACAGACGCGATGGTTGCGATCAAAATTGAATCCGGGATTACATTCACAACGACTGGTATATGGACTTTGATTGCAGTGAGAATTCTTGTCATTGTGAGTACATTCCTCTGGATGTGAACAGCGCTCTCCTACTTGTTTGGGGGCCAGACATGAATGCGGTCCGACTGAGATCGGGTACTCCTTCTTACACCGACAGATGTTGGACTCATCGCAGTATACGTGCGATGAGATCGGTAGACACATCCTCAGCAGTGAACACTGTTGACCGATATGGCACTCAACTTATAATAAGACCACAAGACATCACATCAATTGATTACTTCAAATGTATGGCAAATATCATATCATAAGTTATGTATACAAACCTCTCGTAAAACCAAACACTGAATACAAGAGATAAACGGCTGACAAATACTTTGCAACCGACAGATCGTAACAAAACATTTTCATTGACCACTTGTTTGGTGTCAATCATCGACACATGTCTTGTCGTTGTTGTCTTTGATGACAATAATGTAATTAATTGTTTTGTTGTAATATTTACAGTAAGTCTCCAAACAATGTAGTAATCATTGAATCAATTATTGAGTCAATAATACATTGATATTAATATACAAAATACGTCTTCAATTCAAAGTAGTGTTGCTTTGAGTACTCAAACCAATTGATTAATTCATTCATTGATTGAATCAATTAATTATTTAACATTTATTTTTAAACATATATTTTTAAAACATATAAAATCTATAATCAATTCAAATATCATTTGTTAAGTAAATGACATAAAATTTAATTTAATTTGAAGTCAACAAACAATTACAACACTATTTGTTGCAACACTAGTCTCTCAACACAAGTGACTCATCTAAGCATAGCTTTTAGTATCCAATAAATGACTGAAAAATTGTTTTCAAATAGCATTGAAAAACTATATTCAAAATAATATGTTATTTTGAAAAAAAAAATTCAATGACAAAAATACTAACAAAAATATCCTCTAATTTGTGTTTTACAGCTATATTTCATACGAAATATAGTAAATATTATTATTATAATAATTTATACTTGTTTTGCGGGTTTTAATTATTTTAATATATATTTTCATAGTTTACATTAGACATGTCAGTCAATTTCATAACTTATTTCAATTATGAAAATATTATATTTAAATAAATTTTCCTAAAATTGGTTTTTAAAAACTTTAATTAACTTAATTTGCATTTTTATAGTTTAAGTATTGATAACATAATATAAAACAACCGGTGAATTGTTTAATATATTTAGCATTGAGTTAAAAAACATATGTCTCTTAAGATATTTAACTATTTATTCATAAATTAATGCTTTAAATGACAACAAATGATGAGATCATCAAATAATTTAATGTTTTACATAATAAAGTATTTCAGTATTTATAGTATAATAATATAATACAATATTATTATTATTATTATTATTATTATTATTATTATTATTATTATTATTATTATTATTATTATTATTATTATTATTATTATTATTATTATTATTATTATTATTATTATTATTATTATTATTATTATTATTATTATGCTATATATAGTTCATAGACCTGAATGTGTTTGTTTGATGAAAATTTAACAAAATATCTATTTATTATTACTTTTCAATTTTGAAATATCTTTGTTAATCATAACTAAGTCTCTGATAATTTACGATTTTTATGAATTTTTCGATAATTGGGGTTTTATTAGTAGATTATTATGAAAAAAATACTTTAAGACTTAGTAATAATAGAAAAGGTTGTGAATCCTAATAATAAATTGTTTGAATAAATATGACACTAATATTAATAAAAACATATATAATTTAAAATATTATATAACTTGTGAATTATACTAACAAAATGTATGTATAGTTAAAATAAACTCTTATTATTTAATATAAAATTACTATAATTGCAATCATTATTATGTCCATTCATATGTTGTGTATGTTTTGGGTATTTTTAAAAATATATAATTTAGATTTTCCTAAAATTATGTAATTCAACATCATATATATATATACAATTTATATAATTTTAAAACTAAACTATTAAAAATAATAATTAAATGCAAATATTTATAATTTCTTTATTTAAATATTTTCCTTATTTGGTTCATTTATATCATAATAATTTATTAATAGTATATATTTTTTAATACTTAAATTTTCAATAAATAATACATTTGTATTTATTATACTATATTTACTTAAAGAAATTTAAAAAATAGATATTGTAGTGATAAATGACAAAAGTTTTGATTTACTTTATGTCACTATAAATTAAATCCTTATTATTTTTATTTTATTAGTCAATTTACTTAGTTATCAAATGATATATAAAATAAATAATTTTCTTAATTGATTACTCATTCAAACTGTGTTTAAACATAACTATATGATAGGTATTCACTGATTATAATTAAAGTAAAGACATACATAAATAAATTTCAAATCAAAATATAATAAAATATTTATTTATAAATTAAAGTCTTTTAACAAACAATATAACATTAAAATTAACAAAAATAATTATACTGAATCATATTTATCATATTAAATGAATATAATCAATAATTGTAGTTATTAAACAATTGGTTTTTAATGGTTTACATAAATTATTTAAAGCTATTTCAACAAAATTAACGATTTTCATGAGATTTTTTTCATTTTTTTCATATTTTCTTTTGATAATACTTTAAGTGAAATTCTATGAAATTCAATGACTGTACATATAATAGCTGATAATAAATATGTTAATCTTAACAATTGGATTATTATATAACGCGACGGAAGTATAGTTTGAAGCATAGTTTGAGTGACGGGCCATATGTGCCGTTCGGCCACAAAAAATAATAGACATCTAACGATCTCAAATTGTAGGCTATATTTCCTAATTTAAACAATAAAATCAATTAATTCAGATATTATTTAATACTATATAATTTGTTGATTAATACTTATTTTCCAGTAGAAATCCAATCGAAGTAATTGATACTAATAGGGCTAAAATACATAATAGGATTGTTAATTGATTCAATTCATGGTGTCTTTGATTTAATTCGTGATAAAATATAAGGACAACAGCGAAGTGCCAAATGGTATATAATTTCTGTAGTAATGGTATCTTCGGATCCCAATATTCAACGGGTTGTTGTAACTAAAATCAACAATTTTTTAATTATTAGTATTTCAGTGATGATTCGCAAATTAAATTATTACGGCAGGAATATCATCGAGATATCCAAGTCTAGGTTTTCCCGGAGCCCATCCCGGTCCTTTAAATAGTATCAATAATTTATTTTTCCAACCATCCATGTGATACATGTTCTTAAATATTGTAATCCAATGATGTATTTGTAGATAAAATGGATTATAACTTTGCACTGGTTTGACCAGACCGTAGACTACCGGTTCATTGGGGTCTTCGGGTTCAAATGTTCTGAACATTCGGTCCCATAATATGAAAATTCCCGAATAATTTTTGTCCACATATTTTCTATTACGTGCTGTTAATTATACATATAATTAGACATTTTTGATAGGTATGCGTCGGTAATATGCATATACCGTGATGTACCCGATGATGACTCGGAGAGTTTAACACTAACTCTAGCGGACCTAATGTTTGAACAACTTCTGTGTGCAACCATAGCATATACAGCTCTCCTAATTGCAAATGTGCTAAAAATATTGGCGGAGGAATGCCTGACAGTGCCAAAGGAACGTATGTTATCTGTAATCAGTATTAAACAATTATCTTAATTAATATTTATTAATTATTAATAAAAATAGTTAATCATTAATCAGTACCCAAGCAGTAAAGGGTTGTAATACAGCTTGTCTTAGACCAGCTATAAGTGTAAAGTCTTCAGCGCTATGGTGTGCCTGATGTATGGCCCAAATGAAGTTGACTTCTGTATAATTAAAATTATTTTTTTTTAAAATTTCATTCAAATAATTTTTGATTCACCAAAAGGTTAAGCATTAAAATAGGCAAAAATCATTTTATATCTACAGTACATTAATTATATGATATTCATTAAATGTTTAACTTATTTGATTGATTGATTTAATTAGTATATTGATATTTTTGACAATTTGTTAGTATAAATATGTTATTTTTAGATTTATATTTTACTTTTTATGATTAAATCATCATAAATGCCATATACATATGACATAATCTTAAATAGCAGTATGTATGTCACTATTTTTTGTTTTGTTTTAAACAACAACAACAAAAATGACAAAAATAGTTGGATTTTATTCAGATATGATACCGTATGTTCAAAAATATATGCATACCGTGTGCGAGTCTATGAGCCCAATAAAAGCCAAAGTCAATGAGGATTAGGCAGTACCACCAGGTCCATAGGGAATCCCATTGCATTGTTATAATACGGAAGTTCTCGTATACAAAACAATAGACCACTACTTCAAAACTCCGCAAATTTAGCCTAAAAATTATATATTTTTCAATAAAAATTAAGTTTAAGTATTTTTATGCTTTAAAATTGTGGTAATGAAACTTAAAATTATTGTTTATTCGTTAAACATTAATTGGCAAATATTTGTGTATATTATTTGATAACAATTTTGTTTATATGGTTTTCGTATCTGACTTTTGTTTAACTTTTATTTCAATTTATTTATTTAGACAATTGCTGTTTAATTTAATTATGTTTTGTTTATTATTTATACAAAATTTTATTTTTTCATATAACTAAATAAAATAAAAATATTAACCAAGGTAAAAAATATACAGTATTGAGTTAGCAATGAATAAAAAATTAATATAATTTGAGAGATATATAAAACTAGTAAACACTGGGGAGTGTTAAGAACAATGACCTTAAAAAATAAAATTATTTAAAAAATTGTTTTTCAGTTAAAGTTTATATACTTTTTGAGAGCTTATAGTTTGATACTTCAAATACGGTATAATTTATAACTTATAAGTGAGTGATCATAATAGTGACCGACTTTAATAAAATGTATATTGTCTTTCATCTAATGGTATTATCTTAATAACATTAATAACTAAACATATTGTCAATTATAAACTATAGTCAATTCTTAACGTTTATATTAAGTATATGTATATTTTATATTTTTATATTAATACTTTGATGTTTAGCCAACTATTTAAAAAAATGTTTCAAAAATTTTATATTATTTTATATGTTATTATAAATTATTGAGAGAAAATAAAGTTGTTTATGTAAAAAGTAAATGTATATGAAATGCATAGTCTGGTCAGTCAACTTTTTTTTGTGGCACAAATTCTAGCCCAAAAGCACAGGTATCTTTAAACTTATTATGCCAGCAATAGTGCTTTTATAACAGATTATAATAACATAACAGGAAATATTAAAAAAGATACCCTACAAGTGGTTTATTAATATATATATTGTACCGCTATATAAATATATATATATACAGTATATATATATATATATATATATATATATATATATATATATAAGTTTCTTTTATTGGGTTTTATAAAAAATCAAAATTACTTTCTATAAATAACTTAAATATGCATTAAAATTACATTATTTTTATGTTCCAGTTTAGGTATGCACTCTACTTTAGTTTCACTCACTGATAATTGACAATCAATATACTGTATAATTTAGTATTTTAGTTTAATTTTATTATTTATAATTAAATCGTCAATAAATATTATATAATAACAATAAAAATAAATTTTAAAACGCAAATTATTTTTTACGAATATTAAATTTTAAATAATTATAATTAAAATTATGACCCACTATTATTGTCTTAAACAAATATATTAGCGATGAGTATAATTTGCAGTGTAATAATTAATATAAATTATATACAGTATAAATAAATATGATATTATCTCATAAATATATGTCATTAAAACTTTCAAAGTTTAATTTTTAGTTTTATAGATAATCTATCAAAAAGTATATAATTAATATAAAACTATGAAATCTTCCTGAAAACTTCATTGTAACTAAAATAAAAAATGTTTTTTATGAATAATTGTTTGACATTTGTATTATTATTTTAACTACTTTAATATGTTAGTGAATATAATTCATAAAAATTTTAACATTTTGTATTAATCTATTGTAAATAAAAAATTGTAATTTATTTTGGACTGATTTTATTGTAGAGTTCATTCGTTTCTATTTGTATTATAGCTTAAAATATTTATTTATTTACTATCTTTACAATATTTTCGTTTAAAAACTTATTTATGATTCACTTTTTATTAATGAGATTATACTAAATAATCTATTATTATAAATAATGGCTATGAAAATCAAATTGGGTTCTTTTCTAGATTTTTTAAATAATAATAATAATAATATTATAAATATAAAAAATTATAAAAATTATAAAAATACTATTATTATTATTATTATTATCAAAATAATAATCTAAAAATAACAACACAAAAACAAGTTTTGAACTATTTTTCAATTTCAATTATTTAAAACAATATTTATTTAGCTTTCCTCCCAAACACTTTAATTTCATTAATTGTTTTTACATTAATATAAAAACAAATTATGATTAATTTAAAGTATTGTTAGTATATTCAATAAAATTATCTAAAGATGTAACGAATATTATAGATATACAAAAATTATTATTAACATTATTTTTTTATTATCTAAAATAAAAACTAAAAATAAAGTTAGTATATATTATTCATTGCAAACAAATTATTTTTATTAAAAAACCTTTTAAAAATAATAACGTTTAATAAAAAAGTTATTTATAGTTTACATCAAAATAAACTTTATAATAATAGTCAAAATGAATATTTTTTGAATATAGAAATAATTAAAAATGAATTTATTGATATTTTTATAGAAAAACTAAAACTAAAGTAATTCAATATATTTTTAATAAATGACTTGATTTTATATTAAATAAGAAATGGTATATACGGTATATATATATACTATATGTTGTAAATGATGGCAAACCTGAGACACTCCTGAAAGACTCCCTGTCCGAGGGATGCAATCGAATCATTGATCCGTAAAATTGATTTTCCTTTCAAAAGTCTGACAGCATTTTCAGCGACGATTAGCGATACAAATATCGGAAACATCTGTGTATTGAATCAAATCAAACAAATAATTGATTAATTTCTTCCATTTTATTCTTCTATTTACATTACATCACATTTTTTGTATATTATTTTTTTACTGTTGATATAATAATTCTAAACATACGATAAGTTTTGTTTTTATTTAGTTTTTTATATTCATATATAAAAAGGCATTTATTGTGTGTGAGATCTCTGATAACGACTATTGTTAAGAAACATAAAAAACAATATAATATAATACAAGAAAACAAATCTAACAATTGTAAAATTAATTTACTTTAAATATTAATTATTTATAAAAATTATTTGTTTTAAAAACAATCTTATAGAATATTATATTAGGCTAAAGTGTGTATACATAGAGTAAATATTTAGTGTATGTTTATATAATATTGTATTATAACATTGATTTTTTCATTAAGTCATTATATGAAATAAATGTTTAAATAGATACCTCTTCCACATAACGGGGCACAAGTTTGATGTCCGGATACATACATTCCGATGGCAACACTAAATAAAATAGTTTTCTGCTTTTATCCAATATATAGATTATTAAATAAAAGATTTGTGCAACAAATTGATCTAACATTATAAATCATCAATCAATAAATCAATATTTAATAAACAAATCAATAAACTTTATAAAACACATCACAAACACAATTTCTTTAATAAGATTTCTCTTTTATTAAGAGAACTTTTTTTGACTAAAATCCCTTTTAATATTAGTTGCTTTAATGGCACATATTTTGAAACTCTCGATAACAAGTTATATATTATTTTATGTAACATTAGAGCTCAGTTACCTCAGAGCTTGCATTTTCCCAAAACTGTACCTAAAATAAACATTTTATGACTGGACTCTCTCATAGTGTGTGTGTATGCCATCGCTGGTCAATGAAAGATAATATCCAATTAGATACACGAATTACTTATGACGTGATATGACCTCAATTTTGAACCAAATTTTTGGGCTAAAGAAGGGTCCAAAGGATACTTGTTTTGCAAACATTTCATATCATATGCTGTGATGTAAATAAAGTATTATATAATAATCGGAATAATATTCAATATATTTTTAGGACAACTCTTTCACATTTACTATAAGAGTTAAAGTTTATAATATATTCATAATAATAACAAATATTTTATAATTTTTAAAAAATATTATGGAAATATTAAGTGAATATGTGAAACGTTTGGGATATCTTTTTTATTTAGTAGATCCCAAACAATCATCGTTTGAAAACATCAATGAAGTGCCCGATTATATAACTCAAGTGATCCCTTATTTTGTTAGTCTTATAGTTATTGAACAAATTATATTGTTTGCAAAAAACTATCGTTTCATAAGAGTTAATGATGCGATCGCATCGCTATCCCAGGGAATCCTTATGGAGCTCTCAAAGTATATTTCATTGTCATCTAATGTCTTATCTAATGATTGTTTCATTTTTTATTATTATATTGACAATAAAGGACTGGATTTAAAGGTTTTGCACTAATGTATTACATATATATCTATCAAAATTGGAGAGTATTTACACTGGAATGGCATCACACAAGCACCTGGATCATTGCATTTATTACAGTTGACTTTGGCTTTTATTGGTTTCATAGATTTACTCATGGTAAATTTAATTATTTTTCAATTATTTTTTATTTAATAATAAATGTTTTGTATTCAAAATGGCTAGACAAATATTTATAATTTAAAACTAGTTTTATTTGATTTATATTTTATATTTGCATATTTGTTATTATTATTTATAACTTATTGACAACTTTTATTTTTATTTATAACAAATAATTAATATCATATAAAGTATATTTATCTAAACAATAGAAAACAATTAATTTGACAATTTTGTACATCAGTTACAGCTAATTACAGTTAGATGTAATATTGTTAGCATCTATGATATAAATTTATAATAAACATAATATATATATATATATTTATTTCACATACAATAATTATTATGTGCTATTTATATAAATTATAATAAGACGACTGCTTTTATTTTTATCACACACTATAGTTGAGTGAAACATTTCAATAGATTTATATATCTATTTATAAGTTGAGAAAAAATATATTTAAATGAAATATTCATAATAATTTATTATTATTATTATTATTATTATTATTATTATTATTATTATTATTATTATTATTATTATTATTATTATTATTATTATTATTATTATTATTATTATTATTATTATTATTATTATTATTATTATTATTATTATTATTATTATTATTATTATTATTATTATTATTATTATTATTATTATTATTATTATTATTATTATTATTATTATTATTATTATTATTATTATTATTATTATTATTATTATTATTATTATTTAAGAAATGAATATATTATGGGCCGCACATCAGGTACATCACAGTTCCCAAGAGTATAACCTAACCACTGCTTTGAGACAATCGGTACTTCACCTCCTTTTCCAATATGTATGCAAACAAACAAAAAACAAAATAGTTTTACTTTAGTTTAAATATAAAAAACTATAATAATATGTTGGCTTTGATTCAGATATTTTACTTGCCATCAGCACTGGTCATACCTCCCGCCGTATTTCTAGTGCACAACCAGTTCAACGTTCTCTACCAGTTTTGGATTCACACCCAACTTATCGGAACAATGGGTCCTTTAGAGTACATATTGAATACACCGAGTCATCATCGGGTACACCACGGTATATGACATTTGTTGGCAACATTTACTAAACTTTATTTCCTTATTATCTCTAAATGAAATATGTTGTCATTATTTTTAGGCAAAGATGACTATTGTATTGACAAGAATTATGGGGGAGTATTGATAATTTGGGACCGACTGTTTGGCACTTTTCAACAGGAACTACATTATATTTCCTATGGATTGACCACTAATATCAAAACATTTAACCCATTTAATATTCAAATGCATCACTATTTTAGCATATTTTGCAAATTTTTTAAAATTAATGGATTTAAAAATAAATATATGACACTATTTGCCAGTCCTGCCTGGGATGTAGAGCCCATTGCTCAACAAAAATGTCATAAATCAGTCAATAATGATATATATGATCCACAAATTCCCATATTTCAACAAATATATGTATTAATTCATTTTGCAATCATTATACTAATTCATACAAATTTAATGCAAACCATAAATGTTTTGTCACACTATCGGGAAGTCATAAGTTTATCATTTATTTGTTTATCGTTAACATCGTTTGGATTTATAATGGATAGAAAGTATTGGTCCAAATATGTCGAAATATTCAGATGTTTTTATTTTTTAATTATTGAAAATAACATTTTTAACATATCAATAGCTAATGATAATAATTATCATTTCATACTTTTCATTGAATATATATATTTGTTGTCAATTTTAATTATATTTCTGGAATTTTTGTGCAATCATTACATTTATATTTACATAAAAAAGAAGTATATGAGTAACTAATTTAAGTTTATTTTTTATAAACATTTTTGTCTGTGATATTAAACTAAATATTTCAAATTTTTAAAACATTTTTAATTGTATTTGTTATATATTTGAAAATAAATATATATATATATACCGCTAATTAAATTAATTTTACGTCATAACATGCTTTTTATTATTTAATAATAATTTGATATCATTTCTATATAATAAAAGGAAAAATTATATATACTATTATGTAATATAATAGTGAAGCATTAAATTAAGTCAATAAATTATTATCACTTTCACGAGTTATAAAAATAATACAAACAATTAATACAAAAACAATTTATTTTATTCTTTGGCTTATATTATTTTAAATGCTTAATAATTGTTTACAATTATTTTGTATCATATAAACAGCGTTCAGTATATAATAAAAATTTATATACTAATAAATAGTCATAAATAATAAGTAAATCATTTAATAACAATTATATTATTAAATTAGTTTAAATTGAACAATTGAAACAGTATAAAAATTTGTCATAAAATATTAAAATTAACTTTTAAGCAAACTTTTTATTAAAAAACGAGTCCTCAATATTCATATTTATATATCATTTTAAATACTGCATATTTCAACGACAATAAACAGTAATAAAATATAAAGTTAAGTGTAAAGTTTCATAAATTGCACTAAAAGCTGATTTATCGATATTTTTATAAAATAAATTCATAACATTTGCTAGTTTAAAGGTTATACTAATTTAATAAAATGTTAACTATTTGCACATTTTGCATTATTTTAAAAAGATAAAATCTTATGAATTTTTGTGAACAATATTCCTAATGAGTAATGAAATTGCATTAAGAAACTATAACTATTATTATAATATTTAATAACTATAAATTTATTAATTATATAATATTTTATCTCTTAATATGTTTTTATATGTTTGTGACTTTTGTGAAAATAGCTATTTGTTTGCATTTATATAATAACAAAAAAATGCATTCATTTAACTATAACTTTTGTTAAATATTTTCAATTATCTCTTAATCATTAATCACTAAATCAATAGATATGGTGATTATCACAACCCATTCTCAAAACCAATTCCTCCAACTCTTTAATCCGTTTATCTTTGGCTTCAATTTGTAGTTCCAATGTATGAATAGTAGTGCACTGACAGTGATAGGCTCTCCATAACTATTTAAATGGAAATTATTATATAAATTAACAAATAAAGCAAAATAATGTTGAATACCATCTATACCTCAATTTCATTCTTCGGCGGTGAACAACTTAAATCATCTGAGCTTTCCTTTTCATAATTAATACCATTTGTAATACAGTTTGAATGACCATTTGTAACGCCGTGAATGAATGTGCTATTGTTTTGATTATTATTATTAATATTACTAATACTTGTATTTATATCATTAATTAGTTGGTCAATGTCTTCAGTATCGACTGTATTTGTTATCTCCAGTCCAGTCATTGGTGGTGGCGATGGCGTCGGATTAGATTCAGAGTGCGAGTCGTCGAGTGTAACGAAAGTAGCGGTTGGTAATTGTTGCACAGTTACGATATCACATAAGTTAATAGTTGTCTTTCTCGGCTCCATGTCCTTAACCCAGGGCAATCTTTTTCTAGGAGGTGTCGGTGCGTCAACACATTTATCAATAATTTTCGTTTCATTGACAATGTTATGAAACCCATTAGTTGAACCGTTTTTTTCTCTATAATCGACTTTATTTTCCTGAGCGATGAACATAAACTTGCGTTCATTATTCATGTCTGAAGTCTGCAAAATATTTTTCTCAGTTTTCAAAACTACAGGTTTATTAGTTTTGGCTCCGACTCCAGTCTAAAAATATAAATATATTTTCATATAATTAATTATGATTTAAATAATATTACCACTATATGAAACTTTGACAATACGGTATACAATGTACCGTAGAGTATATTTATGATATATATAGTATGAATTATATATAATTTATACCAAATATTTAGTATATTTAAAGTTTATATACCTTAAGATTTATAAGTATAGGATTCCTATTCTTTCCTGAGAGCCATTCCTCTGCACTAAGAGCAGGTGTGGGTGCAGTAGTATCCGGAAATATATCGGACTGAAACTGTTGTGACTTTCGTGGGACAATCATAGAGATGGGTTCACATACGGGACGAGTTGCATGAAGTTTGTAAAAACGAAATACTTCGCACCGGTAGATATCCAGACCTCGTTTAGGCATAACTCCTAAACCTCTTTGAGGAAATCCAGTTAAGAATTGATTGATATAATGACAGTAAGGCGCCTCATCAGTGATCTCATAATATCGTATATTTCCGTCACCCTTTCCGGCCACATATACCATATTTGTGTCGTAATCATAAAATGGAAACAACACTCCCGAAGACGAGTCTATGTTCTCAATGGTCAGCGGTTCTGATAAGTCATACGCTGACCAAACAGCCCATTGTCTGTCACTATAACGTGAGAATCCTGTAGTGAAAAGACGTCCGCTATCACCAAGAAATACGACTCTCGCGGCTTTAGCGCCGTGATGACAGAGACCAGAATTAACTACAGTCCCATTTCGTGGATCAATTACTCGAACAACTTTGTCTTTACAAGTGGTAGCCAGAAGACTGCCGTCTCTATTAAACGACATCGAGTGTATAGCATCGGGATGACAGTCTATAATGCAAACGGCTTCACCTTTGGCCACATTCCATACAATTAACAAAAAGTCAAAACCAGTTGAAACTAATATATTTTCAGCCGTTGGATGCCATTCAACGAATGTGACTCTTCTGTTATGTTCTCTTAAATCCATAATCGGTTCAAATAAGTTGCGGTGTTGTAGTCCTTCATCAGGAATATACCATATCTTGATAGTGCAGTCATCAGAACACGAGGCGATTACGTTATCATTAAATGGGTTCCACTTGAGGTCCAATATGGGTCCCCTGTGACCAACCACTCGACCGGCATTGACCTCAACTCTACCGTACTTTCAAAACCAATATCAATCAAATGTCAAAAAAGTTATTTAAATGACTAATAAAAGTAATAATTTGAGAGCATTTCACTACAAATTTTTAAAAAAGTTTTATGTCTTTTCACGTGAAACTAATGTTTGGCTCAAAATCAAAGTTTGTTTGATTGAATGATGTCTTGAGTTTATAAATATCAATATAATGTCTTTCACACTAATGTTTTTAGTCATTTGACTTATATGTGCTATTATTTTTAAAGTCAAACTAAAAAAGTCATGATTTATTGGATAAAAAACTAATAAAAACTAATAAATTAAAATAAAAACTTACGTTATTCTCGGGTATAACTAAAAAACACCCGCCGCCCGAACTCTCGGTACAAATAGCAATAAACTAAATAAAAATAATATATAAATATATAATACTCTATACAAATATAGATAAATTAAATTTAAATAACAATATAATATTTTTGTCATACCTTTGGATTAACAGCACAAAAGTTGGAGTCGTTTGCATTTTTGGTGATTTTCAAGTTGTCATAACATCTATCCTTTTTGACGACACTGCCGAAGACATGTCTATATTTGCTGCTTCGGACACCTTTGAACAGTGACTACAATTGATTCAACAAAAAATCGACATTTAATTTACATTTTAATGATAACAATTAAATAACTATAAAAAAAACTGTTTATAATTATAATAACAAAGCTGTGAACACTATATATATATATATATATAAATAAATTTATCATTAATTTAAAGGGCATTTCAGAGTCTACTGAACTATACAATGAGGGGATTCACCAATTGATGTCTCATTCAATGGTCAATACCTTGACTGCTGTCCTTTGAGACATTTGTTGTTTAATAACCAAAAATTAGGTTTTAATTAATAAAAATATATATTTTAATTGAAAACATTAGACAAACTGTTTATTATAAATGCAGATATAAAACATATGACGATTATATATGAGGAAAGCATAAAATTATAGCAACTAATCACATATTAAACAACTCATTGCATTGAAATACTTGTGAAATCATAACGAAAGGAGTGGTAGAGGTTGTGGTGGTTGTGATGAGAGACTCGTATCAGATATATATTGAGTGGTTGTTTAAGTGGCATAACAAGTGTTATCATCTAAGGGGGTGACATATAATGTCCAGTTATGGTGTGTCTACAATACTTGCAAGGAGTTACTATGAGTTAGTTGTTACCATCTAATGATTCATTATATACAGTATAGGATATATCATAATATATGGTACAGTCATACCACAAGACAGACAAATTACAAGCAAAGAGTTAGACATCAAGTCATTGGTTGTACGCTTTGATGATTATGTTGTAATCATTTTGTAAGCCATTGACATAGACAGTCCCAGCACTGGTAGGTTAACAAATCTAAACGACATTCACAGCCCATTCCCATTATAATTGTCATTCACTTACCTTTTCAGTGTAATTATTCAATTGGTTTGGATCTAACATTTGGTGCAAACTTTATATATATATTTTCACACAAAAAGTGACTAAAATAGTGTCTCACTATTAAACTTATTAACAAACAGTTGCCTTAAAATAGCAATAAAATTCTCACAATTATCTAAAATACATATTAAATACCAAACAATTTATACAAACAATTGATTTAAAATAATCATTAGATTATATAATAATATTTTTAAGCTAAATGTAAATAACTTTTGTGATCTCTGAGCTCATGGCTTATGTAGTAATGAATTGACTGTTGTGGTGGTAGTGCACCAAAAAACTAGGAAAACTGCAGTCAATGATATCATATGAGCGATGAGCTAATACTTTGCATATATCCATGAGTTAGACATCGAGATTATTACGAGCACTCAATATGAACACAGGAAAAGGCGACGCCCAGTACTGGCTCAGGGAGGCTATGCGACACATAGAGATAGAGATGGTTAGTGTCGAGTCTGTAGTACACTGTTTGTCAGATTTTGTATCAATTTTACGTTCAACGGATTCACTGCTGATTTTGGCAAATGTTTTACTGATATTTTGTTCAACACATTGATAGAGAGTGAAGAGTGAAAGTTATAAATAATAGCAAACATTACATCAATTTATAAATAAATATAAGTTGTTTTCAGTCGTGACTTACAACTGTTGTATTGTTGAGTCAACACTTCCAATACATTGCTGTCCTTAAAGAGTAACATTCATAACACAAACACTTTTCAGAGTCAATAAACTCTATGTGTTTTAAAGTGAAGGAATGAAAACAAACAAAATCATAATTTTTTTTCAAAAATACCTTATTTTTTGAATAATTATAATATTTGTTCTAAATTTGTCTTTAATATAACAATCAAGTAATAATCGGAGCGAATGTGCGCTCAAAATATAATTATAATAATGCTTTAAATACATGTTTATATAGTTTGCCTTAAGGCCAACACAATTCAAGTTATCATTTGCTTAATAATAAAACAATTGATAAAATCTTATCGTTGGCGTTAAAGCTATCCTTTAAAACAAATGAATAATAATATAATATAATCAAAAATAAATGTCAAAAAATTAATTTAAATCAATTATAATAAAAATAAACAGCATTTGATTTAAGTCAAAGATGAACACTAGTTAACAAAAAAAAAACATTAACTCAATAATAATGAAATATAAATGAATAAAATATCAAATTTTGTAAATATTTTTGTAGAGTAAACAAAAAACAATGAATTAAATCGAAATTGTGTACTAAAAAGTATTCATATATTTATGAAGTGATTAAAATGACTTTTAAAAGAGAAAAGATGGTAATAATAATAATGACATCTGTTTTTTAGTTTAAACTAATGCTAAATGAGTGTAACAATAATTGACATTTAGTCAGCAGCCGTATCGGGTCCGCCGTCACCGTCTGCATCGTCGGGCAATTTTCGCTTTTGTCCCCTTTGTTGCAAATCTTCCTCTTCCTCATCGAGTTCGTCATCATCTTCTTCATCTACACCATCGGGATTGAAATCTTCGCCTTCACTTTCCTCCTAAACATAATTAATATTTATAAGTCAAACGAATTAGGTATTTATATGTAATGACAATTTACATCAATTTCATCGTTTGCTAAATATTTGAGACCAACTCCATCCTCTCCTTCTTCATCGTCTTCCTCATCATTTTCTCCGTCTTCGTCGTCATCATCTTCATCGTCAATATTTACCTCGTCTTCATCGTCTGAAATATAAATAAAATTAGATTTTAAAACAAAAAACTTCATAACACACCTTCACTGTCTCCATCGATATCATTACCGTCTTCGTCATCATTTAAATCTTCTTCATCTGCTTCTGAATCTTCTGCTTCTTTGTCATCTCTATCGAATCCATCCAAATATTTAAGACAAGATAACAATGAAAACACTTTCTCTCTATAATTATCAACAGAAGTCACGTCACAGTTGAATAGATCCAAATTCTTGAGATTTGTAAACTCTTTCTATAATTATAACATATTTGCATTAAATCATTAGTTATATAGTTTTCTAATTGACAATAATACCAATGGTTCCAATGTTTCGATATCTTTGATTTTATTTCCACTCAAATTAAGATGTGTTATCTTAGGGCTACCACTTAATAGGTTAAGACCACCTGATATCCTGTTATCACTTAACTCTAATTTCTTGAGATTAGACAACTTTGGAAAGCCTTTCAAACTGGTCAGTCCTACGTTTATTAAACTCAATGTCTCCAAATTGATGAAATCCTCGGTAAGGCCTACAATATTAGTACTCCGACAGTTGTCCAGATTCAGGTCCTTTATCTGTTAGTTAATACAATGCATATCTCATTTAAATCTAATAATGGTTTTATTCAAAAACACACGACACAAGTGTTGTCTGTTTAATCAAAAACTTTATTAAAAGTTTTATCTTCAATGTCTAAAAATACATTAAAGTTATGATTATATTAAGACATGTGAGCAGTCTATCGGTTTTATAAAGAATTATATGTTTGTTGTATCAAAGTTTGTTTGAGAGGACAGGGAGTATTGAAAACTGGAGGGAACGGCAGAGATAAGTGACGTCAATAAGTTATGCCAAACACAGAGACTGTTGTTACTAACGATGCGTTAGTTTTTCTATCGTTATCTTAATTATTGTCCACTATTTGTCTATTTTTTGATACATTAAGAAATCAATTTATAATAACGATTACAATGAGTTAGAGGAATATTATTCAAACATATTATAGCAAATAGTTATAATACTTTCGTGGAAGCGATGGAAGAGCTATGGAAAAGGAGGCAAAGCATGCAATCATCGCATCGTTTGTTTGCATATATAAAGCCATACATTACTAGTGTTAGCGCAGTATAACAGTTGACAGCTATACCTATAGTACAACACTGTCGGTGCCATTGCTAGAGCCAACTCCCAACTCAGTGACCAACTATTTGTTGGTCACCCGAGAGCACCAAATTATCTATACATTTCAATAACTGAGCGCCAAATCAATTATAATTAATGGTATTTCGGGTGAGATTTCTATTGTATTTATAGTGATATCAATCAATTGGTATGAATTGTGTTGTGTTGTCAACACAAATATGGCTGACTTTACTATAGTTTACATTAGAGGGCATAACCATTGAATACATAATAACAACAACAATCCATAGCTCGGACATGACATCCATGTCCATCATCACCAACGACAACAACCACATCCAATCCACACACCATTTGCAGCATATAATTGACAAACAAAACTATCGTAATGTTGATATTGAGACCGTTGACAGTTGAGGCCATCAACTGGTCCTAATGGCCGAAAAAGTCACTGTACCACTTGTGGGCTCATCTGTCACTCTTAAGATTAAATTACAATGTATTGTCATCGATGGTCATCAAATACAAGGCATTTATAGCTAAACAAACACATCTTAATTTAATTACCATTAGATGATTAACTTTTTAACTTAATTAATTGACTCCATTAATCAATTAAAACCCATTAAATACAATTATATGTCAATAATCAATACCATTCATGTCTTAAAAGTGATGAGATGGTCATCAAGACATGGATGACGATGTGACCAAATAGTATGTATTGCGACCATTAATGGCTTGTATTGCGTTTAATGACAAACTTATTGACAACACTTGTAATCACTTTAATAATAATCATATGTAAGACATAAGACATACCTGATTGGCATTTCTGCCTCTCTTTTCGAGTTCGACCCTCTTCTCCATAATATTTAAATGGGAACCGTTTGGTGATGTTGTCTGTGAAAACTAATCAAAACAAGTCTAAGTTGTGTTATGAATGTCGAGCAATGCTTTCAATGGTCTCAATGCCGGCCTTTACTCTATTGAGTCAAACAGTCATACAATGCATACAACACTATAACAAACACAACAGCTATAGCTATAACTATATAGACATTCACTATGTATTAGATTATAGACAGAGTTATAGCACAACAGCATAAGCGCGCCATTGAATACAACTACACCACTAAATACTAACCGTCCAATCATTGCTCTCTAGCCATCCCTCACACACACCTACTGCACCTTTGCCTCCACTTTCAAACTAATCAATTGATTTTTACGGAAAGTCAACATTTGTTTCACAAAGTATTGCATTCACTCCTTTATAAACTCATGTCATATGTTTGGCTTTTATATAATAATAATAATAATAATAATTATTATTATTATTATATGTAAATATTTTTTCATTCAATTTAAGTATCCGTGGATCAAATTAAAGATAACTCTTATATAATAATAAGTATTTATATTAAAGTAATATTACCAGTTATTACATATTTAATATTTTAATTTTATTGTTAAATTAATTATTAATAAATTCACTTTTTAAATAAACAATTTTACTATTTAAAGGTGTTTTAATAAATAAGTTTATTAACTAAAATTTATTTAAATAAAATAAAGGGTTTGATAAAAACAAATAAAACTAAACAAAATGTTTGAAACATGTAATTTTTAATAAAATTATATATAATTTAGATGAATAGTATCTGTATATAATATAATTAATGTAAATGTGATGAAAATTTTATTATTTGATTAATAAATTATATATATATATAATTACTGTACAAATTTATAAATTAAACAAAACTTTTTAATGTTATTAAAAAAGATTATATCATTTAAAATCTCGTTTAAAAGCTTCTAAAATATGTGCAAATTCTTGTTTTATTTTTTCGATTTCATATTTATGTTTTTTAATTAATTGATTGTATTGTAGTTTATATTTATGAAGTTTTTTCTTCATAAGAATAGCTTCGTCGCTAACCTTTTGAAGTTCATGTCTTAACTCGAGTAAAATGTTTTCATTTGATGGCCGACTAGTGTTTGTGACCACTGAATGGTTTAGTCGAGATTCTTGTAGTGCTTCTTCTAATTGTTTCTTTGCTTCGCTTAATCTTTGAGTTTGAATTATCAATGCTTTCTCTTTTGTGTCACACGAAACCTCCAAAGCCTGCCATAGGTTTATCAATGATACAAATCTGAGGCCAATGTTCTCGTGTATTGTTCCGACGCCTACTTTAGCTTTAATTTTAACACAATTTATTAATTCAAGAATTTCTGATTGCAATTCTTGTTCCCAACGATTCCTTTCATTTATCATATCTTGTTCGGCATTTTTTCTCCAATTTTTTTCATGCATTTCTAGTATACCTTTTATATCACTTTCTACTCTTCCTTTCATCTCCTGTTCCCACAAATCTTTAGTCGCTTTAATCATATCTCTAAAATGTTGGTCATAAAACTCGTCGTTATTTTGCACTTTTATTGCTTCCAATTCTTTATTTTTAGCAATCATTTCCATCTCTTTTGTATTAAGCTTATCCTTCATATCGTTAATCTCTCGTTTAAATAATATCAACTCATTTTCATGTTTTGTTTTCAAGCTGTTGACTACAGAGTCATGGATTTCCTGTCTTCTCACCAAACAATCGCTTTTCTCGATTTCCATCAATTGATATTGAAGTGATTCAATGGTCGACTCACAGACACTTACTTTACGTTGAAATTCCTCTTTGGTTTCTCTCTCAACTTTCACATTCACTTCAAGTGACTTGAGTTTTGCTTCGAGTTTAACTAATTGATTCTCTTTTTCGGCATTTATTTGATTTAATTCTTTGAGTCTAAATTGCAATCCTTCATAATTGCCATCCATTGCCGATTGCTTTTGTTGTGAAACAAGTAATTCATTACTAAGTCGTTGATTCTCTTCGATCAAAAGCTGAACATGTCTTTGATTGAATTGACGTTCATTTGGAGTAAATAATGAACTTTTTTTAGGATTTTCAAGACTATTATTTTGGTAATCCAAATGTCCATTCAATTTGTTGGTGAAGTAATCACCACTCGATTTATTCTCTTTCAGACATTCAACAGATCTATTATCCACTTCTTGTTCATCGTCGGCATCAATAATATCTTCATCTTCTTCATGAATATCATTCACAACAAATTTGTTGCCATTAGTCTGTGTCCATAAATTGCCATTTGTTTTGGTATAACAGTTATTATTACGAACCAAAGGTGTCGATGTCAGACCATTAGTATATTTGGACCAATTTGTCGCATAATTATTATCATTATCTTTATCCGAACTAATAGAAAAATTCTTGAACTCGTTATGTAATTGAAGAACACCTTCATCTGCATCTTCATCGCTCAACGAACTCAAATCATCGAAAGCTGTCGACAATAATCCTTGAATCTGTTTAAGTGAAAAGTTTATTATATATGATATAACATATAATGTATGATAAATAAAATGATTGTTAATTTGTAGTCAAACCTCTTTATGTCTGTCTTCGATGTCATCGTCATCTTCATTGTTGTCTAAATCCAGATTCAATGAAACACTTTCCATAGTTAAACACAAATCATACAATCAATCATACAATCAATCATACAATCAATAATTGTCACAAAATAACACTCAAATCAATACATTTTAATATAAATTACAAAACATTGTTTGCATTCAATTTCACTATTAATTCATTGATATTTTTGGCGCTTTCAACAACACATTCAGGGATTATATTCTCATTTAATTTAATTATTATTTTCATTATTTAATAGTTATTACAATTAAATATTTATATCAAATAAATATATTTAAGTATAGAAATGTAATTAAATGTTAATAAAAATTGTTAAAAAAAATTAAATTAAAATTAATTTCAATACATTTGATACAAATCTTAATGACAATACAGTCCCCTTATATGGCTTTAATGGTTAATGTAATGATTTTCACGCGTTTTTCACTCATTTGATTCAATGATTGTGTCATTGATTTTATCATTTATTTCAATTGTTTTGTCGATATTTTAACGAAATTTTAGATAATTAATAAAAATTTATTTAATTTATTATAATTTATATCTTTTTGTCAACAAATATATCGCAATATTATTGAAACTGATTGACAATTGAGTGCAAAGTCGACACAAATTGTGTTAAAATTGACGTAAAGATAGTGTCATTGATTTTTTGGTGACAATATTTGTGACATTGATTTGGTTTGTTTGAACCAATTTAGTGATCGACAATCACTTAATTGATTTGATAATACTTGAGAATCAATTATCAAAATGTTGGGCCAAAAGAAGTCCCGTTTTGATGACCCGTCACCTCTTCCCGTCAACAATGGATTCAATGATCCGACGACCACTTCAACTGAAAGTAATTTAAATCCAATTCAAGTGAAGCATATGATGGCAGAAGTGCACAAACAAATTGAAGAAAGAAAACGAAAACTAAATGTAAATCATATTTTAATTTGTTTTGTATTAAATTAATGATAAATATTGTGTTAACAATCTATTACTTAATTGCAATTTCAACTGATCTTTCATTTACTAATAATATTAATTTGAATTTTTATTTTAAAGATTTCTGGTTCGGCTCCAACTTCTATCTCATCATCCGCTTTGCCACCAGTTATACCACCCGTAGTACCTGTTATCACTCCTACACCTGCCTCAAGACAAAATATTAACTCAGATATTGACCACAAGGCACGTATTGCTCAACTGACGGCACAAATTCAGGCCCGACTGGCCAGTCGGACAAATACAGAGTCCACTAATATTGTGCAAAAGTATGTAAATTAAAGACTTTCATATAATAATAAAAGTTATTATATAATTTGTATTGATTTAAAAAACGTGTGGCATTTGTTAACATTGTAACAACAATTTGTTTATTAATTAGTTATTACAATAATTACTAATTGTATTATAAGGTTATTACTATAATTTTGTGTGTATTTGCATAGTATTGAATGCATGGATATTATCATATTTAAATTGTTACAATGAATGCAATTGTATTTAGATATAGTTGTGATCCCATTTTTCTAATGTAAAAAAGCATTACAATATTATTATATTTTATTAATTTATAAATTTTTAAATATGTTTAGTGATCCGAACGACAATCAAAAGGGAGGTTCCGGTAAACCAACACCTCTTATATTGAATAGCGACGGCCGTACAGTTGACCAGAGCGGCAAAGAAGTGCAACTTATTACACGTATGCCTACACTTAAGGCCAATATTAGGGCACAAAAGAAGGAACAATATATCAAATTAAATCACGAGAAACAAAATGATGACATCAGTGAACATCAATTTTTTGACGCTAGAGTTGGTCTCAAGTCTGCGATGCGGTCTAAAAGAGGATTTAAGTTTTATGATAAGGGAACCTTTGAATCAATGGCTAATAATATCAGGACTAAAGTACCGTATATTTAACTTTTTATTTTATTTATATTATAGTACAGTATATTATATGATATTTTAATTTAAACTAATTTTTAAATTTTAGGCACAATTAGAAAGATTACAGAAAGACATTGCAATGGCCGCCAAAAAAACTGGTATTAGTTCTGCCGCTAGACTTGCACTTCTCAGTTCAATTGTACCAAAGAAGCAAATGGTAGGTTTGAGGCGAAACAAAAAAAAAACAATTTCTCTTTGAATTGTTAGCCTATTTTTATAATTAACAATAGAGTTGGCAATATTTGATCGCAACGAATGTCACTTTGTTTTACACAGAAAGAGGACGAGATTCCAGACATCGAATGGTGGGATAGTTTTGTGTTAAAAGATAACAGGTTTTACATTATTTTTATTATTAAATTTTAGTTATATCTTATAATTATATTTTTATAATATGCTGTAGTTATGATCACTGTATTTCTAACGAATCAGAACCGCGCGAAAAATATGATGGGATAACACATTTGGTTGAACATCCCATTCAAATGAAACCTCCGGGTATGTCATAATTTTTTATTATTAGCTACAATACTGATTACATCCTAATGTAATTTTTTTTATTCAGCCGAACCATCAAAACCCGTTTTATTGCCCGTATTTTTGACGAAAAAAGAGCGAAAGAAATTGCGGCGACAAAACCGTCGCGAGACGTGGAAAGAAAAACAAGAAAAGATACGAATTGGTTTGGAACCGCCTCCAGAACCGAAAGTCAGAATGTCTAATATGATGAGAGTTTTGGGACAACAGGCAGTTCAAGACCCGACTAAAGTTGAAGCGCACGTTAGGGAACAGATCATGAAAAGACAAAAAGCTCACGAAGAGGCTAATGCTTCACGAAAATTAACGACCGAACAGAAGAAACATAAAAAGATTAAGAAAATCAAAGAAGACACCAGTCTTGGTGTCAGTGTTTCTGTTTATAGAGTTCTTAATCTTATTAATCCGGCCAAGAAGTTCAAAGTCGAAGCTAACATTAAACAGCTACTTATGACTGGCGTTATAGTTCTTTATCGAAATGTTAATGTGATTGTTGTCGAAGGCGGACCTAAACAACAAAAGAAGTTCAAACATTTGATGCTTTCGAGGATCAAATGGGGAGAAGAACAGGCCTCTAAAGACGGAAGTAATAATTTTTATTATTTGATATTTAATTAATGAATTATCCACCGTACGCCCCTATAGCCCCCTGGCCATCAATGGCTATATGTGAAACTATGGGGGAATATGTGAGTTACATCCCCCATACCAAATATTGATTTTTATAATTTAAAAATTTGTTTGGGAAGCTATTGGCGCGTACATACTGTACTGTACTTTAATTAAATAAAAATTAATTATTTTTATTGATTTACAGCTGAATCGGGCGATAAAATAGAAAACAAATGTTTTCTCGTATGGGAAGGAAAAACAAAGAGTCGGGCCTTCGGTGACGTTAAGTTCAAATTGAGTCCAAACGAGTCCTTTGCCAGAGAACTGTTCAAAAACCATTCGTGTGAACACTACTGGGATTTAGCGTATAGTATGTCTATATTAGATGCCAACGATGTTTAGCTTAGAAATGATATATAAATTATAAACAAATATTTATAAAATTGATTTTTTAAATTAATTACCGTAATCTGTAAATTATTATCATTTTTATTATTTTAAATTTTGAAATTATTATAAAGAAAATATTTAAAAATTATTGAATAAAATAATTATAAATTATTTTTTTATACTATAGATTCTATAGTATAGAACATTACAATTAAACTAATTAGTAATAAAATTTTATAGATTACACTAAAACAAGCAGTTTATATGAAGCAGTATTATAAAGGATTACTAAAAATTATATAAAGTATAAAATAAAGGAAAAATTTGAGCGCCCAACGTGGGGCTCGAACCCACGACCCTGAGATTAAGAGTCTCATGCTCTACCGACTGAGCTAGCCGGGCTACACATACAAACATTTGTTTTGTTTATATACTTATACTATTTATATAATTTTTATAAATCCTAGCAAATTATAATGACTATAAATTGCTATTAATTTATTATAATTATGTTAATTGTTTTACACAGACAGTCATACATTTTGACTAAAAACAATTACCGGTAAATGATTTTTAATTAAATTATTTATGTAAACAACATATTTATGTGTAATTTTTTATATAATTTTATATATTAAATATAACTGGATATTCTTGAATACTGTATATTAAACAAACAAAACTTAATTATTGAATCAAATACTGTAGTCAATTGTATAATAATTATTATTTTATTTGAATATATAATAAATAAAATAAGATTTATTTTAAAGATATTAAAAATAATTTATTATCGATTTATGACACTTAAAAATAGCTAAGAATTGTCAAATCAGACACTGATGTGATGTGCAGATCTTCGGGCCACTGCGTGAACCATACTAAGTGTGGACAGTAATGACTTTCCAGGTCCGCATTCAAACGTTTTCGGACACTTCATATCTTTAGGTCTATCGTAGACAATATGAAGAATTTGTTCCCAATGTACGGGTGATACTATTTGTTTGGCCAACTTTTTACGCATAGAGACCACGTCTTTATAAATCTTTGCGTCAAAATTTGAATGAACTGGTATTAGAGGTACTTCGAGATGAATTTTTCTAAGTGCTTCTGCCATCACTTTTCTCGCCGGTTCCATAAGTTTTGTGTGAAAAGCTCCCGAAACGGGCAATCGTTTTGATCTTTTAATACCAAAATCTTTGGCATTCATTTCTAAGAAATTAATGGCCTCTTCGTGACCGGCAATTACTTTGCAGTGAGGAAACAGATAGTTAGCTATATTACAAATGGCATCTTTTTCTTCAATGCCTTTCCTAACACACCACTCTCGGGCGGCATTACACGCAAAACTAATGCGGGCGTCGGCATTGAAAAAAACGGTAATCATAGCCGACGGCACTAATTCCGAAGCGTATTGCATAGATTCAGCCCTTATCTTAACTAATCTGAGTCCGTCTTCAAAAGACATGGCGCCGGCAAATACCAGAGCAGATAATTCGCCGACACTAAAGCCTGCAGTGGCCACACACGCCTCTACATCACCCGTTCCTCTTTGTCGAAGACATTCAACTGCAGCTAAAGAAGTGACATATATCGCCGGTTGACAATATTGAGTCTTATTAAGGGTTTCAATGGGACCGTTAAGACACAGATCCAACAAATCGTAACCTAATATTTGTTTAGCGATTGAAAACATTTGCTTTACATTTGATGACTCGATTACATTATAACCCATTCCCACAAACTGTGATCCCTGTCCTGGAAATAGTATTACTGTTGTGTCCTCAGGAGCCGTCTTAGGCCTTAAAGCAAGTCTCGACTGATCTCTTCTAACCATCTCTTGAGTCGACTCTTTATAATCAACTATCTGTTCATTGTTTGCATCTTTTAAAAGATGTGATAAACTCTTATTTGCCAAAACTTTGTTAATTGATTCAAATGTCGACTCATATTGTGGTGTATTTTGTCTGACCGTAGATTTGGTGTTAATGTCTTCATCGGTTATCGATAGCTTGTCTTCAACGGAAAGATGTCTTTTGTTGACCATTGAAGTCAATGATCGACATTTTTGTCGCAATAAATATGAATAAGAAAAATGTTTTAACATTTTGTTAGTCAAAATCTATCACTTAATTAATGTTTAATTGTATGAATCAATTGATCCAAAGTCACCGAAAAAGACATTCAAATTGTTTCAAAACAACATTTTCTTTACATTTTTAATACCATTTCTTTACGAAACTTATGAATGATTTTCACTAATAAATAATGTCTTATTGAGTGTTGTTTTGCTTTTTATTTTCTATAAATTTAAAGCAAATTTTAAACAAATTATAAATTTTGTTAAATTAAATCTAAATTTTATTTAATTATATTCAAAATAAATGAATAGTTATTAACTAATTATTTATAAAAATTAATAAAATATTTAATTGTATTGAAGTCAACACTCAATAGACTATAATGTTATACATTTGGCGCCAATTGATTGAAAGGCATTTAAAGAGCGCTTTAAAAGACAATAACTTTTTGATTGAATAAAGACTTTCTCTTTAAATCAAATCCAAAAGTCATCACAAAATTGTCAATTGATTTGTCATTTTGTCTTAATTTAAATAAAATACAATAACAATGTCTTCACGCGGTTCCCAAAGAGACAGCAGTGAAGTAACCACTCGGTCGACGCGATCGCAGTCAAAGTCAACGCCACAGAAACGACAACCCAGTCCTCCGTCTCAGTCATCTACAAGATCTTCGCGACAGAGACGACAACAGGAGACCAATCCGTCGTCGCAAAGAAGTACGAGAAGTAATTCGCGTTTAGATAATAATAATATCGAAGTCGAACCTCAAGAAAGAAGTGAACCGTTGAGCGGTGCAGATGTGACTTCATCTCAGTTGAGAAGCGGAACTCCATTGAGAGGCAGCGCCGGTCTCTTCGGAGATGCAATTAATTTGAGTTCACCTCTTCATTATGGATCGACTGACTTTCCCACACAATCATCGCAAACTTCAGCCCGAGTTGGCCGCAAAAAAAGATATGACATAACAAGTGACTCACGAGTTATACGACAACTCAATGTCGGCGATACTGATGGACAGGTCGACAATACTGTGGCTCGTGATTTGGCCACAAGTGACTCTCATGTGAGTTCTGCCCCGCAGTTAGTTATTTGGGGCACTGATGTCGGTATCAATCAATGTCGCGAAAAGTTTAAGAGATTTTTAAAACACATGACTTTTGACGCTCAAGACTTGGAATCGGATGAATTAGATGTAGACATACCAATGGAAACCGATTCGCAATCCGATAGCCAACGACCATATTATATCAGAAAACTTTATGAAATGGTTATAATTGGAGAACCGTTTCTTAACATTAATTGTCGACATATTCTACGGTTTGATCCAACTATTTATCGACAATTAATTTCATATCCTCAAGAAGTAGTTCCTGCTTTTGATATGGCTGTTAATGAGGTATTTACTGAACTCTATCCCGAAGGTATTGCAGAAATGGACCGAATTTGTGTCCGACCATATAACGTGGCCAAGACTTCTAGTTTACGTGATTTAAATCCAGAAGACATTAATCAATTGGTGACCATTTCGGGAATGGTTACCCGTTGTTCAAACATTATTGCTGAAATGTGTGTAGCATTCTTTGAATGTACAGTTTGTAATTTTTCGGTAACCGTTGAGGTCGATCGCGGATCTATTGCTGAACCTCATGTTTGTCGTCAATGTAATACCAATTTCTCATTTCGTTTGGTTCACAATCGGTCCCAATTTACTGACAAACAGCAAATTAAACTCCAAGAATCACCCGACGATATGCCCGCCGGTCAGACTCCGTATACCGTCCTTTTATATGCTTGCGCTGATTTGGTCGACAAAGTGCAACCGGGAGAGAGAATAACGGTCACTGGAATATATCGGGCCACACCTATTCGGGTTCATCCAAACAAAAGAAATGTTAAGTCTGTTTATAGGACACACATCGATGTCGTTCACTATCGCAAAGTCGAGAACAAACGTCTTCACGACGATGGTTATGAACTGAAGCTGTCGAAGGAGAGAATTGATCAGTTAATTGCATTATCAAATATGCCCGACATTTATGAACGATTGGCCGCTGCATTAGCTCCAAGTATTTATGAACACGAAGACATCAAAAAAGGTATTCTTCTGGCACTTTTTGGAGGAACTCGAAAAGAGTTCAATCAATCAGACGCTAATACTTCCGGAAAACTTAGAAGTTTCCGATCAGAGGTTAATATACTACTTTGTGGAGATCCGGGAACCAGTAAATCACAGCTTCTTCAATATGTATATAATCTGGTGCCGAGAGGACAATACACCAGTGGTAAAGGTTCGAGTGCTGTCGGTTTGACCGCTTATGTGACCAAAGATCCTGACACTAAGCAAATGGTTTTGCAAACGGGAGCTCTTGTATTAAGTGATGGAGGAATTTGTTGTATCGATGAATTCGACAAAATGTCTGATTCCACTCGTTCTGTACTTCACGAAGTGATGGAACAGCAAACTCTTTCCATTGCAAAGGCAGGAATTGTTTGTCAGTTGAACGCCCGAACTTCTATACTCGCAGCGGCCAATCCCGTAGAAAGTCAATGGAATAAAAATAAAACAATAATGGAAAACATTGAATTACCTCCGACTTTAATGTCAAGATTTGATTTAATTTTTCTTCTTCTCGACCCACAAGACGAAGAATATGACCGACGACTCGGTCGACATCTTGTCTCACTATATCACAAGTCACGAGAAGACGAAAAAATTGAGTATTTGGATGTAAGTCTACTCAAGGATTATATCGGTTACGCAAGAATGAACTTTCATCCAGTTTTATCTGAAGAAGCAGCTCAGGGATTAAAGCACTCATACGTTGAGATGAGAAAAGTAGGTTCTGGAAAGGGTCAGATTAGTGCTTATCCGCGACAATTGGAATCATTGATACGTTTAGCAGAAGCCCACGCAAAGATGAAGTTTAAAAATGTGGTCGACATGGAGGATGTAGAAGAAGCGCGTAGATTACATCGGGAGGCCATAAAACAATCGGCAACTGATCCTCTGTCCGGAAAGATTGATATTTCCATTTTGACGACCGGAATGAGTGCCTCAAATCGTAAGCGAAGAAATGAGGTATCTCTTGGTTTAAAGCAATTCTTGGAATCCCTTCGAGAAGAAACTGGAGCTCAAAGCGAGTCACAAATGCAATTCAATTACTTGAAAGTGTTTAACGATTTTAAAGTGACGACAACTCTAATGGTTACCAGAGATATGTTTGACGATTCACTTAAAGCACTCCAAGACGAGGGATATCTTACATTAATTGGCACTAAATTTATACGAATCAATGCTATCTAACCACTCATTTGTCGCACTTTATTACTATTTCCGTACTTTTAATTATCAATTATTACATTTTAATTAAACCAAATAATACTAATAAATAATTTGTTTTTTTAACGATATTAAGGCATTTGAATTGTTTTTAATGATTTATTCAAATGTATTTCAAATGTATAATCAATAAATGATTTAATAATAATTAATAAATTGATTGACCGGTAATTACCGGTAAATATAGAGTATATAAAAAATTTGATAATATATTTGTGGCAATACTTGTATTATAAGTGTAACGGAATATATGAAAAGGCAATCACTTTTAGAGCGCAGACATTGTGTACTTAAGTCTGATTAAAGACTTAGTGACCAATCGATTGAAGTTTCGGTTAATTTGTTGGCCATTAATGTCCGTTATGTCCGACAAAACAGGTTTACGGAAGAAATGTTTTTTCGACATTTCTATTGCTTCCGAAATCGGTTAGTGATTTGAAAAAGTTTTTAAATAATTAACTAATGATTTTGACTAACATTTATATTTTGTGTCAAACAGTCGGTCGGATAGTGTTTGAACTTTTTGATGACATTTGTCCGCAAACTTGTGAAAACTTCAGATGTCTTTGCACGGGTAATGACTATCAGTTATTGTCGACATTGAAGTGTCAAATCAATTAATTGACCACTTTTTTAACGGAATAGGAGAGAAGGGATTGGGAGATACCACGAAAAAACCATTGCATTACAAGAATGTATTATTTCATAGAGTGGTCAAAGATTTTATTATACAGAGCGGCGACTTCTCATTGGGTGAGAGACCGATAAATATGATCATAATTTTGATGATATTTTGCCATAAATTTTGTTATATTGAAAAGCATTTATAGATTTAAACAATAAAATAATTGCATGACTTCTGTGACAGGGAATGGCAAAGGAGGCGAATCCATTTACGGCGGAACTTTCAATGGTATCTTCAATTTGTTTCAATTAATTTTTAATTGTTTAAATTAAAAAAAAATATCAATAGTTGAATCTAACGGTTTATTTTTTGTTTGATGATATATTTTAGATGAAAACTTTACTTTAAAACATGAAAAACCATTATTACTATCGATGGCTAACAGAGGAAAGAATACAAACGGATCTCAATTTTTTATGTGAGAAATTAATTTTATTTATTAACTAAAAAAATTACTAAAAACGTTAATAATATTAATAAAAATTATTAAATTTTTTTACAGAACACTTAATCCGGCCAAACATTTGGATGGGTATTAAATAATGAAAATTTCAAAGAATTAAAACTAAAATTTTTGTATATAATTAGCGTTCACGTAGTCTTCGGTCATGTCTTGTCGGGTCAGGAAGTGATTCAAAAAATTCAAAAACAAGAGACAGATAAAGAAGGAAAACCAATTAATGACATAAAGATTGCTGAATCTGGAGAATTGATTCCTCAAATTGCCAAATCAAAAGGTATTTCGGTTTGGTATATGAAATGGTTTATAATTTAGATAAATATATATACGTTATATATTATATGATAGAGAAAAAGAAAAAACATCGCAAAGAAAAATCGAAGAAATCAGAAGAAGGAGAGGTGTCCACAGATGAAGACTCACACAAACTTAAGAAGAAAAAGAACAAACATAAGAAGCATAAGAAAGAAAAAGAAGATAAAAATGAAGAGTTAATTAATAATGTATTTTTGACTAATTAATAACTAATGTTTTTAATCTTTTAGAGAAGAAAAGTCAGTTAACTTATTAGCCATCGAATGTTCGGTGAAAGCAGAAGAAGTGCCAGAAATTCCTGAAAATAAATTTTTAATTCGAGAGTCAAATGAAGACATAAAAGAAGTAGAATTGAGTAGAAAAAGAACGACTTCATCGGGACGTCAATTCAAAGGAAGAGGATTTAGAGTAAGAAAAATAAATTATATTAACTTTAAGTATTTAAATGAATTGTTTATAAAACTGATTAGCGTTTCAAAACTCCTCCGCCAACCGGTAATCGTAATTCTCGAGGTCGCAGTGAAACTCCTGAACACTGGAAGTGTGAACAGGAAAAACTAAAGTCATTTAAAGAGGTCATTACTGCCAGTCATCACAATTCTTTGCGAAGAAATCGAAATCGAGATTCAGATCGATATCATTCAGAACGATATCGAGAATCTTATCGAAATCGAGAATCAGAAAGGAATCGAGACTTCGGTCGAAATCGTTTCTATGGAAGCGATAGATTTGGACAAAGAGATAGATTTACAGATCAAGATCAACTTCATAGTAGATTTAAGAGAGAGGATTCTGACACAGAAAATATTGGTGACACAGAAAGATACGCTCAAACTAAACGAAGAATTTTCACTGAAGAGCCTCCCAATCGTTTGTTAAGAAGAAGTTCTTCTTTAGATAATAAATCAAACGATGACGAAGAATATTATCAAAATGATGGAAAAAATTCCAGAGATTCACGAATAAGATCTAACATTGAAAGAGTAGTAATTAAATCTCAGGTTCGGGTTAACGAAGATTTCAATAAATCTCGAATAGAGAGAAAAAATTCCGATACTTTTGATAATAAGTCACAACAGGACACACATATTGACATCAATGACATCCCTCTTCCCATAACTGATACAAATAAGGTTTAAATTTTGCTAAATATAGTGCAATTAAAATTTATTTATAATTATTTTAGAAATTTACTGAAAATGAGACAAAAAAGTTGAACAAAAGGCTATACGATTCAGACCTAAAAAGAGCAGATAAACGAAAACGAAGTCGAAGTAAAAGTAGAAGTCATTCGAGAGACAGATCTTATAAAAAGATTTCATTGCGTAGTAGAAGAAGAAGACATTCTTCTGATTGATTTGAAGTAGTTTTGCGTCACTTTATTAAAGATATTACATTAATCTATGATTAAAATCTTATCTTAATTAATGCTAATAATTATGATATAATTTTGATTATTTTTTATATTTATGAATATTATTTAATGAACAAACATTTTTGAATAAAATTACAATGTTTTCATCAATTGATAATTAATTCATTTGTTAAGACATTGTATCTAAATGTCATAATATTACAAATAATAGAAACTAATTATTATTAGATTACCGGTAATTATATTTCAAATTATATACAATGTTGACTCTAATTATTGAAACACAGTATAATTGTAAAAAACATTATAATTTGATATTTATTTGTTAGTCTATTATTAATCATCAAAAAGTCTAATATTTTTTATTATCAAATTAATAGATATTAATAGACATCATTTGGACCATTAATAAACTTGAAATCGGCTGTTCTTCACTTAAAGACCCGTAAATGTCTATTTTGATATAACATTACTGAAAATAACAGCAAATAAGTCATATATCTTAACTATTTTTTATTATTTAATTTAAGGTTAGTTTTATAATTAAAATTATTTTTATTAATTTATTAGATATGTGTATATTTCAATTTAATTTGGTTTAAGTTGGGTTAGGTAACGGGGCGTACAATATTTCACGGCTTTTTAGTACAGTATACTAATATTAGCCACTAATATTATAATGCTGATATTCCCTTAACGAGCTTAAAAGCTTAATTTTTTAAAAAATAGCCCATTTAGCTTAATATGTATAATTAAATTTTTTACCATGTTCAAATAAACTTATTAATATTTTGATTACTCATTTTCATAAATATTAATTTAAAACACATACTCAATGTATTTGAAAAATGTGTCATATTAAAATTGAAAATGCTATAGTTAACTATTTTTTATTATTTTATTTTTATCTATTGAACTATAGCATGTTCAATTTTAATATGACACAGTTTTCAAATACATTGAGTATGTGTTTTAAATTAATATTTATGAAAATGAGTAATCAAAATATTAATAAGTTTATTTGAACATGGTAAAAAATTTAATTATACATATTAAGCTAAATGGGCTATTTTTTAAAAAAATTATGCTTTTAAGCTCTTAAGGGAATTACTGTTATAATGTTACTGACCAGTAGTCATCAATATAAACATCTAATTGTTTGATAGACATAATCTTAATTATAAAATTAAGCTTTAATTAACTAAATAAGAAAAAATAATTATCATATGATTTATTTATTTATATTTTTTTTAGTAGCGTAGTGTCAGAACAAACACTTACGGGTATTAAAGTGTAGAAACAAATCCCTTTCAAATCTAATTACTACTACTGTAATACTAATTAAATAATGCAATTATACTACAGTATAATATTGCATAAACATTGTATAAAGTTTTACCATTGTTTATACTATAAACTATTAGTGTATAATACTGTAATGCAAAAGGAAGGGAAGTTCCCAAATAAAATTTTTCCAATTTTCCCAGAAAATAAAAAAAAACTTTTCCTCTGAATCCCGTTACGATAAAATATATTTTATAATATATATATTATATATAGTATTACAATAAAAAATACAAAAACTCAAATTCTTAGCATAAAAATTCAATGAAATAATTAAAAAATAAATATGATTTCACTAAATTTATTTCACTAAACAATTTAATTTTTTTGTAATTTTGCGCTTAAATTTACTAAATTGTGCTAAATTTTATCAAACAACTAGAGAATGGATCAAATGTTAGATTTAAAAAGTTTATCAAAAATCTTTTTGAATATAATGTAAAAATATTCAATGATTTGATTAAAATAAAATACAATAAAAAATAAGAAAATCTATTAAATTCATAAATTTAATTAATTAGCAATTAAAATGTTATTTCAAGTTTTTAAAAATAATTTACACAATTTTTTAGTGAATGTTATTAATATACTGTATATATTTTTTTGAATTAAAAATTAAATGTACAGTATTTTATGATAAGAATATCAAACTAAAGATTATTATTATAATTATTTAATTATTATATTTAAATTGTCTTTTTATTATTTAATATTGTTTTACAATTAATGGATATGACTGACACTCAAGTACTTCAGAGACTTTGAGTCAAACGTATTAATATTAACACAAAAATTTGTTTATTAAAAGTCGGGGTTTCTTCTGATCACTGATCAGATCGGATGTAATCATAAGTTTCATTTGTATTTAAAGTTAAGGTGTAGTAACTATTCGGGTGAGGTTTGATTGTTGACTTAACTGACAATAATTGCTGAATATAAAAAAGATTTAAAATTTGAAAATAAGTATTAGTTTATAAATTTTTTTAAAAAAATTTAATTTATAATTAAAATATACCAAAAAGTATTACATTAAGTTTGTCATAATTGTTTATATCATACAATATATTATATAATTTACATATATATAAAAAATTTATAAAATCAAAATTGTCTTATATTTCATAATTTGGGATTTAAAAAAAATACAAATACATACAATTTTCCTCAATTTATTGTTTACTTCAATTGAGTTAAATATTAGATATAATTTTCTGTTTTTAATAGCATAATTTCATAAGTTATGATATATTAGTTATTTAATATTTATTTTTTAAATATACAAATCAATTAAACAAATACTGTATTAAAATCATATATATTTTATATAATAATATTCTATAATATAATGACATTTTTATTTCATAATTTTCATTAAAAAGTTATTATGTGCTATAATATACAAATTAATAATTAATTTTATTTACGCTAAAAAACATTGTTATATTTATTATATATAATTTTTAAAATTTTAGTTTAAATTGAAGTTTTAGACATTTTTAAAAATTGTTGTTTTGTACAAAAATGCATAATTAGTTGAAATAGTGATATCTGTGATAATAAAATTTTGTGTAACTGTTATTATATTTACAAAAAGTAAAACATAGTTATAGACATTCTGGTATATCTAAAGTCAAATTCATATAAATTAATGCAAAGTTATCTTATAATTAACTCACAAACAATTTTATTGAGTAATTGTATTAATTGTATTAAATAATTAATATAACAAATTACTACATTAAATTTAATTATAATAATATTTTATATACCATATTTATAAATTTTTGTGAAATATTTATTTATAAAAACTTTAACAAAACATAAATTAGTCTAATTGTTACATTTCCTTAAACTACCAGCGCTTACAGTGATTGTATCAAAAGTAAAAAAGTTTTATTATTTGCTATAAATGTTAAAATATTTATATTATTATTAAAAACTAAAAAACACAACAACTGTATTATTGGTAAGTTTTAGTAAATAAAATAATTTGCAATTTTTATTTAATATAAAATATGATTTTAAGATATTTTTTGAGTAATTGTCTTATAATATACAGTACTGTATACTACAGTATATACGTGTATACTGTAGTATATACTGTACTGTATTTTTTCAAGATATACAGTACTTTTAATAATAAATTGTTTGATTTGTTTTTGTGATTATTTATGAACGACTATTATTTGGGTTAAATTTATTATTAATACTATAATAGTCTATTAATAACTATTAAATTTAATACGGCTTTATATTTGATGACATACTTGAACTAACATAACTTATGCAACATTTTAATACCTGTTTAATACAAATATAATGTTAGTATTTATATTAAAATAGAAAATTATTATTATTATTATTATTATTATTATTATTATTATTATTATTATTATTATTATTATTATTATTATTATTATTATTATTATTATTATTATTATTATTATTATTATTATTATTATTATTATTATTATTATTATTATTATTATTATTATTATTATTATTATTATTATTATTATTATTATTATTATTCAATTAAAATTCACTAAAAATAACTCAAAAAATTTAAAGTTTAGTTACTTTTCTATTCATAAACTCTATTATATATAACTTTGTATATATTGAACCCTTTATTGGAAAATACAAATCAAAACGGATTAAAAATATAAATACATTTTCAGTGTTTTTAACATTACTTTATATATGTATGCGATTGCAATGTAAACACAAAATAGTGACACAAAGTTATGTTTTGATTGTTATTATAATTAATGTATTGATTAATCAATCGATGGATGCAATCAATGATTCAAATTATATTTATTACAATCAAAGTAAGTCATCACTCAATGGAAATATCAACAACTGTTACCACAAGAAGTCAAACTCACTGACTGTACTCAAGATGTCTACCGAAGACCAGTTCAATGCGGCCGTCAATGTCATCAAACGGTTACCGAAAAACGGTTTGTTTTGATCCATACTTTACACTCAATTGTCATTTAATAATAATTTTTTCAAAATTTTAATCAAAATTATGTTAAAAACTAATACAAAATGACTGATCAAATGATAGATTTGATTGTATATTACGATCTAAAAGATTTGTTTTGATTTTTTAGGACCGTTTCAGCCGTCAGATGACCTGAAGTTGCGGTTTTACGCACTCTTCAAACAGGCGACCGAAGGCCCGAACCGGACGAAAAAGCCGGCCTTTTATAACATTGTTGCTCTTTATAAATGGGATGTATGGACCAAATTGGGTGATATGGATAAACAAACTGCAATGAATCAGTACATCGACGAACTTAAAAAGGTTTTTTTAACGACATAACTCTTTAGGTCTCAATTTAGCGACATTTTCTCAATTTTTTATACCAACATTCAGGTCATCGAAACCATGTCTTTCAATGAATCCGTTTCTGAGTTTTATGAAGTGTTGGGACCTTTTCATGAGTTTGTTCCGCACGACAATAATCAAGCAACTAATGGATCAAATAATAATGACATTGGTTTAGTTAACAACGGCAGCAATAAAAACATCGAGTGTATGACCAGTAAGTGTCAGTCAATTTTCGGTTACTTATGTCTATAGATTTGATGTCATTTTATTTGTTGTATTGTTTGTGATTCAGTCAAAGTCGGCAAAAAACCTCTCAAAACCCCATTTAAAGGTCTGCTTTGTTTGTATTTATAATTGCATTTATTTCTAGATTTATAATACTTTGAAATTTGAATGCATGTTCTCTAACATCACTAATACCTTATAGTAATTTATAATGCAATACATTATTTGTTATTTCATATGCACTAAATTATATATTATTATATTTAATTAGAGACTTAAATAACTAACATTAGTTGATAATATTTACGGTTTTAGTTTGATAACAAAGTCAATGGTTTTAAGTAATATAAAAATTTTATATTACCGTATATTCTTACGAATATAGTCAGTCAAATCATTAATTATTGTGATTTATGTGATTACAAAACATTAAAATATTTCTATAAATGTATTATAGATGAAGTTATATTTCTAACTTTTACATACTTATAGTTATTGTTTAATTAAATTTATTCAGTGATTTTTTTCAGGATTTATATATTTTTTGAATCACATAACGAATATAAAATTTTGATATTTTATTTGATTTATTTGAATATAATATAATATGACAAAATAATCAAGACTAAAACCAGTTGAAAATGCTATAAGCATTGCCATGAACAAACTTTGATGGGATAAAATATGTTCGCACTTTATTATAGAATAATAATTTAAAATTATTAGATATTAAATGATTCAGAATGAGAAATTAAATTCAACTATAGACATGTAAGGTATTTAATGATTGAGCATGACAAAATAAACTCAACTATAGTCATGTTGGGTATCAAATGATTCAGAATTGAAAATTAAATAAAACTATAGGCATGTAGGGTATCTAATGATTGAGCATGACAAAATAAACAACTAGGGTTCAACCCCAACTTATGTAGGGTATCTAATGATTAAATATGACAAAATAAACTCAACTATAGACATGTTGGGTATGAAATGATTCAGAATGAGAAATTAAATTCAACTATAAGCATGTAGGGTATCTAATGATTCAGCATGGCAAAATAAATTCAACTATAGGCATGTTGGGTATCAAATGATTCAACATGACAAAATAAACTCAACTATAGACATGTTGGGTATGAAATGATTCAGAATGAGAAATTAAATTCAACTATAAACATGTAGGGTATTTAATGATTGAGCATGACAAAATAAACTCAACTATACCCATGTTGGGTATCAAATAATTCAGAATGAGAAAGTAAATTCAACTATAGGCATGTAGGGTATCTAATGATTGAGCATGACAAAATAAACAACTAGGGTTCAACCCCAACTTATGTAGGGTATCTAATGATTAAATATGACAAAATAAACTCAACTATAGACATGTTGGGGATGAAATGATTCAGAATGAGAAATTAAATTCAACTATAAGCATGTAGGGTATCTAATGATTCAGCATGACAAAATAAACAACTATAGACATGTAGGGTATTTAATGATTGAGCATGACAAAATAAACAACTATACTCATGTTGGGTATAAAATGATTCAGAATTAGAAATTAAATAAAACTAGGCATGTAGGGTATGTAATGATTGAGCATGACAAAATAAACAACTAGGGTTCAACCCCAACTTATCATGTAGGGTATCTAATGATTAAATATGACAAAATAAACAACTATAGACATGTTGGGTATGAAATGATTCAGAATGAGAAATTAAATTCAACTATAAGCATGTAGGGTATCTAATGATTCAGCATGGCAAAATAAATTCAACTATAGGCATGTTGGGTATCAAATGATTCAGCATGACAAAATAAACAACTATAGTCATGTTGGGTATGAAATGATACAGAATGAGAAATTAAATTCAACTATAGGCATGTAAGGTATCTAATAATTAAATATGACAAAATAAACTCAATTATAGTCATGTTGGGTATAAAATGATTCAGAATGAGAAATTAAATTAAACTATAGACATTTAGGGTATCTAATGATTCATCATGGCAAAATAAAATCAAATATAGTCACGTTGAGTATCAAATAATTCAGGATGAGAAAGTAAATTCAACTATAGTCATATCGGGTATCAAATAATTTAGTTATACAAAATAAACTTAATATTTGTCATGTGTAGTATAAAACAAAATTATAAAATAATTTACTCTAATACTTTTATATTAATATAAACTTAGAATTACATACATTACCATACATTACCATACATCTTATTTTTGATGCTTTATGCAATTTTAAACGATAAAATTTACATTTATTTTATACTAGCCGCTATTTTTTAAAATATAAAAAATAATTTTGATTTATTATCTTATTTTTTAATGCTTTATGCAATTCTAACGATAAAATTTTTTAAAAATTTTTTATACTAGCCGCCATTTTTGAAAAAAAAAATATTTTTTGATTTATTATATCTTATTTTTGATTCTCTATGCAATTCTAAACGTTAAAAATTTTTACCTAAATTTTTTTTACTTTAGCCGCCATTTTCTCTATGTTCCCGAAGAGATATCAAAATTTTAATGAATGTACCCTATACCTTATTTTTGATGAAATAACCGAAACTGAAATCAAAATTTCAAAATTCCCAACTTGAAAGCGACAGACACACACACACACATATATAGATTTCAGTGAACTACTTTTTTTAAAAAAAAGTTTGTTCGAAAATTAATATAAATATTTTAATAGATAGTTTTATTCATAATATACGTAAATTATTTTTTTTTAAAAAAAAGTAATCCATAAAATGCATGATTAAATGTATCCATTTAGTAAACAATTAGTTTAGAATATTTTTTACGAATTAAACTTTAAAATTTAATTATTTTGAGTTATTAAGTTTCAAAAATATCATAGATATAACCGTAACTATATGAATATATTCAATGTCATTTAATTAAACCAAAATTTATTTTATTGATAGCCGTCACAATATAAAAAATTATTTTATTATATTCACATTACTGTATTCTTTTAAAATTGTAAATTATGTTACAATCGGTAAATCTTTTATATTTATAAAATTATTTTTTGTGAATATATTTTATTTTGGTAAGAATTGATCAAAATATTTAGTTAACTTATAGTTTTTAGGACGTGTTTACCTAACTATAAGTTTGTAAATGCTTTTTATGCTATTTAACTATTTAAAGCTATTATAGCAATATTTAAAAATCATACTCCGACTAGTGATTTATTTTGAATATCTAGTAAAACATATTTTATAGATTAAAATGATTGCAAAGTTATTGACAATTTTATAATGAATATACTTAACATTTATCATTTTTATATGTAACATATGGTTTACTAGATATTCAAATAAATAACTACTGGTAGTCGGGAATCTGATGCGGTAATGATTATAAGATTAAGCCGTTTATATATAATATTTTGATCATTAATTTCCAGAAATAATTATTGCCACAAAATCAGTTACAATATATTTTGAAATTGATTTCATATGAACCATATCTTGATATTATAATATAGATGTTCAACATTTAAATGGCAACGACTTTGCTATTGATAGCGATGGCGAAGAATTTTCGGACACTTATGATCACATCGGAGAGGTTGGACTCCAATTGAAAAACAATTTCATTATATTAATTACTATTAATCTAACAGAACGGAGACATTCCAATAGTTGAACGAAATGGTAGTGATATTTCCATTAAAGATATGATATCTTTTAGAGGAGGCAATGACTCAAATCCAAGTGCTCACATATCACCATCAAATTCATCAGATAATAGAAATATATCAACAAATCGTAATAGAAATACAAGAGGTTAGCAATATATATATATTAATTACGATAAATAAATATTTGGATCAATTGAAATTACCAGAAGTTGTTTCGGGTCAAAACACCAATGCTTCCAATACGAGAGGTGAGGGCGGCTCTGGAGGTCACGGACATAATCTTCACGAATATTCTGTTGGAATTAATGAACAATTGGCACTCGCGGTCATACGATTACAACAAAGTATGGATCAAGTGGTCAACAGATTGGATGCACTCGAAGCTATGTTAAGCCGAAACAGTCGAGTAAGTGATTAAAAAATTGATTTACAGTATAATTGTTTAATTGATATAATTATATTGTAAAGACAACTCAATCGCGTGAAGTCAACACAAAGTCAACACTTTGGCCATTCAAAGAGCTAAGACCACAAACAGCTGCAGTATTATTAGTTTGGCCACTCATTGTTCAACTGGTACTCCAATACATTAGACATCGCAGGCGTCCAAATAATTTATAGAAATTAAATATAATATTTTTATTTACAATATTTTATGGGTCAGTTACATTAATTATCTATATTTTAATTATTGCTTTTAAATTTTGTTTAATTTCATAATTAATCTTAAATTTAAGTGATTTATAATTTAATCTATACAGACTATATAGTGTTTAATATATAAATTTATTGATATATTTATTATGTTTACCTATAATTTTGTATTGCAATTATTTTAAGATATTCGTGTGAATTAATTTTTATTATTTAAAAGATAGAATATTTATAATTAAAAAAAACAAATAACATAATAATTGAATTTTGAAAATAACTTAAACTTAAATTAAACCTATCGATTTTTTAATTATAGGAAAACAATGATTAAATCAGTTAGTCTACGACAGATCATAAATTGAGTGATATATATCTATATATTATACAAAATGTAATCAAAATTAAATACATTTTAAACAAATTTGTGAAATATGTAGATTCAGTTGACGGCACTTCACAATAATTGTTATAAATACAAATTGAGATATCTTTCCTAAAAATAATAATTTATATTTAAATCGATGAAAAACTATATAAAATGTATATTAACTGTATATTTATGGGATAGTATATCGCATAAAACGGAAGATTTTTATTGATTTGGTTCAGAAATATCAAACATCGCTCATATGATGACTAAAATAAATAACATTATAATAATATCGATGTTTTATATCAATATTATTTGTCTTTAAAATGTCTGAAATCGTTACGTAAATCTGGGATTAGTTGCACTACTATAGTGTCGGAGTCCAACCGGTTGGGCAGATATATTAGAACCATCTGACTGTTGAATTATATGATGTACAGCACCCGAACTCCAATCATGAGTTCCTAGTGCTGACCGATAGTGTTTAGTCGAAGTTTTGTTAAAGACTGGCAATAATTCATTTGCTTCACTGGATAGCACTTTGAGATAAATAATAGCATCAGTTCCATAGCCTTCAAGAGATAGTATAACCAGATCTCCCTGAAGATACCGAGCGTAGAGACGAGACAAAGGCAAACCATATCCATAACCAGCTAATGGAGCCGAATCTATACCAGACACAGACGGTTGGGGTGCAGTAGAGTACATGTATTGAAATAACAGATGACTTTGTGAACGAGCTATACCACCTCCTCTATCGCTTATCTATTTAATAATTTAATTTTTTTATATCAATTAAAAACAAAATGATTGACACATACTCTGAGAGTGAGATCCTCTTTACCCATAACAAGAGTGACCACAATTGGTGACAACTCATCGCTATTACTTTGATGCTCAACAACAGCTCTCATAGCATTCTTAAACAATTCAAATAACATATGATAGAGATCTATAGAAAATTTATTTTATTTAATAACAAAAAATCTATTTTTATTGTTTATATTATATTACGTGAGGGAACGTAAACCAATGTTATTGGTGCCGAGGGGTCAATCACTGATTTAAACAATAAAAATATCAATTAAAAGTTAATTAAAATACACTTAATAATTATTCAATGCTTGCCATTATGTTGTTCAATGGTTAACGTTGGAGATGTCATATAGTATTGATCGCAAAGAAATTTTGCATTTTCATAGGCGTCGTATATAACGGATTTCACTTCACACTAAAATTAATAATTATATAAAAATCACATATTTTCTAATAATTTTGCTTACATTAGGATCAATGCAACCGATATGTCGTGGATTATTAAGAGCCATATCAGCTGCCGAACCAAAGAGGGCCGCGTGTTGGTTGATAAGCATACGGATAGATATACGGGACATATAGAATCGGTTTAGGAAGTACTGAATTGAGTGCTCCGTTTGCTGATCCAATTGATGTGTTTCCTTAAGTTCGATGACTCCCTGTGCCATAGTCTGCACTACATTTGAATGTCGATTCCGTATTTTAATGAGAGTATCGCAAAAGTCTTGATGTGTTTGTTTGAGATTAGCGTCCGATTTCTCGAAGTTGAGTATCTCATCGAAACTCCTCACATACCAGCTCTGGACTAATGAGACGGAAGGCATTCGTTGCAAATTTTCCGGAAGTAAATTCAATTCTTGCATTATGTTTGCCAACCGAACCGGCAATTCTTTACGCAAGAATATAAACGATGTCTTCTCGCATGCCTTTTGACCTTTTATTGCATATCAAATCATTTCATTATTAAAATTATTAATAAATATTTTATAATTATTATTAAAAAATAAGTTAAATTATAATATACAGTATATCTCAAAGAATTTTCAAACTATCAATTCAACAATAATGATAATTATTATCATTATTGTTTGCATCAAATGCAATATCTATTGAACTACTGTACAGTATATAACAATATATTAATACTTTATTATAACAGATCTCAAAAATGCTAACATTAAACACATAACTATTAATTTAATTAATTTATAAATAGATAAATTAAATTAAAATGAATTTATTAAAAACAATTATTAACTAATCTTAATTTTTAAAAATAAATAATCTCCAATAAAAATTATATCAATTTTTAAAAATAAATAAAACTTTAAACAAGAAAACTAATCAAATAATTAAATTGTCATTTATATAAATGTTAACTTTACTGTTTACTGTAATGAACTCTTTAATGGTGAAAAAACAGTTAATTTCTACAATATTTAAATATTTCTTAAAATACATAGAATATAATACTTGAATATACTTTTAACAAAAAATTAGTTTTCGATTTGTTTAAATATATATATATAATTCAGTCATTACTACATTAAAATACTATAAAATTAATCTAATTAATTATCTATTAAAATAAATTTTATGTTTTCTAAGTTATATTTACTTTGACGGTTCTATAGTGTAGTTTAATATCAAAACATATCAAACTATCAAATCTTTATACAATATAAATTTTAACCGTATTTTATATTACAAGCTATTAATATTATAAGCTATTTAGTATTTCCTAATTATAAATGTATTTATCTTAAAACATTTATTTATTTATTAAAAATATCAATGTTATATTCAAAACTATTATATGAAAATTATGTGTTAAAATTAACAAATATTAAGGTGTTAGGCAATATCAGTACTACTTTATTCTACAGTTAATACAACATATTCTGTACATTACTTTAATTAATACAGTAGTGATAATTATTATGACAATTGGTGTCATAGACATGACTTTAATTTACTATACATGTACTGTATATGCTTTGTTAGCACAATAATAATAAAATATTTAGAATAGAAAAATTAATTTACAATTAATCTTTAATAACGTTATACTTAAATATAGATTAAAAGTGAGGGATTAACTAAATTAATATATACATAATAAGTACAACTTATAAGTATACAATTTATATACATGTAAATCAACATATTCCGATATTCCATATAAAACAATTAAAACAATTTATTAGTCTAATTGAAAATATGGATTAATTATTAATCCCTTTTTTGCTAAAAACTAAAACTCAATTTATAATACTGTAGTTTAATTATCCCAATACAAGAACATAGTATAAGATTAAATCATTGTCTAACAATTATCTTTTACTAATTGATGACAATAAAAATAAAATTATTGTAAATATTATTAGTAATAATCTTATTATAAATTTATCAAATAATATATTAGATTATGAGTTAGTTATTACTAAATAACAAACAAAAAATACTGATAATTATAGATACAAGTCATGAAATTTTAATATCAAATTCATAACAGCGTTTCCAATGATAAATGAAATAAGATTTGTGTTACTAATGTCGAGAACATACTGTAGTATAATATAATCTATTTTTATTACAAACTAGACATAAAAACAACATAAACCCATTTCTCACTAATTATGCAATACTTTTTAGTTTGTATCACTATTTTAAAATTAGACAAACTTAAATTATATTTCAAAATAAATTTTTAAACATATTATTGATAAATATTTAAATAATTATTAAATAAAAAAACAAGCAAATCATCTAAAGCGCAATTAATTAATTAAATACTATATATAAAATTGAAAACTATCGTCAAATAATGTATATTTTATTAAATGTCTAATAACTATTGCCGGTAATAATTTACAATAAAATATGATACTATAAAAATTAAATGACAACACAGTTTTATGTCAATAAAATAAATAAAATATTCATAATTATTGTAAATATAAAAACAAATGTATGCTAATAAAGACAACAATAATTGTATTTATATTAAATATTAATTAGAGATCAAAGTAGTTCTCATATTTAATGCATATTTTTTGGATCAATAAATATTGTTTTTTTCACAGTTTTACAATAAAATTAGATTACAATAAATGTTATTTAAATAGTGCTAAAAACCTAATTAAAACATTTGTTTATAATAAAATTACACAGAATTTAATAAATAGCATTTTTCAATAAATATAATTCATAATACAGTATTATTTACCAAAAAATAGTTTATTTATTGGTTAATATTGAGTAAAAAACAAAATCTAATGAAAATAAAAAATATATTTTGCAATCACTTATAATACTCACAGTTATTAACAAAATATAAGTAATGATAATAAATCAAATGAAATCATCAAAACATAGTCTTATTATATGATTGTATGATTATATACTGTATCATACATTTGCAAAACAAAATGTTTATTTTAAATGTTTATTTCATATGTATTATATGTATGAATCATATAATAAAAATTATTAATTTTATATTAAATTGCTATAAATATTGAATAAAAAATTGTAATCAAATACCGAAATCAATGAACTGTTTGATAGATAGCGGCGAAGGATTAAAACGCGAATACAAATCAATGTATTTCTTGAGATCACGACATAAGATGGATGTGATCCTCATCTTCAACAATATGGTGTGTGATATCTGTTACAAGAATTACATCCAAACAATATTATTACTTAAGATGTTTAAAATATTGACAATTACTTACTTATGGGTTATTAAATAATCACAAAATAAATATTCAATTAAATTATTGATTTTAATAAATTTGGACACAATTTATGGCAAATTTTAGATAAAATTATTGATCACTAAATTGAGTGACCATTCAATAGATTAGACATCACTTGTTCATCAATAAGTCATATGATATGTTTGAGTGATATTTGAGACCAAATAATCAAATGTAATGTCAAATGAAAACAAACACTGAATTCATTATAAATTCAATTCAATGTTAATATCATTTTAACCGTAGATTTGCTTACGATTTACGACAATTCAGTCAATTTCAGACACACATTGAGGGTGTGTTCTATGTGTTGACCAATCATTGAATGGCATTACAGTGACGTCACACATATGTAACAGTCAGTGACCGACGCATCACTTGATTGTCTTTACCGATCATTTCAATTGATTAGACTTTTATTATATAATAATAACCACTAATAGCTAACTGTCTAACCCTACCGGTGCTAATCAATCAAAATAATTTAACTAAAACATTAATATTAGTATTTTATATATTTTTATTTCATTTATTATTTTAAATGTATAGTAATTTTATTGAAAACATCAGTTATTATTTGTCATAAATTAATACATCATTACATTCATGTTATTTAAGATGCGATTGATTAAAATGAATGGAAAATTTTTCAAAAATATTAATAAAACTTAATTACATATCACTTATTATAAATACAGTAATATTCATAATATTCATTAATAACCTTAACCTTAACCCATAAGTTAATAGCCTTAGGCCTAATCAAAGCTTACAAATACCGGTGCGCGCAAAATGATAGACAGTTTAACAAACAGTAGGAAAACATTAAGGAATATTCACAAAACTTTCCATAAGATGATAAAGTTTTGCAGTTATTTATGGATCAGTTTATAGTAAAAGACTATCAATTTATTACATTGTCATCCATACATTCAATACCTTAAATGATACAATGGGTTAGAAAACAAAAAGGGTTAAGTGATCCGAGGGGGTCAAGAAGCCCATAGAGGGGGTCAAGAAGCCCATAGAGGGGGTCAAGAAGCCCATAGAGGGGGTCAAGAAGCCCATAGAGGGGGTCAAGAAGCCCATAGAGGGGGTCAAGAAGCCCATAGAGGGGGTCAAGAAGCCCATAGAGGGGGTCAAGAAGCCCATAGAGGGTTAAGAAATTAAAAACAATTGACATTTTTCTATATTGAATTGATATATCATTTGCTATAAATATCACCAAATTTTTATATCTTTCTTCTCTAAAGAGATGGGAGAGATTAGTCAGACATTCCTAATCTATATTTTCATCAAAAATCTGAATTCAAAGTCAATATTTAAAATATTTATTCAAAAAACTAACCCAAACAGACATTTACAATTCAAATATGATTTTTTTGATGAAATGTAGTGAAAATATATTAAAAATTAATAATTTTTCTGGTTTTCAAATATATATTTGATTGTAGATATTTATTATTGTAATTATATAAAAATTATTATAATTAAAGTATTTATGACTTTAAAATAATTATAATGTAAAATAAAGTTTACAATCTTTATTAATACAGACATATAGTGATTAACATTTATTAGATTAAAACTGTTATCTTTATTATTATGATACTGTATTTAAAAATTATAGAAAAATTAATATATTTTAAATGTTATTTAATTTAATTCAGTAATAGATTTAGATATTTTTAAATAAAAGTAATAATAATAATATAGTATTTTTACACAAATTTAACATATCATTTGGATTTTGATTAAAACTTTTAATATTTTTCAATAATGTGTTCAATTAATAACATGATTTAAAATTATGTTATAATTACTATAAATCAATATTAATACTAAATTATTATATATGTATAATGAATGCATTGAAATGTATTGAAATGTATTGAAATGTATTGAAATTTGCGCCAAAAGTAAGTTTCAGTCAATCAGATGACAGCAATGGTGACAGTGAGTGACGTCACGCGAAACACGTGTCGTATTATATGTTATATTGAAATGTATTGAAATGTATTGAATGAACTCAATAGTAGTTAAGAGTCGAGTATTTGACTCGAATAGCAATTTCTAATACTATTGAGTAATCAATTGACTGATTGACTGATCTATCAATTGGTCACTCATTAAGACATTGACTGAGTTGTGGACAAAGACACTGATCTTCAGGTTATTATTATTATTAACAAATAATTTCGGATCAATTGATTTGATTTGAATAATCACATGAAATGTCACTCATAGTTGCTTTCAAAACAATCGACGCATTCATTGAATGACATTATCTGATGATATAATTGAAGGGTTTGTCAAACAATTATTTGATTTGTTTTCTCAACAGAAATGGCCGACAAATTAGACGACTTTTTTGCCAAAAAAGATAAAAGTAGAAAATCAAAAGTGAAGAATATTACCACTGAAGACATGGCTAAGACATTGGAAGAAAGCGGCAAAAGAAGTGAAAAGTTAAAGAAATTAAAGGATAAAACCAGTAATACTAATATGAATCCAATTCTCAATAATCAAGAGGTTTGTTATTCAGTGATAATCTGAATGAATTGAGTGATTGATTGATTTTTGTTTATTTCTGCATAAATAGGCTGACGAGGAATGGTTAGAGTTAGAAGAAGATCGCGAAAAGGATTACTCAGGCCTTAAGATAACAACTCTTAATATTAAGTGAGTCTCATATTTGATAGTTTGACAAACCGTTTAACATATTTGTTGTTTACAGAGATAAAGAAGAAGAGTTTAGGGAACAACAAAAGCAAGACATGGAGGACGAAAAACAAAAGGACGGACAGTTGGGTCCGTGGAAAGTGGCCACTCCTGGCACTGACACAGAGTCTGAGGCCGATAAAAATGAAGAGATAAACATCAACGATGTGGTAGTGACGCCAATACCTGTTGCCGCCGCCGCCGCCACACAGGGTGGTCGCTATGTTCCCCCACATCTGCGAAATCAATCGCAAACCTCCTCTACTAACACATCATTAAATCCCATTTCATTGTCGTCAACTCGTCGACCAAAAGGAGGTGCGCCTAAAATTGGTGATATCGTTGAGTTCCCGACATTGGGTGCCATCGATACAAATGAAGACAATAAAGGCTTTCAAACCGTCAAATCGGGAAATACTAGAGATTTAGTGAACAAGAATTCAGCAAATGTTACGTTAGATAATAAATATGGTTTACTAACAAAAGCGCTTCAAAATAGCGATTAAATTTAATTTAATATAATTTTAGTGAAAATTTTGCTATTGAATTGAAAATGATTATTACCGGTACGGTATATACAATTTTATTAAGATATATATATTTAAATATAATTGAAATACGATTAATAATTATAATGATTTTTATAAAAAAAAATAATTGTAACATTCATGAGAATCTGTATTCTTTATATTTATCTATTGAGTTGTATTTTTTTCCTTTTTTATATAAAATTAGTAGAAATAAACAAATTTCACTCTAAATGATTGTATTATCAATTATAAAGTTTTTAATATTTTTTGAAACAATTATAAAATATTTCTAAATTGTTAACTTAAGGCAATGTTAGTAATACAGTATTGGTTGCAACTTAAGGCCGGTTAGCAATGAAATCGCCGGTTAATGTAATGTAGATATCATTAGAGAGGCTGTGCTATAGAAATGAGTTGTTGTTGACTGACATAAAGCACAGACTCGTCAATGAAGATGACATCAAAATTGAATGCAATGTAAATGTTTTGCATCACATGTTGTGTTTATGACTGTAATATAAGACCAGAATTTCCAAAACAATCAATTTTTTGTTTTCATTTTCACTGCAACATCACTGATGAGATGACAATTGAAGTTAATGTCAAACAAATGTTGATATTATGATATACTTGTAAATTGATTGTCATTGAAATTACTATATACTGTAATAACTATCAGCTGTCTTAACATTGATTTACAGTATGTGTACAAAATATATTGCATTCAATACACTGTTATAGCAATTATCACTACAATAATTGAATATAGAATTCATATAATAATTATTACATAAAAAGCAAATACGAGTTATTTTTATAACAATTGATTGCATTAACTGTTTTCATATATAAAGTGATTAACTGTAAGACAACAAAAAGTTAATGAATTCTGATTTTGAAGAATCACTCGAGTCATGTCCTGATGAGACACCGACACAGACTATCGACCGACTGTCCAATCCATCGGACACTGAATTATCAGAAGAACTGTTAGATGACGATCCAGTGGTACAATCAATCCCTCATCACCACCATCTTCATCATCATCATCATCATCACCATCACATGCATCTACACGATCATCACTATGTAGACCATCATTCAGACCATCGTTTGGCTCACTTCTACATCGATGACGAGGAACTGACGCGTCAAAAGTTGGCACAAGTAGGCTATGGTTTCATATTTTGTTGATTTTTTATTTAACAAACATTTTAAATATTTAAAAATTACTGCACTTTTGGCACTTATGCCAAACAACACCAAGTTTTATAACATATTTATTTATAACTTAATATTAATATATATATATATATATATATATATGATATATATTTAGTTGAAACTAATGATGATTTTACCTTTTAGTTTAATCATATGATTTTTAAAAATAATTAATTTTTATTTAAACATATGATATATAAAATTGTCTTATACTTTATATTTCTATTAAATAAATTCAATTTATATATATATATATATATATATATGAGATTAGAATCAAATTTAATAATTAGTTACAATTATTTTATTTGAATCTATTTTAAAAGTATATGCTTTACTTAATGTTAAAAATACTGTATATATAAGAAAATTTGATTGAAATTTCAAGGATTTCCAAACATACAGTATATTTAATATTACCGTAATTTTATGCCACACAAGAAAGAGTCTATAAATTACATATACAGTACATTATGATTGAATTATTATAACTATAAATGAGGCGACAAATCACTGAATTTGAGCTTAAATTTGATCTAAAATTAGTTAAAAGGGTATTAAATTGGTTTAGTTTTATTATTTTTGTTAAACTTATGGAAGACTTTGTGGAATATATGATATCGGTATTCATATTATATGAAAATTTGCAAATAATATAAATGAAATTCTTTAAACTTTTTTTTATCATTTTATATACAGAATTTTGATGATTTCGATGATTCAGACAGTTATGAGTGTGAATCCAAACAAGTGATTGTCGGCATCTGTGCGATGGAAAAGAAGACAGAGTCGAGACCAATGAAAGAAATATTGACACGACTTAATGAGTTTGAGTACATTAAGACTGTTGTCTTTACAGAAAATACTATTCTAACGGAACCGGTAGACAAATGGCCACTTTGTGATTGTTTAATATCATTTCACTCAAAAGGCTTTCCATTGAGTAAAGCCATAGAATATGTATCACTTCGCGAACCATTTATTGTAAACGATCTTCACATGCAATATGATCTTCAGGACAGACGTAAAGTGTATCGCATTTTAGAAGAGGCAGGCATTGAATTACCCCGTTATGTAGTTCTCGATAGAGACTCTCCTATTCCTGAAGAACGAGAACTTGTTGAACACGAAGATCACATTGAAATCAATGGCGTTGTCTTTAATAAACCATTTGTTGAGAAACCAATTTCTGCTGAAGATCACAATATTTACATATATTATCAATCATCTGCTGGTGGAGGCAGTCAAAGATTATTTCGTAAGATTGGCTGCAGAAGTAGTGTATATTCACCTGAAAGTCACATTAGGAAAACCGGTTCTTATATTTATGAAGAATTTATGCCCACTGATGGTACTGATGTTAAAGTGTATACAGTTGGACCAGATTATGCTCACGCAGAGGCTCGTAAGTCACCGGCACTGGACGGCAAAGTTGAAAGGGATAAAGAGGGCAAAGAAATTAGATATCCAGTAATCTTAAGCAACGCCGAAAAATTGAACGCTCGTAAGGTTTGTCTTGCGTTCAATCAAATGGTTTGTGGCTTTGATTTGCTTCGGGCTAATGGAAAGTCTTATGTTTGCGATGTCAATGGATTTAGTTTTGTAAAAAATTCAATGAAATATTATGACGATTCCGCTAAAATTCTAGGAAATATGATACTAAGGAATCTGGCGCCACAATTGCATATACCCTGGCACATACCTTTCCAGTTGGATGATCCACCTATAGTTCCCACAACTGTCGGCAAAATGATGGAACTTAGGTGTGCTATTGCTGTCATCAGACACGGAGACAGAACACCCAAACAAAAGATGAAAATGGAAGTAAAACACCAGAAGTTTTTCGAGATATTTGAAAAATATGGCGGATATAAGGATAGCAAATATCACGTCAAACTTAAGAAACCAAAACAACTCCAAGAAATATTAGACATCGCAAGATATTTGCTTTTAGAAATTGATCAAAATTCTGATCCAGAAATTGAAGAAAATAAGTCAAAACTGGAACAATTGAAATCTGTTCTTGAAATGTACGGACATTTTTCTGGAATCAATAGAAAAGTTCAGCTCAAATATCAGCCTAAAGGAAGACCCCGACAATCGAGTAGTGAAGAAGGTATGAATATTATATATATATATATATGAATACTAATTTAATATATTATTAATTGATTAAAACATATTAGACAACCCAAGAGATCCGTCATTGTTATGTATAGTCAAATGGGGCGGTGAGTTGACAGCTGGTGGACGTATTCAGGCCGAGGAGTTGGGCCGAGTGTTTCGTTGTATGTATCCGGGAGGACAAGGTATCGCTTCTCAGCTACTAATACATCTAACGTCTCCACTTAGATATATTTCCACTTAGATTTTTTAATTTTTAGTGTACTGTATACTATACACTTTTTTTACCCTGATAAATTTTTCCATTTTAAGTCAATGAGCATTCATGTATGATATATTGTAATTTATTTTTCTTTATGAATTTACTTACCGGTAAACATATTTAAAATCTACTAATGGTATGCTCATTGATTATATGTTAAACAATTCATGTATGTTTTAGACTAAATATAGTTATAATTAATACCATATTATAAAAGTAAACCCAAATTATCTAAACTATGCTTTCGCGAGTCTTTTGATATGAAAATTGATTTTTTTTTCGGTGGTTTCAGTGATTTATTCAAAAACTATTTTAAAATTGAATCCTATTTTGTTTACTAAAACTTAATCTAATTTTTCATCTGAAACTTCCGAATACTTAAACTAAATCAAAAGTAAACCAATTATTTTGAATGTCATTTAAGGTGAATACGCGGGAACTCAGGGTTTGGGTTTACTTCGCTTACATAGCACTTTCAGACACGACTTGAAGATCTATGCATCTGATGAGGGTATGTCCTAACATACAAGTCTTTATATAGTTAACATGTTTTATCATTTTGTTTTTTCTAATATTTATAGGTCGGGTCCAAATGACAGCCGCAGCTTTTGCTAAGGTATTAGACAGTACTATATAATACTAATGTACTAAAATATATAAATATATATACTGTATATATAAATTATTAATTAAAAGTTTCTGTAATTATTTTATTAAAATTTTAGGGCTTATTAGCTCTCGAGGGTGAATTGACACCAATATTGGTTCAAATGGTTAAGAGTGCTAATACTAATGGTTTACTCGACAATGATTGCGAATCAAGTAAATTACAAAATGCTGTCAAACGAAGACTTCATGATATGATGCAAATGGACAGAGATTTCACTAAAGAAGACATTGAAACTCTTAATCAACTTAACGCCCGTTCCCTACAATATGCACTCAATTATGTCAAAAATCCTGTCAAAGCTTGTGATAAAATACACAATTATATACAAGAATTAAATATTTTGATTAAAACTCGACGCGAAGATTCTCGCGATGATTATCATCTATATTATGGCGAAACATGGGATCTAATGCAAAGACGATGGTCTAAATTAGAGAAAGATTTTAAATTGAAAAATGGATCGTACGATATAAGCAAAATACCAGACATTTATGATTGTATTAAATATGATTTACAGCACAACCAACACGTCCTTCAATTTCCAAATGCTGAAGAGTTTTATACTTATGCTAAAGCTTTAGCAGATATTGTGATACCACAGGAGTACGGGATTACTCAAAATGAAAAGTTAACAATTGGTTTAGGGATTTGTTCGCCTCTTCTAAAGAAGATTAGATCCGATTTGTTGACCAATACTTTTGCTAATGAAGACGACGAAACTGAAAGTGTTAATCGTCTTAATCCTCATTACTCTCACGGCGTTTCATCTCCCGGTAGACACGTGCGGACGCGTCTATATTTTACGAGTGAAAGTCATATTCATTCTCTATTAAATGTTTTACGTTTAGGTAATTAATGACATATCAATTGATGCAATTAAACCATTGCATAGTTAATAGAAATTGTTTGTTAAACAGGCGGTCTCTTTGATGAAGCAAAAGATGAACAGTGGAGACGAGCTATGGATTACGTGAGTTTGGTGTCAGAACTTAATTATATGACACAAATAGTTATTATGTTATATGAAGACCAAACCAAAGATCCCACTTCTGACGATAGATTTCATATTGAGTTACATTTTAGTCCTGGAGTTGTTTGTTGTTTACAAAAAAATCACATTAAAGGACCCGGTTTTAGACCACAATCTAAAAGTAGTGGAAATACTGTTAAGGTTTGTATAGTTTTACTAACAAATGAACGGTATTTGAACGGGTATTAAATAATACATTGCTTTTAGAAATTAATTACTTCTAACAGTTGTGATAAAAATCTTTGCCATACAAGTTATAAGCCTTGTATTAAAGAGGAGGAATCCGATGACTTATTAACATATTTAACAATTGAAGAATCAATTAATCCTTGTTTATGTAAAATTCATAAAAGTTTTTGTGTTTCCACTCCTCCCGTGAGTTAATTGATTGATTAATTTTTTGGCTAAATTTTGATTATCTATACTAATCAATGTTAACCCCTATTATTAACATTATTTTAACACTTATTGTATCATTAAATTACACTCAAAAGGAATCGCCAACTATTCTTGAAGAACCTGAATTAGAAGAGAAGACTAAATCATTGACACCACACGATAATCAACAAAAATCTGAACCAATTCCCATAACTATCACATCAAACAGTAAGTTAAATATTAATTGTAATATATTTGAAAATTTATTAATGTCTGTTAATAATTATTAATTATAGACTCAAACGGTCAGTTAGACTCAACACCTACTGAGTCGAAAGCTCGCAGTTTTTCGCTATCATCTTCATCACAGAGACCTCGTAGTCTTGAAAGTGATATCAAAGAGAAACAAAAGAAACAGATCGACAAAGAAAGTACTCATACTCTTAGTTGGAATGACGTGTCCGGTGACTGTGATTTTCCGGGTTGTCAGAGTAGGTCCCAGTCATTAAATTATGATATCAATGAAACTAATCAATTATATACTACTGTTTAGTCATCAATAAGCATCACCGGCACTCAATCCCTGGTCAACTGAGCTCATACTTCCGTCTCTGTAATTTAGCTGATTTGTCACATTTCGGTGAGACATAATGTTATACTTATATACCGTAGTTTTGTGCATAAATTTAATATAAAATATTAGTGTATTTTAGTTTTTGCTTTATTTCATTGCCACTCATTCACACCCTTTATGTTTTGACCTATTTTTTTGTTATGATTTTTATGCGAACCAATCTTTAGGGTCGACCAGCAGTCTGTTTAGTACAGCTGTGATCAGTGGTTCCTCGAGTGCACCTAATCTTCAGGAAACTTTCCTTCATACAAGTGCTGGTATAAAAATAAATTAACAAAATATATAATACAATTTGTATATCAATTTATAAAACAAATAACATATAAATTTCTTTCAAAATTTATCCCTTTGATACCTACTTTCAATTTCTTTTCATTTCAATAGTTATTTTATAATTAATATTAATTTTAGAGTTATATATACTGTAATTGAAATGATTTTAATTAAAATTTCTTCAGAAGGTTGTTCTAGTATTCCAACGATACGACCGCTGGAGACCTTACACAACGCATTATCGCTCAGACACTTGGATTCCTTCTTCGAGAAGCTGACGTCATCACCACTGTATCGATTGCCGCTATCATCTCCGATGCGGATACCTATAAATTCAAGCGCTCCGGGAATGCCATCACATAGCATGAAGAGCGGTCTTCCCATATCATCGCCTACCAGTTCGTGTCAGAGTTTTGGTTGGAGTGGTCCGCCGTCTTTTGTGTCAAGTAGTGGTCCTTCTTCTCCCAATTCATCACAATTGGATCTATTGGCCCGATTTGCTAAAAGCGGTGACTCTGAGACTACAGTACTGGACAACTGTTGGAGTGGTCCGCCGTCTCCTCTCGACTCCAAATATTACATAAACAATAGCTTTTAGTTATTTGATATTTATTTTATTTGAATTTTTAAATTTATAACAATTATTGTAATTTTTGTAAAAATATATAATATATTTGTTAATAATTGCTATAATTTAATTAGTATTTAAAAAATATAAATGCTATTAAAAATTATTGTATTTTCTATTGTTTTATTGTATAATTATTGTAAAATATATGACATTTCAATTGATGTCACATTTTGTCCTATTCTTTACCAATACTAAAGATACAGTTAATTAAAATACTTTATATACCTGTAGGTCCTGTACTACCAAACCAGGTATAGTGCAATCCATAGAAATAGTGTATTATGTTGTATGAAGTGATGGTTGAATTAAGCGCTCAATAGTTGGGTTGCCTTTCAGTTGAGTGCATTGAAGCCATACAGTGGTGTATAGTGTTGTTGTACTATACTATACGTCACAAACCATTATATTAGTGATGGCTTTATCTGACTGTTAGTGCCTTTCAAATGCAATTCATATGAATGATAACCCATTGTGTAACCCATTGTATTAGTTTGATATTTGTGGCCAAATGTGTTAACCGCACGACCATCGGGTGAGTGGCCATCGTATACATTGATTATCACATGTTTTCATTTGCCAAACACTTGTACACACAGTTAGTGCCCCTTAAAGGCAGGCATTTGGGGAACGGGTGTTGAGTTGTTGTGCTTTACAGACAATGCAGACATTTTGCCACTAAATGCCTCTCAAATTAATATATTAAATAAATACACGATAAGGATATACTGTATAATATAATACAGTATATACCTGTATATACCTACCTGTCCTCATACAGTGGTTGCCACTAATTCTGTTTATAATATGGACAGTTGATTAAATTGATTGTCATTGACTACCGGTGCCATTATTGGTCACACATTTTAAATATATAATAATAAATTGCTAAATATATTAACATTAATTAACATTTACTATACTATTATCTAAAACGAGTAAATTGAACATGATCAATTATTGAAGAAAACACGATAAAATTTAACATGCACAATTTGTTAATTGAAAAATAATTACATTTAACACAATTTATATAATATTATCATTTTTTAAGTATTTATATGACATATTAGATAAATATAATGTTAATAAAAATATATGGTATTTATTAAACTTATAAACAGTTATTAACGTAATAGTTATGAATGAATTTGTTTTTAGTTTTATTTTAATGATTTCACATGATTTGAATTATTATTTTATTTTAAAACATTATAATATATAATAATATTATTGTTTAATATATATATATATATCATATCTAAAAATAATGTGTATATAATAGGATGATATAAGAAGAATGGGTCGAAAAAAGAAGAGCCAAATAACTGTCGCAAAGACATCACCGATAGATAAGAGAGTGACTCGTTCTAAGAGGAATGAAAAGAATGTGTCAAATACTGGACCACCAATTAAGCCACCGATTAGAAGGAAGACGACGATCGCTAAGAATAATGTAATCTTTGTTTTGCTTTTCATAACAATTGTTTCAATCAGTTTTGTTAAAATTAATTATTTTTTTCAGACCAAAAGTCAGTCAATAGTTTTGGAGACTTTGAATACAATTGAATTGGAAAATATTGAAACAGAAATTATCAACGAATTACAAACTAATGAAATTATAACACCCGATGATAACGACATTGACATCAATCAAACCATTGATGTCTCGCATTTGAAACGTAAATAATAGTATTTATTATGAGATTTACTTAATTGTTATTTTATAATAGATTTTGTTATTGTATAGAAACCGATTGCCATCAAATCGTTGCCAAAAAATCATTACCCGAACCTGTCTTAACAGTTGTGGACAATGAGTTGAATGGAATAGTTTTAGAAGATATGTGCACTGAAACTGAGGTAAACAATGCAAAGACATCTCCTAAGAAAAAAGGCGGAAAACGCAAAGCAAAGACAGCTAAAAACGGTGCACAAGATGTGGACAATCAAACTAATGGCAATAATAGCACTAATAAAAGCCTTCCTTGTCTTGATTGTGGTCTTGAGTTTCCTGATATGCATTCGCTTGTTCTTCACGAGGTTACAGCTCATGAAGAAAAAGGTTATCGATGTCATGTTTGCGAAAAGGTTTTTACACGAAAATATCATTTGGATCGACACTTGCAATTGACGCCCTGTTCAGGACAACCACCCCCAGCCCATCCATGTGAAGTGTGTGGCAAAGTATACACACGCAAAGACAATCTTCGGGAGCATTTAAGAGTACACGCGGGAGAAGTGACTCGCAAGAAGAAATTTAAGTGTGAGCACTGTCCTAAAATGTTTCACGGGGCCAGTCTTCTCAGGATACATGTGCGCACTCATACCGGCGAAAAGCCATTCAAATGTGACTTTTGTCCCAAAGCTTTTCCTTCAGGAGGAGCCCTCACCAAACATAGACGAATACATACGGGAGAAAAACCATATAATTGTCCGGAATGTGACATAAGGTTCTCATTGAAAGGAACACTCAATCGGCACATGAGGATACATACGGGAATCCGTCCGCATAAGTGTCCCTATTGTGGCAAACAATTCATACAAGCGGGTGGTCTTAAAGCTCATCTTTTTTACCACACCGGACAAAATGGCTTCAAATGCGAGTTCTGTTCAAAGATCTTCAATCGAAAGGCTAGACTTCAGATGCATACACGTTATGTTCACGAAAAAGACAGACCATATGAATGCAGTGAATGCAATAAAAAGTTTACGCGAAAAGAAGATCTTAACCGACATTTTGTTTTACATACGGGCGAAAAACCACACGAATGTCCCACTTGTCATAAACGGTATTTACATTAGTTATTAATATATAGATATACCGGTAATTTAATCGACTATTTATTTGATCAGATTCTCGATAAAGCCATCACTGAAACTGCATTTACTGACGCACACTAAGGAAGAGCCGCGAAGTTGTCATGAATGCGGTCGAGCTTTCATTCGCAAAGATTGTCTGCTAAGACATATGCGTAAAAGACATCGCGATTTGCTCGATAAGATTCTTCTGGAAGAAAAAGAAGAGAATGAAGTGACTGGAACTTCCAGTTCTCCCAATTCCAGTGGATATGCCGTCAATAATCGTGTTCTTAGTGAACAAAAGCTATGCGATTCTATCCGAGAACTTCTTAGTCTTTTGGTAGATGAGGCAACACTAAAGGGCTTTGGATGGCCCGACGCACCGGTAGATGAACTATTAGAAGCTGTCATCAAACGGTGCGGACACACCCCTGTGAAACACGACAGTTACAGCTATTATGATAGGCTTAGGGAGAACTCGAAATTATTGTTCACTGTTGTCATCGATGACAATGCAGTGAAGACTTTGCTCAACAATCAAACTGTCGATGAAGTGATACTTCATGTCCTTAGATTAGCTAAATCCTAGACTTCCCTTACATTCCTTGTTTGGAAATATATTATCAATTATAATATAATGAGTCCTTTAAAAATACCCTAATAATTATTACAAATATTTTATGATATCTACAAACATATTTTATTTGAAAGTGCCTTCAAATTGCACTATATATTAATAGTGTTAATATCTAGTTATATCTTAACCCGTTTGGTCACAATTATGCGACACTCCTTACCTAATTGAAAGCATAATTTAAAGTAATTATTAATTTTTGATAAAATTTATTTAAATATAATAAATGGTTGAGGTTTGAAATCATATAATGATATATTAAATTTGATTATATATAAGATATATATTTGTAATGGAGTTCATTATGTCTTTTTTGATTATCAAATATATTTATACGAAATATTTAAAACATATGACATATTTTAAACATATTTAAATAAAAATGTATTGAAATAATTAAATTAAAAGTTTGCAATCAAATGGGTGTAAAAATAATTTAAACAAATGTTTGTCTTGTTTGACAATAAGTGTGAATAAATGTATCAAATTGAACATGATCAATTTTATTATCGTATATCTAATTACTTTTTATCGTCAAAAGTGGGGGATTTAATGACAAACATATTATATGTCTATTATTTTTTATTAACATAATCAACATTAGGGACAATATTTGGCATTAAATTGTACGTTATATATGAATGACTCGAGTTATGATATAATTGTAATATTTATGAGTTTTTTGATATAAAAACAAAGCTTTTGATTGAATTAATATTTAATAAATTAATTGTTATTTAGTTTTGTTATTTGAATTATAAAATCAAATTAAAATTATGTCCACAAAAGGCAAACAACGATTGGATTTGAATGAAATGAATTCAATGCAATTGTCATCAATTAGACAACAATTAGAGGCCGTAAGTGACATACACTTTGAAAGACACGTGCGATGACTGTTGCGGTAAATATAACCATTTAATTGATATCTACAGGAGATTGAACTCTTGGAACAGTCCATCCAAAGCCTACAAAATGCAAAAATCAAGTTCAATGAGTCGGCACAAGCCGTCGATCGGCAGAAGGATGTGGCCGACGGCTCGCAAATATTGGTGCCACTGACCGGCTCTATGTATGTGCCCGCCGTCATCAACGACAACAACAATTTCATTGTGGACATCGGCACCGGTTATTACGTGGAAAAGACAACCAAAGCGGCAAACGATTACTTCAAACGAAAGGTTCAGTTTCTTAGCGAACAAATCGACAAATACGTGAAAATGACTCACGAAAAGGTGACCGCACGGGAAGGTTAGTTGAATTACATTTTTTTAGACATAAAATCAAATTACTTTAAATGAATCACTTGGATGTGACAAACATTTATCATTAGATGGACTAAAACAAACACTTGTGTTATTAAACAATTCAATTAGCGATTGTTAAATAATGTGAAAAAGTTTTTAAAAAAAAATTATTAATACATTACATCAATGTTGACAGCTATGAGAAAACAATACTAGAAATATAAAATAATTTTATAATATTTATTGAAATAAAATAGTATTTATAGCAGAAATAACCTAAATTTCCATTTATTATATTTTTGTGTTTTTTGTAACAACAAAATTAATAATACTATTATTGCTATTTTAATTAAATTTTATTGTTTTTTAATTAGTGCAGTTTAGATATCTTTAATTACTCTATTTTATGCTAACAATAATCTGCAACTTGTTTTTGCATAAATTGTTATACAATAGTTATATTATTATTATTATTACTGTATATAAATAAATTTAATTATATAATTACATAATATCTATGTCGTGGATAAGGGTTAAAACAAACGAAAAGGGTTTGCCATTTCAATGACTTAGTTGTTAATCAATGCATTAATAATAATAGTATCGATTTTAAAATATTTAACAAAAATTGATAATATTTTACGACATATTTCTAGCTATTGGCGAACTTCTACAATATCGACAACAGTCAGCACAGGTAGCCGCACAACAATCGGCCACAACGTCACAAATTAACAAAAGTTAAATATTACTAAAATAATTTTTTTTGTAATAATTTAGATTTAAATCATTATTTTATTATTATTATTATTTACAGAAATTATTAATTGAACATTAATTTTTGTTTTTATTAAATAAAAAAAGGGGGAAAATATGTTTTAGTCCAAACTGAATGTTGTACTCATAAAATGTGTTTATTATCTATTGAGTAATAGCTAATACCATACTATTACTGATAAAGATCTTGAAATGCTCTCACATTTGCCATAACTTTTGTGTTACATATATTTTTTATGTTTGAGAAAAAAGCAAAAGAAATTAGTTTTTTTTGTAGGAAATGCTAAGCCTTCTCACTGATAGCCCAATATATGACCCAAATTCATGTAATCATTAATATATACAGGGTTTCAATGGAACCGTTAGACCAATACAGGTATTGAACATAAACTTCAATGAAAAGGTATGAACAGTGGAACGGGAACTCCAATTCCGCCGTTTGTTTTGTGATAATAAAGCCTTTAAGACATAAAATAGTAATTTATTGGAATATTTTTATAGAAATTTTTATTATAATAAGTGAATCGTTGCTAAGATTCCGTTTCATAAAAGTTAACTTTTTTAAGTGCTTTCAATACATTGATAATTATATTGTATGGGAAATGACGGCAACAAAACTGAAAATATTTGTTGCCATAAATTGTTTGTTTGTCACCAAATGTATGGCACATATTTCAGTGACCATTCCTGTGACATATGAGATGTCTGTCTATTGTTGCAAAAAAATATCTTTAATATATAATAAGAAAGTTGACAATACCTACAATAGTTACCAATACCTGACACACACAATACATACCCTTTGGTCAAACAATGTGCACAAAGCAACTGACCCCTGGTTTTTCTACATTATATACCAGTTATTATTGTTTGCAAGTTTTACCAAAAACTATCGCCTGTTTTGCGTTAATATCAGAAAACAGTATTAAGCAGTAAAGTAGTGGTTGTTTAGCCTGTGGTAGGATAACGATTGTTAGCACTGGGAGCCAGATGTGCGCTCAACATATCATTGGATAGGTAGGTAGTCTGTAAGCTCTGTGCTATGCCCTTAAGCTAATGCTTTGGTAAAAACTAGTAAAAGGTTGGTTTGCATCATAAATGTGTGAATTAAGTCTAGAAATGCATTGGGACTTCAATTTCATTGTTAGCCACAAGAAAACAGATGCAAAACACCATTAACTAGAAAAAAGCATTTCAGGTCACAGTTATTATTATTATAGTTATTTCAATTAAACTTTCAATTCAATCAACTATTTCAGAAACAATTAAACTTTATTTAAAAAATTATTTAAAAACTTACAAATAAATTACAAACAAAACTATTCAATAATAATGAATAGATATATGAAGTTGTGGTGACGGTATGATCATTGCCTAACAGGCCGGGACGAGTGCAATATTAAGTAGCATTGATAGCCAATATCGTCACCAATCCAGGCCTGTCTGGTAGATGAACGGTAACCACAACTCAAGTCTTGTATTTGGTCTCAAAGAGTCACTAACTGTATTGAAAAACCATTGAATCACACGTTTTTGAGGCAACAATAAGTTGTGTCACAGTTTTGTTAATAAATGTGTGAAAAAGGATTTACTAAAACTTGGATTTCAAACTGATTTTCAGTCAGTAAACCAGTTATAGTAGACATGCGCTCACAGCCCGACTTGAAATCATATATTTCACATTTTTTCACATTTATATTACACTTTTTCAGTAGAAAAACTAAACTAAAAAATCATTAATTATAGTCTAAATTGCTATATTCAACAAAAGTTAACAATACATAACAATTATTAAATACAGTATATTGTATATAATACTTACTGTTGCAAAACGTCTAAATGAACGCCAATATTATTTGAAAAGTTTCATAAAATATTATAACAATTATATTTCAATTATATTAAAAAATTATAGTTTACTTATCTTTTATTCTATGTAAGCAATTGTATACTAAATAGTATTACAAATTGAGTAGTAATACAATTGAATAGTTTTTTTTCAATACTTGATTCTCAATTAATACGGTATCTATTATATTGAAAATTAGATATTTTTCAACAACTTTTCATTGTATAAGATATTAAAAGAAAAGCAAATAAATAAATAATTTTTACATATATTTTAACTAATATTTATATTAATAATAACTTAATAAATGATAAAACTCTGAAACACAAAAATAAGTAAAACTTTAAGAAATGGTGTTTCCTATGATTGGTATGGTTTGGCGCGTTTGCCATCACTTCTGAAATAACAATGAGAGTCAAGAGTGAAGTGAGAGAGAAGTCTTATTCTGGAGTTGTAGTGAAGGCAGAAAAGGTCTCAATAGCTTCAGGCCATAGGCTATACCTATCCAATCAAATGCTTTGCTTACATCTGGCTCTTGTGGCTGACTAACTACCGGACCCATCGCTGTACATAACATACAATTGGATGCATGACTACCATAGAGGGAGAGTGAGAGAGGCTCTGCCAGAGGGACACCAATGAAGGGTCACTTTGGCGCCAAAATAGCTATTGCAAGGGGTATTCAATGTACCAATGCTTACCATTGATACTATTGAAGACTTTTCAATTCATGTATTATTGACACAAAAGACATATTGATATGCTGTCACATTGAAAGGACAGTTGGCTTGAAAAAGGATGAGAGAGTGAGTAAGTGAATGCAAGAGAGAGAGAGAGAGAGAGAGAGAGAGAGAGAATTTGCAGGACATTGAAAGGACACACATTATATATAGAGTAGAGTAGATGACCAAAGAGTCCAAGAGTTGGCAACAATTGAGTGAATGTATGGCTGATTCAATGCTTTAATTGAATGAATGCCTTCAAGTAGTGACAATAAGAAGTAGGAGGAGTTGGATCTGCATCTGAACATCTGTCGACTGACAAACACTTTTGTCTAAATTGTTATATCTCATACCTGATCCCCATTTCCTGCACCCATTTCCCCATTTCCTGAACCGAACCGACAATTTTATGTGTGGAGAGATGTTATGTTAAATACCTGTATATAGTGTTTATCATATATACTGTATAAAGCATACCTGTATATGCAGTGAACGTACAGCTAATGTGAACTGAATTGTATTGAATGCGATCAACAGTTTTAAAGTGAACCAAACATTTGGGTCACATTTGGTCTCAAATATTCAATAAACGCTTTGCATATAATATACACTCAATATAACCGTGCATTCAAATGACTTACCATCTCATGCAATGTCTGTCTTTTGTAACCATTATAACCATTAATTTTTATAATTAACACTAAAAAAGTCATTTAAATTACTCAATCGTTTATTTTTCTCAACTTTTTTTTGGACTAACTTTTCTGTACAATAGAGAAATAAAATAGATTTAATATAATTGTTTGTTTGTCATATGTTGAGACAAACATAATACATGACATTAATTGGCTTACCTATAGATATGACTTATGAGAGATCAGTTGTCATCAATTGAAGATAACTTCATCAACAATGATATTCTTGAGACAAAAGTTGGTTCAAATAAAAGATGTCAGCACTTCTTGATAATTAATTTTTCAATTTAAAGGAAATATTAATCATTTATTTTTTCAGTGATTGCTATCAAAAAACAAGTTTTACAAAACTCATCCATTGATTGGAGAGATAGTATACTGTAGTTATAACTTATAAATTGAGATAATTGACTATAACTCAGTAATATATATAGAGTTTAACTTATTATTTATTATCAATAATTACTAAATAATGTGATATTTTATATTATAATTTCATTGAAACACATGTTTGTCTAATAAATTTCGAAATGTTTTTCAATGGTTTTAAATGCAAAGTCTTGCGGACCACTCGTCAGTTGAAACGATTCTATACTACAGATAAATATCCAGTGATTGGATCGGAAGTCAACCGACAGACAAATGAATTCAAAGTAAATGACAATAAAAAACTTAAAATAAAGTTAATATTTAATGTTTACTGACATCTGAAATAAAACATCTGCCGATGGGTTTAACGTTTGAACTGATTTTTCAATAAATTTTGCAATTTTTAGACTAATTATGAATCGATGCAAACATTAGTCAATAACTTGAAAGCATTGGTACGCAATGTCAGTGAAGGAGGAGATGAAAAATCACGGTTAAGACACACTTCTAAAGGAAAGCTATTAGTTAGACAACGGATTAATGAACTTTTGGATCCATTTTCGCCATTTCTCGAGTTGGCCCCATTAGCCGCATATAATTGTTATGACAATGAAGTGGTCAATAGTGCGGGCATTGTTACCGGTATTGGCCGTGTTAGTGGACAGGAATGCATGATTGTGGCCAATGACGCCACGGTTAAGGCCGGAACATATTATCCTCTAACTGTTAAAAAGCATTTAAGGGCTCAAGAGATCGCTCAACAGAATCGGTTGCCGACCATATATTTGGTGGACTCCGGCGGTGCAAATCTTCCACATCAGGCCGATGTATTTCCCGACGTTAACCATTTCGGCCGTATATTCTATAACGAGGCAATTATGTCATCGCAAGGAATACCGCAAATTGCTGTAGTGATGGGCAGCTGTACGGCTGGTGGCGCATACTTACCTGCCATGGCTGATGAAAATGTTATCGTTAAACGACAAGGAACCATATTCTTAGGCGGACCTCCTCTTGTAAAGGCAGCTACAGGTGAGGACGTGTCCGCTGAAGCTTTAGGTGGAGCAGACATGCATTGCAGGTGAAGACATGTCATTAACTTCTTAATATATAATGCTTTTATTGTTGTCTAACGTTAATTTAATTCAAAAATAATTACCTGTTTATCAATGAAAATATCAAATGACTACTAATCTTTCCTTTTGAAAAAACTTGAATTAAACTAAATTTAACTTAAAGTCATTTGAAACACATTTATAATATCTTAGAATAGACTTTATATACAAAATTTATTTCTTTTATATCCAATTCACTTAAAAAACACTTATTATGTATTAACAGATTTACATATTTAATTGTTGGCAATTGAGACAAACATAAAATTAACTCAAAAATTTAATATAATTTAAAGTCTCTCTCATTTTTAACCACAAAACACATAAATATTACATTTTATACTAAATTTCAATAAAACTTCTCTACAGTACTTCAGGTGTAACGGACTATTACGCGCATAACGATAGACATGCGCTTCAAATCACTAGAAATATTGTGGCAAATCTTAATCGCCGTAAGAAAGTGGAACTAAATATAAGCGACGAAGTGGTCGAACCCAAGTTTGCGGCCACCGATATATATGGTATCGTTGGAACAGATCTTAAGAAGTTGTTTGAAGTACGAGAAGTAATCTCACGAATTGTCGACGGAAGTCGTTTCGATGAATTTAAAGCACAATATGGACCAACACTTGTCACGGGATTTGCCCGACTTTTCGGTTATCCCATCGGTATTGTAGCTAACAATGGAGTCTTATTTTCCGAGTCGGCCCTAAAAGGAGCTCATTTCATACAACTTTGTTGTCAACGAAAGATTCCGTTAGTATTTCTTCAAAATATCACCGGATTTATGATTGGAAAAGATGCTGAAAATGGAGGAATAGCCAAACACGGCGCTAAAATGGTAACCGCCGTGACCTGTGCTCAGGTGCCCAAACTTACTGTAGTTATAGGCGGTTCTTATGGTGCGGGAAACTATGGTATGTGTGGTAGGGCTTACTCACCAAGATTTCTATATATGTGGCCAAACGCTAGAATCTCTGTCATGGGTGGAGAACAGGCGGCCAATGTTTTGGCGACAGTTAATCAAGAGATTCAACAAAGAGAGGGAAAGATATTAAGTGACGACCAAATTAAGGCCATCCGAGACCCTATTTTAGACAAATTTGAGAGAGAAGGCAATCCTTACTATTCAAGTGCTCGCATTTGGGACGACGGCATCATAGACCCGGTCGACACCCGACATGTGCTCGGCCTTAGTCTCAGCGCTGCACTCAACGCCCAAATTCCCGAAACAAAGTTCGGTGTCTTCCGGATGTGATGTCAATCACTGATTATTATTATTTGTTATGTTTTTTATTATTAAATAAATCTATTTTATACACTAAATATAATTAAAACATTATTACAAACAAAACTATAAAACAATTAATTTAAATGATTATGTCTTGACTTGTTGTGTGTCATCCAAGTCGACGATCTCATCCAAAAACTTTTCCTGTTTGACGGCAAACATCGAGTATAGGTCTGACAAAGACAGACAAAACAATAACAAATGAAATATATATTATAATTGTAATGACAATCAAAATGACATACAAACTGATCCGACAAATGATGTCAATATAAGACCCAATAATTTGTTTGATTTGTTAGTCTTAACTAATTTGCTGACTCTCTCTTTGTTTATCTGTTCCGCTCGTCTCTTGAATCCGGTGTACATCTCATCAATCTTTGGGTCGTCTTTACCACTCATTGTCACCGAAAAAATCAGTCAATAATTAGTGACAAAAAAATCCAAAGAATCGTTTGATTATTGATATAATAAATCATAACATAATAACCATAACATCAAACATATGTCACGTGTTTTCTCAGGTTTTGTTTAAACTTAAAATGTTTTTATAAATCTCTGACTCACTGTTTGGGGAATATTCTTAACATTGCATTCATATTTGAAATCAAATAATTTACTCTATTATACAGTATTATAGGGAATCCCTATTAGGGATCTATTGTATAGTACAGTACAATACTATTCACATAACATTTATATTCAAATTCAAACCAAATATAATGGAAACTAAACACAAAATATCTAAAATTATATGAAAAATCCCCAAATATTCTGATTCTTGTTTGAGATATAATAATGTAATGTAATATAAAATTCATTGAATTACAAGAATTTTATTTTGAAACTAACGTTGAGTTGTATTAACACAACATTAATAGTATAAGTGTTTGGATTAAACTGTTGTGACGATTGTTGTGTATATAATAACTATTTATTTAATTATTTTCAATTTATTAATCTAATTGAAATGTCAATTGAAATAATATACCGGTATTTTTATAAATAATAAACATAATTAATATATTAATTATACAATATATGGTTGTAATTGAATGTTTATAATGGCATCAATTGTACGTTTAATTAATATTTATTTAATTAAAAAATTACAAATCATTCTTATGCTAATGTCTTTTAACTAAGAGATAAGTGATTAATAAAAATATTTGTTAAATGATTTGCTTATAATTGACTCGACATTGACATCTATGCTAAATACATTTAACAGTTAAATTTAATAGTTATATAATAAATATAATTATAATAATTAAATATATGATTACAAAAAGTAAAGTAAAGATTTTGCATTAATAAACCAGTTTATCATTAATATTGAATTTGATCTCAAATACTGTATTATATTATATAATATTATTCTCAGAAAAACACAAGTCATTTATACTGTATTTCAAATATTTTAGATTAAATATTATTATAAAAGTTGTCATTCATTTCAATGTAATTACCATTTGGACAGTATTTTAAATAGCATTAATTTATAATTAAATTATTATCTTTTCAAAAAATTAATAATATTTTAATTTATATTTTTATTACAGAAATATCATTTTTATCAACATTTGTGTTAAATCAAGTCACTCATCGATACATTTATCCAATAAATTTGATTGAAAATTACTAATATTTCAATTAACAAATGCTTATCAAAGTCTAAAGTTTTAAACTGATAATTAGTTTCTAAACAGTTATATATATTGTTGTTTTAGTGATAATGTTTTACATATTCATCGTTATTATTAATTGATAAGATATGTGAAAAAGAGTGTTAACATTTATTGTATATAAATAATAAAAACTTTAGTAAAATTTTTACAGTAATCTGTGACTGATTTGTAATTTTTGGGAACATTTTGGCCACTTTTTCAAATCAAACAAATTTTAATTATAACAAATAAATTAATGGATAAATGCGATTCTGTCCACAAATTAGATGTTTTTCTCAGTCATTCCAATCTTGAGGATGGAGTCGTTGAAGTAATTAAATTTGTAAGAAATGAATGGTCAGAAAACAAGATTAAGCTAAAGGTATTTACTGATGGCATAACTAATCGATTAATTGGTGCCTATTTGGAGGACAAACCCAATGATATGATTTTAATCCGAGTTTACGGTGAAAAAACTGAGCTCTTCATCGATAGAAAACAAGAGGTGCTAAACATGAGAACAATGTATAAATCGGGTCTTATTCCTCCAGTTTATTGTACTTTTAATAATGGTATTTGTTATGGATATTCACCGGGAGTTGTATTGGACGAGAATATGGTTAGAGATACACATATTTCTAAACTAATCTCCGAAATGATGGCCAGAATGCATACAATTAAGCCACAGATGAATCGTTTGTGTAATCAGATGAATGATTGCACTCCAGAACCGGTTCCATCACTATTCAAAGGACTCCGAAAATTTTTGGACTTAATTCCCTGTGCTTTAAAAGATCCACAACAAGACAAACGGTATAAAAGTTTTTCAGCAAAACTCTACTAAATATAATTATATTAATATTTTTAAACTTATAGTTATAAAAAGTTTTTGCCAAACAAAGAGAATCTCATATCAGAAGTGAATTCACTTGAGTTGACATTAAAGAAGTTGTTGTCTCCGGTGGTCTTTTGTCACAACGATCTCTTGTTGAAGAATATTGTGTTTAACGCCGACAAGAACAATGTTACGTTTATAGACTTCGAGTACGGAGATTATAACTACCAGGCCTTTGATATAGCCAACCATTTTTGTGAGTTTGCTGGTGTGGACACATTCAATCCTTGTCTTTATCCAAATAAAGATTTTCAAAAACCATGGCTTCGACACTATTTAAAAGCCTGGTTTTCTCTCAAAGATCGTTCATTATCGGCCAATGCCATAGAAATGCCATCCATTGATATTGAAGTGGAGAAACTTTATAATCAAGTAAACCAGTTTGCAATGGCTGCCCATCTGGTTTGGGGTCTCTGGGCTATAGTCCAGTCCGAGCACTCGACTATTAACTTTGATTTTCTCGGTTATGGTATACAACGGCTTCGGGAGTACTATAAAATTAAGGATAAGTTTGTCCAAAACGGAGAAATCTATCACTGATTAAAGTAATTATCACAACTTTCTAGTCGTTGGCTTTTAAATACAATTTATATATATATTTATATTTAATTTCCAATCATTTAATTCCAAATTTTACTATATTTGTGTTCATTTTAATGTTTACTAAAATTTTTTTATGTTATCTTATAAAATGATTTTAATTAGCGATATATAATATATATGTATAAAGTATAAAATTTTATCAAAAGTTATGTATATTTTTATTTAATAAAATAATTTTTATTGTCAAAAATTAATGGAAATTATAACTAAATTTAATGATTTAACAATCATTCAAATCAAGTGATGTCCATTCCCTCCAATTGATACACTTTTTGTTTGGTCTGATCCGCCACCAAAACCATGACTTCAGGCATTAATAAATCTTTCGGATGATATCCTAATTGAGATGATATATCGTAGGCATATATAACAGTGGTATCGTTAAGCATAACCTTATGTTTAGCTAAACCAATAATACAGTTACGAAGTCTAGCGATCTTTTCTCTGTCTTCAAGTGAGACATCAGTATAATCAATGATATGACCACCAGATTCATCAATAATCTTTGATATCCACACAAAGCCATTGTTGCCTAATATAACACTGACACCAATCGGTAGTTTATGGAAGTGGTTCTTACGTCTCTCTATTAATGAAGGCGACACCCGAACCATCACTCCCTGACCTAACTTTCCATACTTTAAACTTCTTGTATGAAGTCCAAGAGCTCCGTCTTCAAAGATATTCTGGACTTCGGCCGATATAATGTCGCCCTCTTTCAGATAGTTTCTCATTGCCATCTCGTCCTCTTCGGTCTTACGTCTGAGTTCACCGCCGGGAAGATTAACACCCGATAACTGTAAGACGGAATCGAGTCGTGAGTTAGTCTCCACTTTCCATCTTTTGTGTTGCACTTCAATAATTCGACCGACAATGACATCGCCGATCTCACCGTTATATCGGGTCCTCAATGGACGGACACTAATCAGTCTATTGATTGGCTCAACGATGCCGGCGATCGATGCGACCAACTGTTTATCGGTACTGAGATACGTGCCGTGACCTCGCATGAAGGTGTGGTCATCGGTAATGTTATCACCCGGCAAAACATATTTGACTTTTTCGGTCGACTCGTAGTGCGGGTGTTGGTCACTGTCCTCAAGATATTTACGGTTTTCGGATATCACACGAATCACAACATTAGACATCACTATTGCATTCAATTCAATGTTTTTACAAATATTTATATATAAACTAAAATCAAATAATAATTCAAAACTAATTTCACACTATTTTTACAGTAATTTATTATTCAATAACATCTAACAAATAAACTCAACAATAGCCTAACATTTGGTCCTTTTTTATTATTAAAAATTATCATCTTTTATATAATAAACTTATATTTATAAAAGCATTACATATTCTATTAAATTTAATACTATAAATGATTTTAAAAATTTTTGCGCCAAATTTAAATTACATTAATAATAACTATTAATTATTATTTATTTATTATTAAAATATAACACTATTTAATAAAATAACAATATATAAATTGAATATACAATTTCTTATAAAACAAATTATCAAATTTATAATATATTTCATTTTGTATGCAATAATTATAGTTATTATTTATTGCTAATAAATTAAGAAAAATCTCTCAAATGATAATTCAAATGATTAGTTTAATAATAAAATTTACAAATAATAAAAACATTGTAATTGTTATCAAAATTGCTGCCATTAAAGCAATCCTAAGTTTCCAGTGTTTATATGATGACCGCAACTCTTTGACCACTTGATCCACTTGTTTTCGAGTGTAATCCAAATCAACACTATTATCGATAACAATGTCTGCCAAACGACACTTCTCGTCCAAAGACATTTGAGCATCAATTCTTGATATGCATTCATCTTCAGTATAATTATTTCGTAGTTTCAATCTTTGGATCTGTTGATTGCGATTACATTTAACGACAATTGAATGACCCAAATAACGAACCATTTTTCCACTTTCAAAGAGTAACGGAAGATCTAAGACAACAAATTGTTTTAACATAAAAAGATAAAACAATAATTGTTTGAATATTTGTTTGTAAATCTCTGGATGTATTAAACTGTTAACCAATTTTCTGTTATTTTGGTCATTAAATATAATGTCCGCTAACTTCTTGCGGTCTAATTCTCCGTTTTCATGAAGAATATCATTACCAAAGTGTTTGCAAAGCAATTTCAAGGCCTTCATTCCCGGTCTGACCACTTGTCGGGCAATCAAATCTCCGTCAATAATATCGATACCCTTTTCTGACAACATGTTAGAAACGGTCGACTTTCCCGAACCGATACCTCCCGTGAGACCAACGATAAACATGTTTGTATACAAAATTACGGTTCAGACGGACAAAAACCAAACGTATATTTAGTGATTGTTTTGTATCAATATTTCGGTGATTTACCGGACAATTAGTGTTGGTATGGATTCACGGGTTTTAGCCGACAATCAAACAAAACATTTATTGGTTTTGTTGTCAAAAATAAGTCAATGAAAGGCACGTAATGTCTGTACAAACCCTCGATTGTCGGCAACACTACTGTAATGAGTGTTTGACTTATGTTTTGACAAAACAATTGGCTTTTGATTTAACAATATATTACCGATAATTGCATTGAAAGTCGACCCGAATTCTGACCGCAAAATGAGTGGCGAAACGGTCGGTATTATATATCCGCCGCCAGAGCTAAGGAGTATCCTTTTCAATGATATTTATTATAAATATTTTGTAAGTATTTCTTTGCCATTATTTTCCTGAACCAACACTTGTTTATAGATATCGTCGATAAAACGGCCAGTTTTGTTGCCCGAAATGGACCCGAATTTGAGTCCCGAATCCAACAGAACGAACAAAATAATCCGAAATTTAATTTCTTAAAACCTGGCGATCCGTATAACGCTTACTATCAGCACAAATGCAAAGAATTTCGCGAAGGAGGCAAATCGGGATCCGATATCGTGGCCGCGCCCACCGGTCCATACAACACAACTACCACATCGACGGCTGCCATCAAACAATCAACTCAACAGACAACTGTTCCCAAAACAGCCAAACAATTGGAACTATTAATGGATACACCGATCATTCCTCGAGAACCTCCGCCAGACTTCGAGTTTATGGAAGACCCGCCTTCTATATCGGCTTTGGATTTAGACATTGTTAAGCTGACGGCACAATTTGTGGCCATTCACGGGCGATCATTTTTGACAAATTTGATGAACAGAGAGCAACGTAACTATCAGTTTGATTTTCTACGGCCACAACACGGACTCTTCAGTTACTTTACTCAACTCATTGAACAATACGCTAAAATACACGCGCCGTCTAAGAATGTAGTGGACATTTTGTCCAAAGAGTTGACAAATTCAAAGATAATCTTAGATAAAGTCAGGTATAGAGTCGAGTGGACTAAAGTACAAGAGGCGGAAAAACGACGCGAAGAAGAAGAAGCAGAGAAGGAACGCATACAATACGCTCAAATCGATTGGCATGACTTTGTCATTGTTGAGAATGTCGACTATCAACCCCACGAACAGGGATTGTTTCCACCACCGACTACACCAGAGAGAGTGGGCTCAAGAATTCTATTACAACAAAGAATTGAAGAACAAGGGGTACCCTTTGATTTGATTGATTGAATTTTTGTTATTTTTATTCTCATTTATTTACAGCAAGAAGCCGTTGAAATGGATGTCGATTCTGATGAAGAAAATAACGACAACAAAGAGGAACCAAATGCTAACAAAGACAAAGAGTCGATGCCTCCGCCACCTTTGCCACCACTTCCACCTCAATTGGATAATGTACTCATTCGTAAAGATTATAATCCGAAGCAGACTAAACCACAATTAACACAAAACCCGACTCCAAGTCGGACTTCAGATTCATTTGTTATCTCTCCGATAACGGGTGAGAAAATTCCTGCCGATAAACTTCAAGAACATATGCGCTTTGGATTACTTGATCCGCGTTGGGTCGAACAGAGAGACCGATCCATCCAAGAAAAGATGTCTCAAGAAGAAGTCTATGCCTATGGCTCAGCAATTGAATCCAGTCTTAAACAATTGGCTGAAAGGCGTACTGATATTTTTGGTTCGGGCGATGAGGAGACAGTTATCGGTAAAAAGATTGGTGAAGAGGAACATAAAAAATCAGATAAAGGGCCGATTGTATGGGATGGACATACCGCATCTGTTGAAGCGGCTACGCGTGCGGCCAGAGCTAACATCACTATTGAAGAACAGATCCAACAAATTCACAAAATTAAAGGTTTATTACCGGAAGACGATAAGGACAAAATAGGACCCGCACTTCCTTCTACATCAAACTCAGCCATAATATCCGCTCCTCCTGTGGCTTCTAATCCTATGATATCAGCTCCGCCGCGAACACAGCTTATATCACAACCTCCTGTTTCAATAGTTACGACTTCAATAAATGTTGCGCAATCTTTGATGCCTCCACCACAGCCAATGCAAGCGATGCAATCAATGGTTCCACAACATCCACAAATGTTGTCACAGATGATGTTAGGCGGTCAGCCAACTCCTCAACATTATATGATGGCTCCACATGGTCTTCACATGCCACACATGGGCTTATATGGTATGCCAATGGGACCGCCTCCCGACATGAATATGACACCACTAGGCGTTCCACCTCCTAATATGTCGATGCAATTTACCAGTGAGGAAGAGCCGAGCTCTAAGAAACAAAGAACTGAAGACAATTTGATTCCCGAAGAAGAATTTGTAGCTAATAATGGACCAAATGTTACCATTAAGATACAGGTCCCACAATCTAGCGAAAAACCCGAGTGGAACTTAACGGGACAGTTACTAACATTTACTTTGCCAATGACTGACACTTTATCGGTGGTAAAGAGCAAAATACATGAGTCGACAAATATGCCGCCAGCGAAACAAAAACTTCAATACGAGGGTACTTTTGTTAAGGACTCCAACTCATTGGCCTATTATAATATACCTAACGGTGCATCTATTGTACTCGGCCTTAAAGAAAGAGGCGGTCGTAAAAAGTAGACTGGTTTTAATCATAATATATTTAAACCATTTATTATATCATATTATGTTATCTCCAAATCATTGTTTAATTAATTTTTAGATCTTTTGTCAAATACTACAATAAATTGTAATTTGTGGCAAATTTCTAATTGTAATAAAACGTCAATTAAAACATTAAATCATTTTATTTTTTATTTTCTAATAATATATTTTAGGCAAACTTTGACTCAAAACATCTCAACTAAATCTAAAAGTAAATGAATTACAGTTACGATAATAATAATAATCATTTACAGTACTAATCAATAGATAACATTTGGTAATCTTAAGTAAATCTCAATGCTTTTTGTGATTGTCGGGCAACTCTTCCCAACCGTCGGGTAATGGATTAACCATTGGATTATGAAAGAGTGATCGTTGGCCATCACCCCACGGGAATGGCTTCGTACGGATACGCATATACTCGTATTGCTTGAACTCTGGCCGCTCGAAGTGCTCGTGATGTTCCTTCTCAACCAAATACGTGTTCAGACCCGACAGTCCGATCGCTGGTATGCAGACAAAGATGAACAGCTTTTTCCACAAATCGGGGTTCGGTTCGTGTTTGGCGTGACTGCTGGCAGTCGACAGATAACGATATGCCGATCGCAACAACAGCTGATGAGCCACAGTCGGCACACGAGACGGCAGTTTCGACAATACCATTGCTCCTAAATATCATCGCAAATATCATTCAAGTCATTTGCAAACAATATCTTACCTTTGGATCAAATAGAGAGTCAAATCAAATGATAATTTAATAATTGATTTATTGTTGTTTTGTTTTGTTTAGCTCTTGAAGTCAACCATTACTTCAATGACAACACTAATCATTGATTGTTTGTTTCCATAGAGATCTTAGTCGACATCAGTCTTAACATAAGTACATAAGCCTTATATCTGACTTTTTCATAACATTTGGTACTTTTTAAAATTAGAAAATGTGTTGAGTTATAGTATATAAAGAATACAAATTGATTGAAGCAAACAGTATTGAAAGTATTAGGCTATATATGGATAGAGTTAAGACATTTTGTGTTGCAATTGATGTAATGATAATTAAATGCCGATTCAACACAATTTGCGGTCAATTATTATAAGACACGACACGTGTTTCACAACAATCAATAGCTGGCATACGTTTAGGTGATAGTCATAGATATCTTCACACAAAGTATTTTAATGTCCGATACAATTACAGAACCGTTGGTTAAACACAAGATTAATGCCAAAAACATGACAATCAATACACAACAAACCAATTCAGTGGACAAACGACTCATTATCTATGCGTTGGGAATATTCGTCACTTACTTCTACTTTGGTATTCTTCAGGAGAAGATGTAAGCCATTAATATGATTGTCAATTGATTAGTTGTTGTCTAATCTGTTTGTCCCTTATTTTGTAATTGATATGACAGTACACGAAGCAAATATGGTGACAAAAAGGAGATCTTCAAATGTACAGTAAGTCTGGTATTCATCCAATGTGTGGTTAACGCTATATTCGCCAAAATAAGTGAGTATCGCATGGAATGATGTCATCAATTAAATATCATTACTTATTGGATCCAATTGTTACTTACCATCCGATGACATGTCAGTGTTGATGACATTTATGAAACAAGGAAAGGACTCGACAAGCAAATGGTATTACTTTTTAAGCTCTTCATCATATTTGGTAGCAATGGTCTCATCCAATATGGCTCTTCAACACGTGAATTATCCGACACAAGTAGTCGGCAAGTCATGCAAACCCATTCCTGTTATGATATTGGGTGTACTTATTGGTCGAAAACGATATCCGCTTCTAAAGTATTTATTTGTTTTAATGATTGTCATCGGTGTCGGACTTTTCATATATAAAGATCAAACCAAAGTTACCGGTAGTGTATCGGCCACTGCTTTGGGCATCGGAGAGATATTGCTTGTAAATATTATAACAATAGATGTGTTTTAAACAAAATATCACTTATCGTAAGATTTGAATGTTTTTTTTAAAGATATTGTCACTATCTATGGATGGAGTGACCGGAGCTTTTCAGGATCGTATGAAAAGCGAGTATAAGACTCAATCAGGACATATGATGTTACAAATGAATCTGTGGTCAACTCTTTTATTAGCAATAATTCTTATAATAACCGGTGAAATCTGGCTCTTCATTGAATTTGTCGGACGGTATCCGTTTGTTATTAACAATATAATCTCATTTTCAGTTCTTAGCGCTATTGGACAGGTATGTGATTGTTATTTAAATAATACATTTCTACAATTATTTAATATATAAATGAATTTTATAGATGTTTATCTTCCTAACTGTGGCCAACTTCGGGCCGCTCTCGTGCTCTATCATTACAACTACTCGTAAATTCTTTACAGTTTTGGGTTCAGTCCTACTATTTGGTAACTCTCTGTCCAACAGACAATGGTTGGGTACAACTTTAGTTTTCATAGGCTTAGCATTGGACAGCTTTTATGGCAAAAGCGGTGCTTCAAAGCCTAAAATTGTTAAATGATAGTAAAATTTATAGTTTAACAATTTAATTTAAAATTATATTTATTATTAATTTATTTTTATTATTAAATTTAATATAATTATATAAAAATAATTAATCGTTTTATTTTGTAAACCGGTATCAAAAGTAATCTCAAAAATTGTCAAAATATAATGATTTGTTAAACATTTAATGTATGGTTGGCTTTCTTTGCGATTTCGTTTTCTTGTTTACGATATCTTTGAGCTAATGGTGTGTAAACATTGTAGGCATCCAGTGATGGATTAGCTGCCACTAAACCTGAAATGGTTTCTTCAATCATTTCTTCAAATGTCATTTCATTTTTAATGAGTGCTAAAATGAAAAAATAATTAGTAAATCAATTGTTCAACTCTTTTGGTTACTTTGTATTTACAGTATTTTGCGAGATATGCTGCGCCTAAAGCTGCAGAGTTGGGCTGTTCTTTCAGGACGACCGGTGCGTTGAACACATCAGACAACGCCTGAATCATAGCTGGATTCGCTGATGCGCCTCCTGTGGCCAATACACGAGTATTGGGACCAATATTGTATCCAAGATTTTCGGCGTGAACTCGAAGCCGAATGAATTGTCCTTCAATACAAGCTCTCACTTCAACCTCTTTGGAGAATCTCTGAACTTCAGAATCAAATTTATTATAACGAAAGTCACCGGAAATTACGGGATATATTTCCTTAAAATCAAAATAAAATCCAATATTTCCAAAGTTTCCTCTGGGAGTGGATTCAAGTAATTCATTAAATAGACTCCAATCTCCTTCAGAACAGTCATTTCTAATCCTTTCCCGAGTTCGCGAACCATTCTTGAAGCATATCAGTGCCATATATGAATTATCATCCAATGGATTGCACAGAACATGACCATCGAGAGCTGGTATCGGGTTTGTGAGCCTCAAAAATACAGTATCACTGGTTCCAAGACTGACAGCGACATCATCTTTACGTAAACCCATTCCTATTAGTGACGCGGGATTATCACCGGTGAATGAAACTATTTTACAGTCAACATTAAACCCATATCTGTCCACAAAATATTGAGATATATTTCCGATAACACTGGGCGTCGGAATTAGCGTTTCTCCTAATTTTGTTCGAAGATCTGGTGCACAATAATCAAGACATTGTTGCGACCAGTCATGTGTCGTGATGTCCAATAAGTTCATACCCGAACCATCACTATAATCAATGGGTGCGTAGTCTCCAGCAAAAAGTGAGGCACAAAAATTGCTTACAAGACATATTCGCTCCGTTTGTCCGTACATTTCCGGTTTGGTTTGATATATCCGTGCGATTTGACTACCAGTAAAACGTTCATAAGCTCGGGAACCGGTAATATCGGCCAATTGCTGTGCGCCGCCAACCCATTGTTCCAATTCTCTGCACTGTTTGGTAGTACTTGAGTCCATCCAAACGGGTGAATCACGACATGAGAAGCATTGAGACAATTGGTTGTGTAAAAAGTTATCTGCCTTTAGATTTTTCAAAGTATTGATGGCTCCCTTCTTCCAGTAGACACTTCCGTGTTGTTGAGCCGATCCAGATATGGCTACAATCATATTGTAATCAATGCCATTGATCTTAAGTCTCTCTAATATCAAATCAAACGCCTTAATCCACATAACAGTCGGTGCGGTCACTGTCTGTTGGTCTGCATTTTGGTTGACTCCGCCGTGAGTTCTGATTTGAAACAATCAAAAACTTTTATTTGTAAATATATTTAAAGGTTAAGTCATTAATTAAAGTGAAACCAAAATACAGAAATTGTCTGAAAAAAAGTTTTTACAATTTTTTAAAATGACAAATGAATTAACAAATACCTGAATTCGGGTAAATCGGTGTCAAAGTGGACACAAGACTCGTGGATCACTTGCAAACTGCCATTTATTGCTATAGCCTTCAGCTATGAATAAAACACCGCAAATAAGTGATATTTTGATGATATTATTGGCCACCAATTGATGGCAATACCTGTTGAGTGCTTAAATCAAAGCCAAGATAAGTGGCATTTGACTCGTCGTTGGCCAACATCTCGCAAAACAATTGGGTTTCAAAACTTAAATTTTCTTTAAAAAAAAAATCAGAAAAATCTATTTAAAAAAAGTTAAGTAAAATATTTAAAGAAACTAAGTTTGTGTGCCATTTGAAGGTTATGTGAAATCACTATTTTAGTGATCGATAACAACGAGAAAAATCATAAAATGATTGATTAAATATTTATTATATTTAACATAAACTAATCAATTGATGCCATAGATTGAGTGCCAAATAGACATCAAGTTTGAGCATAAAATTAAATAACTCAACAAAAAACACATCAAATAATTAGTGTAATGTCTTAGTCGGACAACAGGTGTCTATATTTGAACATAACTTTTGTTATTTTTGCTAATATTTTATTACCTGTATATAAAAATATATATTAGTTTAATTCAATATACATGTGTATTATTATACTGTTTTACAATAAAAAATAAAATCAGACGGATATAGTTGTATATATATAGTACTGATATAATATTTTGAGATCGTATTGAATGACTGTTTAAAAACAGTAATAATTAATTTTGGGTTAAGGCTTATTGAATGTTTATAATATTAATGTTTTATTATCAAATAAAATAGCATAATCAATTTTATATATAATATTTCATTAGTTTTTTAATTATCAAATTAATTTTGATATATAAATATATAGACATTTATCTTTAACACCATTATCTTTTTTTACATTCAATTTAAATTAAAAATTATGATTAAAACTAAATATTTAGAAAGATATTTACAATTTTGGAAAATGATGTCTATAATGTGCTAATACTCCTGGGTCATATAAATTATAATAAAAATTTTAAATGTATATATATATATATATATTTATATATACAGTATCAATTTAAACTAAAACTAATTATATATATTTAAACTATTGATATTAATAAATAACTATAACATAAAAATAATGCATTTTTAGTCATTTGAAATTAAAGATTTATAATTGGCATTAAAAAAAATGTTAACAATAAATTAATTAAATCAAGACAATAGATTTTGAAAACAACACTTTAAAATTACTTTAAATTAGTAAAAATATGTTTTTTATCATTAGTTTTATATTTTTAAATTATTACTTCAGATATTAAAAATTAATTAATATTAATATTATGTTTACAAATTAGTAATAATATTTATTTAATTATAATATTGTACAGTTTATAAAGTGATGGCAAAATTATAATAATCTAAACATAATTACAGTCAAATAACTTTTAATGACATATTATTATAAATACCGTGTAATGATTTCAATAAATTGATATACAAAATCATTTACAATTCAAGTAATCATTTAATTGACTTTTAGGATTATATACTGAATATAGTTAAGTATAATATTTGTATTAAAAAAGATAAGTTTATGGATGTAATGGCAAACTAAACGTATTATCAATTTATAAGTGCAATAAAAAGCGAATTAAGTGAAAGAAATGATTGTTATTAAGGCATTTAGCGGTTAAAGTAATGGTAACAGCGGTATAATACAGTACAACAAACAGTGCTATTATGTTAGCTCTGATACCTCTAATAAATTCAATTCAAACAAATGATTATCATTGATAAGTAGAGCTTTCAAATTCAATATATTGTTTGCTATTAGAGAAGCCGTTATAATCATAATTGACTGGTAATTGACTGATAGTTTAGCTGATAGTAATGGTTATGGAGTGACAGCTTTCAGACAACAAACTAATATAAGGATAGAAAGAGAGGAGAAAGAGAGCATCAATTTTATGATTAAATTACTAAATAACTGTTTTTTTTATTTAATATAATTTTGTCTTTAATTTATGTTATTTTTAAAAATAAATTATGGGTTTATCTAAATATGTATATAAATACAGTTAATACATTCATAGAATAGTTATGGCCATGAATTGTCTCTGCATGGGTGGCTCATACCTACAAGTGTTCATACATGTACTGTAAATAAATGTATATTTTTTTAAATTGTAATTTCTATTGTATTCACCGCATGTTCTCATCGCATATACACTTATTTATAATATATTAAAACACCGGTAGCTTTGAATTTAACAATTCTCAACCCATTATAGTTTATGAAAAATGTCTCAATTTGTTGGTCTAAATAACAATAATCAAAACAAATTTAAATAATATAATCAAATAATTGTCTCCAATTGAGATCACGAAAAGACTATCACTCTTAGGAAACACACTTTTCATTCAATAGTATACTACATGTGCTATTAAAGCAATTTTTTGTAATGTACTCTATAGATGCTAAAGTGATGGTATGTTTTTGTATGGGTTTGTACTGTACATTACGATTCATATATGCTATCAATTTTTGTATATAATGTATATAATGGCAGAGTTTTGCTTTCTTTAAACAATCTATAATAATGGATATCTATTGAGTCCAGTCTGAGCTTAAGTCATGATTTAATATTACAATTATTGCCGCCTTAAGGCCGCTATCATTAAGATTTGGTTTTCATATATTGGTTTAGCGCCTCATCCACTAAATACTGTTTCCCTATGGCTTTGTGACCAATACAGGCGATACACGCCTTCAAGACTGAGGCGTACCTCAAAAACAACATTTTTTGGAGAAAATTGTAATTTTCTAATAATAATTATGGCATCAAATAAATGCATTTCTTGTCGTATAAAAACTTTTGTTTAAAAATTTAAGTGCTTTTGATTATTATCTATGAAGTAATGTATTACATAATATTCTTGAGATTTATAGTCAATATTTATAATATTATATTAAAAATGAAATTTATATTAAAGTTTATTTTTAAAAATACTCTATATATTAAAGTAATATTGAAATGCAAAATAACTTTTTATAATAGGATTTATATCCAAAACTAGTCGTATCTCAAGAGTGGTTGTATTTACAATTCTTGAGGGAATGTTATCGAACACAGACCTGAAAGAGAGCTAACATTTCATATACATAACCAAAAGCGGCCCAAAGTCACGATTTTTGGCAAACAAAATAACTGTCATTAGGACACAACAAACCAGTCATTAAACAGCGCCGTCATCATCCTCTCTCTCTCTCTCTCTCTCTCTCTCTCTCTCTCTCTCTCCCTTTATAACTGCTAATACTCTCTTACTGGTGCTTTGATTTTCACCCAACATCTCATCCCTCATAGCTCTTCCCCTTTATTGGCCGTTCACTACTTGACTACTTAGCATAATATTGCTTACAATTTCAATATAACAAAATATGGCTCTCTCTCTCTCTCTTTCTCTCTTTCTTTCTCTCTTTCTCTCTTTTTTTTTCTCTCTCTCTTTCTCTCACTCACTCACTCATTGACTCACTCACTCACTCATTGACTCACTCACTCACTCACTCACTATTTCGTTAACTTTAACATAAAGCATAAAATAAAAGTCGAGTCGAGAGTTAGTTTTGTTAGTGTTTTCAAGCAAAAGATGAATGCATTGAATTCCATTTGTCAGGAATTATGAAAAATGGTCTCAAATTATAGCACTGAATATCAGCCAAAACGAGACACACGACCACAGACTCCAAGTTTTTTTGCAAAGAGATTACATTTCAAACAAAAAAAAATCAGATCTATATTTGTTCGCTATTTTATAGTAAATCTTATAGCGTATACATACACACAATGTAAAAGCAAACATAATGTTCAACAAACTCTTAATAACCTTATATAATGTGATTTCACTCTATTATATAACAAAATGTAGGCGTTTTTGCCTTTCATTTCTTTCCGAAAGATCCCTTTTCCAGCATTTTTTGGTTATTATTCTCTCAATTATGCAAATCTAAGTGATAAAAGAGGTACTAAAAGTTAGTTAAAATACAAATCATAAGGTTTGTGCAATTATAAGCTTTGTGTCAATTTTTAATAATAAATGTTTTTATAAATTATGAGAATTTATTTATGACACAAATCAATTTTCTAATTAAATAAAGATATAAAATTTTCATCAATCAAATAATTTATTTTATTTAACTATTTATATGGTGTGATTTTTATTTGATAACTTAAAATAAAATTTATTGAAAAATTAAAAACACATTTAAACTAATATTTTCGTAAATATCGTATGTTAAAAAAATAATGCAAAAAACTAAAGTAATATTCAGTGACTTGTTTAGCAATTTTCCTCAATCATATCAATGATATTTTTAATACAAACCTATAATTTTGAAAAAACTAGTGTCTATCTAAATATATTGCATGATATGTAAGTACAGTATATATAAATATACAGTATATACGTATATTATATACGGTATATAAGTATATAAGTACAATAAATATGTTTTCAACTGCTAATATTAAACTACCTTATCATCAAATACTTTATTCAATACTTTTAGTAATCATTAAAATCATTATTGTATTTAATAATATTAATTGTTAAACAAGTCGTTCAATTAGTGTCTATTAGTGGCTTATTATTTTTTAGTTAAATAATTTGAAATAATATACTATTAAAAATAAATATTAAATAATGACAATAAATTAATTTCCAAAAAAGTCAAGTTATAAAGTTATGTTGTTTTATTGACTGACATTGCCGTCAATAGCCCTCCAGTATATTAAATTTGAAGAGGCGTTACATTGATTGTAATTTTATCTTAATTTTTATGATATTGAATTAAAAAATAAAAACTTGTGGCCTTATATTATGTATATAATGTCTGAAATTTGGTTTTTATACAAAGTTTTTTGGTTTTGTTGAAATATAATGTAATCAAAAATATAACAAAATAGTTATGAATATAATGTAAACCTCAATAATTGTAATTATATTTTAAAACATTTATTTAAAAAATTAGTTATGGATGTTATCGACGTTTTGAAGACATTTTAAGACTTGATTTGTCGATAGAAATCGGGTGTCCATAAGAGTGACTTTTGATAGGTAGTATAAGGGAACAGGTGATCATATGAGGCATTGACTCTACAATAAGCTGTACCAGCATATGATGGTTGGCCTCTCAATCGACTGAGTTATGGTTGGTGTGTATAACTGAGTGAGTGGTATGAGTGGTCTTAATTGCCGAGTGTTGTGCTGTAGGGCTCAGTAGGGAAATGATGGCAATGATGACGAATGAATCAATTTGTCTTTGAAATAACAGAGCAAGAGATCCGTCGCATCGAAACCATTTGAGTCATAAATCATAGCGGAAAGCCTGATCCGGGCGGGGCTACAATCATACCAGTGCTTTGCATTACTTTCTTA